AAGTGAGTGGATATACAAATAGAAACACTTTTCAGGTGCATAATTCTATACTTACATAGAAATTATAATAGAATGATGGATACTGGCATTGATGGAGAATTGGGCTTTGTGATGATATTATTCTTATGGTAATATTTTGCATACCTCTTTGAACCCTAATTCACATCCACATTGTGTCACATTAGGAAGTCCTAGCAAATAAAGTAAATCTCTCTCATATTTATTTTGGCCCCAAAAAAATATTTTTTTATGAATTCACAACTAAAAAGAAGTAAATTAAGAAACTGTCCTTTGTAATTGAGTTTTTATATAATCAAAGTTATCTAACAACATTTTGTAAAAAAAAGAAGTAATAATTTAATGTTATTTTCTCAAAATAAGATATAAATAAAATGTAAAAAGAAACAATATATAAGTCAACATTAACTAAGCTAACAACATTTTAAAAGCATTCCATCACAAATGTAAAAAAATAAATAATATACAAACATGACATAATAATAATAATAATAATAATAATAATATACTAATTCCCGACAAAAAATAGTTATTTTAAAAATAAGTGATTTTTTTAAAATACTGTAATAATCTAAATATCACCCGAAATATAATACTGCGTAATTATTACTTCAATGAAAATGTAAATAAAGATACTATTACATAACTACTTTAAAATGTGAACACAAAAATATCAATGTGATTATACGTGAGTGAACAACTTCAAAACATTGTTTTCCTTAACAGAGTGAATATTTTTTATGTGACGGAGGGGGGTATATGTTTGAATTTAAAATCGTTCTATTTATTTGCATTTTGTTCTGTGTTTATGAGACTCTATTTGTTTGAATCTACTCCTCGTGTTGCTACTTAATTGGATACAATTTCCTCATGTTATTTTAGGTTTGGATTCCTGGATCCGTGGAATCAACCTGTTTCAAACAAGTCGGGTCAGGGACGGTTCCAATGTTAAATCATCAATAGTCTGTTTCGACACGTCCCGTATCCATAAAAACAAACCCGGCCCGGGTTTCTAAAAATTGACCCAAACTGATTGGTGCGCACCACTGCATATTACTACAAATATAATTTTATTAAATTTATCTTACAAATAGTTTGAAGAAAATATTTTATTGTATTCATGTGTGATGTACTTTTTATTTAGTTGTTACTCGTTAACCAAAATTTGTTTAATTTGATTGAAGAATTCAGACATTGAGAACACATTAAGGGCCTGTTTGGTGAAACTTGGAGATATGATAAGATATAAGTTATGAAATCAAGAAAAATTGATATGAGTTTTGAAATCTGAAACGAATCTGTTTGAAGATATTTAAAATCATGATTTAATTAGTGATAAACGGGGATGACCGACAATGTAAGTGGTTGGCGGTGACAATAGTAGTCGGAGACGGGAAATGATCAACGGTTGAGAAAGATATCGAACCCTCGTATTGATATCTCCCAAATTCGGGAGATATCAAAACCCTCCATTTTGAAGATTTATGATAACAGGAAATATTGAATTCGATATCTCTTTTGACTTCACCAAACACCAGATTAGGATTTTGACATCTGGAGATATCAAAACGCATATACTGTTTGCTCACCAAACACAGCCTAAATTTGATGGAGTAATAATTGAATAAAAGCCCTGTTTGGCATCAGCGTTAGATATTAGCGTTAACATTTTGAAAAGGCTATCTAATTGCACTTTTTAGCGTTAGCGTTTTCAGAATTAATCTACACCATTAAAATTTTATCCAAAATACTAAACTAATCAAAAAAGTTTTTCCCAAACAAGGCCAAATATAATCTTTGAGACATGTAAACATATCGGTCGTACATAAAAAAAACTCAACACATTTCAATTTATTTCAAAATAAATTACTCGGTAACTATTTCTCTCATTATCATTTTAGGAAAAATATGTACCTTGTATGCCTTTTATTTCATAAACAAATCCGTTTTGAAATGAAAAGTTTATTACGAGTACTAGCTCTGTTTCAAAAAAAATTTCTAACTTTAACTTTTATAAAATTTAAGAAAAGTATTAAAACATATAGAGTACATTATATGATGGAAATTTATATGTATAGAGTTATTTTTTGAACCACATGTTCACTCTTTTAAAATGTATAAAGTAAATATAAATTTTTTATAATGTCTAAAAAAGAAAAGTAAGAAACTTTTAATTGAAGGAAGGGGTAAAAAAATAGAATTTGGGGGGAATATCTAGGACTAAAATATGTTTCATATATCAAAATATTATCTTTAATGTTTCTATATAAAAATAAATCTTATAGTGTCATATAATGTTGAAAAATACTGGAGTACTCCGTATGATATGCTAATAACCAAAATATTATCTTCAATGTTATATACTAAAATAAATTTTATAATGTTAAATAATGTCAAAAATATTACTCCTTTCGTTCTTGAGTATTTGTCTACTTTTAAATTTTTTGGTCAAAATTGACAAACTTTGACCATGAATTGAATAAAAATGATATTAGATATTGATTCAAAAATAATTTTATTAGATTTATCTTCTAAAATATTATCAAAATATTATTTTATCTAATTCATATATGATATATATATATTGTTAATTATATGTCAAGAATTAAAAATGATTGGCTGTAAGAACTCAAAACAAGCCAAATACTTAAAGACGAAAGTAATATGATACACTAATGACATCCAATAACCTATTAAAAATCACTTTAAATGTGAATAAAACATAGAAGAAGTATCAAGATAAGAGTTCCATATTTTTTATTTTTGAAATTTGATTTTGCACTGTGATAATGTGGTACTTTATATGGACATTTCATAATATTTTTGACAATATATATGATCATGATTGACATTGTATATTTATTTTTACTCATATTTCGAGAATAAATATGAAATTCTTGTTTTGATATATTTGTAATGTTTTATTTATACTTTAGTATTTTTCCTATTTTTATTATAGAGTATAAAAATATAAAAATTTTTATTTTGATACAAGTTTTATGTTTTAATCATTTTTTAATTAGTTAATTTCTTAAATAAGATATTGGGAGTACGTATTTTGGTCATGTTAGGTTGCAGCTTTGAAGAAATTCGAGATATCAATAATATATAAAAATGCAAGTGGCAAGTCCACCCATGTCATGAGTCAGCACTCAGCCGAATTGTGTTTTTGATGGATTAGCAAAAGATGTCTTTCAAACAGAATAATATTTGGATTAACTTCAACTCATCTCTAAATGAAGTTAAAATGACTTATCACAATGATAAAAGTGGTTTACTAAACAATCAGAAAATATTAAAAATTAGTTAGAAGCGTCTATCTAGACTCTTGCCTTCCTTATAAGGCCACATAAAAAATGTACCTCAAACATAGATCATAGTTTCTCTATCATAATTCTACGTGGGAATAAAAAGATTGAAAAATCGATAAAAAATGTATGGATAGAAGACTGATAATCTAATAATGTATAAACAATATACATAATATTGCTCTTGAATAGAGAGGGTAGGACTATGAGACAAGATCCACATTTGTTGTACTCTATTTTTTTCAAAATTTTTATCTCACTTTGAATAACATACAAAAGTTTATTTCATTTTAAATTATTTTACATAAAAAATCTCGCAAAACAAAATGTAAAATTATTTTTTAAAGTCACATCAAAATTTTAAGATAGATATTTTAAATAGCATCAAAAGTTTTACTTATGAAACAAGACCTAATAATAATATTTTATTTTATCTAATAATCAATTAAAACACACACAAATAAAGAAAAATAATTAGAAAACTAGAATAACAACTGAGACAATATCTTTAAGACGATGAGTAAATGATATGGTGAACTTAAATTCACATAACACTATTTTTTTTATGAATCTATAGGAGCATGTGCAACGGCAAGGAAGAAGAATGCCTTGTATTGCCACATCAATTCCTTCCTCTCATATCATGACATGACAAGAACAAAATACCTTGCTTAGTGAGTCATGTGTGACACTCCACACTTCTTTTTTTTCTTTTTTCAATTTCTTTTTATTTTTTTTTATAAAAAAATGTTTAAGAAAGTAGAATAGTTTTTTGATAAAAGATATAATAAAAATATTTTTTATGTTTAAAAGCATAAAAAAATGTAAAAAGTGATAAAATAATGACTTGTCATTGTAGAGCTTACCACTATAATCACTTATCCACACTGATTATATTATTTTTAATTGATTAAAATGTTTCAAATCACAATAGAACATTCCATTTTTGTCTCGGTATTATTAATGTTATTATTAATGTTGTAAGTGACATACAAATGGTTATTACAATGATGAAAAAAAACTTTATTCCCCACGTTTCCTTCACTCGAGCCCAGCAAAGTCGGCTCTCAACAAAAACAAAACCCACAATTCAAACATCAAAGCTGCTGCCGACCTTCAATACGCTGTGCAGAGAAGATATTTCTGAGGTATTCTCCTCTTCTTCTTCCTCTTCTTCGTTGAAATAATACTGTGATTGAGTTTAGGGTCTGCGAAATTCGAAACCACTTTGGTGACTATAAAAAGTTGCTTATCAGCCCTCCAACATCTTGTTCAACAAGAACATTACTCTTGTCTCATGCAGTGAATTCTGTATCAGAACACTAACTTTCAGATGTTTTTGATTTGCAGCGTGAATTGCAGGGGAAGAATTGCTTTTAACAATTCATGGGGGCGATTGATTTTTGCCAGAATCCATCAATCTGCATTTCAAAGTCCAGGCCCAATTCTCGAACTGAAACGCATTGGAAGAGAAGGGTTTCGGTTGTGGCATCTTCTTCTGTGCCTATCAAGGAGAAGAGTCAGTCTGGAGAAGTTGCCCGCGGGGCATCATTCATCCGCCCCCATCTCCAGAATCTCAAACCCTATCAGCCCATTTTACCCTTTGAGGTGATTCATGATGTCTCTTTTCCCATTTTACTATTACATGTGATTTAATTCATCTCCTTCCTCGGTTAATTTTGACATTGCTAAGTTTTCAGTTAATACTATGTTCAGGAAAATACAGTTCTAGGATTGCATTATTACAATGTTTCGATAATAGAGTTAACATCTAAGAGCTCTGATCATCTCATTTTCCCCCCATTCAAATCTGTTTCAATACAAATATAGTTCTATGATATGGGTATGGGCAGTCAATTGATGGATACATACACTATTTCTTTGTTATTTCCCTTCTCAAAAGTATTTTTTAATTATTAAGTACAGGTGTTATCAGCTCGACTTGGCAGGAAGCCTGAAGACATTGTAAAATTAGATGCCAATGAAAACCCTTATGGTCCACCGCCAGATGTAATTACTATGTTGAGTTCATATGACTAAAACAAATAAAGTTCTCATAATTTTCGTTTTCAGTTGGTGAAAGCATATAAACTCCTTTGTAGGTTTTAGAAGCTCTGGGATCGGTAGAATTTCCCTATATTTATCCTGACCCTGAAAGTCGTAAGTTGCGAGCTGCACTTTCTGAGGACTCTGGACTTGAGTCTGAGTATATTCTTGCTGGGTGTGGTGCAGATGAACTCATTGATTTGATAATGCGGTCAGTAAAAAGAGATTCATAATTTTAAGGAGAAAAACTAGAAAAACTGTTTCTAAAATACCTTATTGCTGTTGTTCTTTTGAAAAATGATTTCTACATCGTACAGGTGTGTATTGGATCCTGGCGATAAAATTGTTGACTGCCCACCAACCTTTACTATGTATGAATTTGATGCAGCTGTTAATGGTGCGCATGTTATCAAGGGTAGGTATATGGCTTTTTTCACCTTCGATTTAATATTGATTCTGAAACTTTAATGTGTTGTCTAGTTTAATGATCAATTGATCGCACTCCATGTTACTGAAATTCACATTAAGAAATATGCTACACTTGCTAAATAAGCTGCGCTTACATTGCATATCAACAAGTTAATAATATACTGTCCCATTCAAGATAAATGTCATTTAGGAGGGACGTTATTGGTTCACAATTTGTGTTGTTTCGCGAAACCAAGGCAGTATATAGTGTCCTATTATATATTTTGTCTCTTTAAGACCCGCATAAAATTAATTTTCAATTATATTACTCCCTATGTCCCATAATACTGGTCCCGTTCACTATTCCCTGGGTACCATATCTTATTTCCTTAACATATTTTTATTAAGCATTTAATATAATAACATAGCCAAGCCACCTCTTATTTTATAGTCTCTCTGTCCCATAATTAAATCCCGGAGGGAATTACAAAGCAAAAAGTATTTTTTTTAGAATTATTTATATTTGAGAAATTTTCATTCCCCTATGGAGCCAAAGATTCACTATTTTTTTGGCTTTGGGGTATGATGGAATAAAACAAATTGGCTCTTTAAACTATCTCCACTTCTTGCAATTGTGAAGTAGCAATTAGACAATGCAACTTTTGACGCTCATCATGGGTCATCTAGAAATAGCCGCTCTATGTTTTAAACATAGGGGTCAGACTGCGTACATCCGACCCCGCCTTACCCCGCAATGGGCAGGAGCCATCGAGGCACTGGGTAATGTTGTCGTCATATTTATATTTGAAAATTGGTATAAAATTACAAAATGAAATTTACATATTTTATAAATACATCAAAAGCTCTATAAAACAAGTGGTGATCTGGGTATTTTTATTTTATCAAATGATCTATGAAAGCTCATAAGCAAACCAAAGTTATCGGAAACCTAAAATAGTAACTTGGGTTTTGATTCTGGGACAGAGGGAGTATAGTTCTTGATGTAGTTTTTAAATATGTAGTATATGATTTTTATCTTGAATTTCTCACCACTATTTAAATAAATTGAATATAAATTAACTTTAGAGAAGTATCATAATTCATAAATCAAAATGAGACCAGTATTATGGCACAGAGGGAGTAGATGATAGTCAGGTGTGCATAAATCTTGTCCCAACAACTATAAATCTACTTGGTTTATTCCAAAATGACACCTTTTGTGAATCAGATGGCGTATTTTTTTGTATCAGACTACTTATTTGTAGTGTTTTGTAAATCTAAAATAAAACTAAGGGAGTCCTTAATGTAATTCTTGCAGTACCTCGGCACACAGACTTTAGCCTGGATGTGGAAAGGATTGCTGAAGTTGTTGAGAAGGAAAAGCCTAAATGCATATTTCTAACGTCTCCCAATAACCCAGATGGAAGGTAAAGCTGTGCTGTTTCTATCACATTCATTTTTTATTTGTTGCTTTCATTACTACAAACAGGATCATTTTCATTGGCACTAGGGCAGTGAAGTGCATTTTCAACTATTTTGATGATACACACACACACACACACTTTGTGCTAGTCTGTTTGCCAGGTGTCCCCAATAAACATTATGTTTATATGTATTTTCTAGAAGTATGTGTTTAAAAGACATATTACAAGAGGTGATATTGGAATGTCATAGTCTTAACTTTTAAGAACTCGAGAAAATTGACTACTTTCATTGGTTTGTGTTTACCTTCGTACAAGGTCCCGAGGGAGTATCAATTTATAAGCCGTTGTTTTTCTATTTCAGGCCTGGAATGTTTTTTTCTTCTAGTTTATAATTAAATCATACTCCGTATTGAATATTCTCTGTGGGGCTGTGGTTTAATGGAAAGAATTAATTTACATCTTCTTAATGAGACTTGTTGAGTATCCCACAATGGTTGTCTACTGCTTTGAGTTTTTTATACTCTGTATGTGTGATGTACATTTCAGATGAGTATTCTTTTACGGTTAGTGGCTCATTTTAACATGGTATCAGATCTCAAAGCCTAGTTCAATACTAGTTTGTGAGGTGTCCACCAACTTTATGGTTTGGAGCAGCCTTTTCAACGGCTGGTTTGGTCCTCTTTGTCCACTCTTTTAGTAGTCCAGCCTGGCTTGGTTAGGGGAGGATGTGTTGAGAATCCTGTACGGCTGTACTCCACTCTGGTTGTCTTACGTCGAGTAAATATAACCTAACCTCTTGAGGATATTTCAAACTGAGTGAATCCAATCTAACAAGACTCGTCCCATATATTGGATATATTTATGTTCTTCCTTTTCATGTCTCTTTTTCCTCTACTGCTCTACCAGTATTTCTTTTGACCTTGTGCTTGTTTTTTGTATGACATTTTTTTCAGCCTTCAGCTTTCATTGTAATGTGATGCATCTTTTACTTTGCTGAGCAGCATAATCAATGATACCGAGCTTCTGGAAATACTTANGAGTAAATATAACCTAACCTCTTGAGGATATTTCAAACTGAGTGAATCCAATCTAACAAGACTCGTCCCATATATTGGATATATTTATGTTCTTCCTTTTCATGTCTCTTTTTCCTCTACTGCTCTACCAGTATTTCTTTTGACCTTGTGCTTGTTTTTTGTATGACATTTTTTTCAGCCTTCAGCTTTCATTGTAATGTGATGCATCTTTTACTTTGCTGAGCAGCATAATCAATGATACCGAGCTTCTGGAAATACTTAATATGCCAATATTGGTTGTACTTGATGAAGCATACATTGAATTTTCGGGCATTGGATCAAGGATGACATGGGTGAAGAAGTATGACAATCTCATTGTTCTACGCACATTCAGCAAACGAGCTGGTGGGTTTGTAATCTCCTTTTTGCAGATATAAGTAAATTAACTTCATTAGTTTTCTGTTTTCTATTTGTTTGTTTGTATATATTGCACAATTCATGATCTATCAATATCAAACACATTTAGAATATAGAGTACAACAATAACAAACCTAGTGTAGTCTCCCCAAGTGTAGTCATAGATGGTTTAATCAACTAGAATGATTAGATAAGTTTTTTTAACCAAACAGATGTGATGGTCTTGTTTGGACAAACACCTGAAATGGCCACTTTTATGATGAATTGAAAATTAATTTCACCCTGCCCCATATGGTCAAAACTGCGTAATGGAATACGGTCTTCTGAAAGTCTGTTTGTTTTTGCATAACGGATGAACTCCTTGAAGTTGCTCGTGGATAAACTTAGAAATGCTTTTCAAAAGCTGCAATCCCTTTTCAAGAGCTAATTCAAAGTCTAAACACAGTGAAAAGTACGAGAAGATAGGCTTATTGCAGTAGATTAAGCCAAATCATCTCACAAGCACATGTATCTGTCTAAAATTCTAGGTATTCAATCCCTGTAGCTTGTCATAACCTTCGTACAGTTTCCTGCCTGGAGTTAAATTTCCAGTAAACCTTAGGACTTGTTTGGATCTTGCAAAATGCTAGGTGAATGGGAAAAATGCTATGAAAAATCATTTTCTTATGTTTGAGAACATAAAGAATCCAAAGGAACATTAATTACCCCATGCAAATTTAGGGATGTTTAAATTTCTCAGTCTCTATATAAATAGATATAAATAACTTAAATTAGTGTATCTTGTAATATTCAAATAATAATATAATAATTGAGTTTTACCTATCTTTTATTCCCTCATATTTCGTTATTTCTGATTTTCTTCGATGTTTTCCTCCCTACTATCTTTCCCTAGTATTTTCTGCTCCAAAACGAACTCATACATTTAAAAAAACATGAGATGCAGAAGTGCATGACCTTTGACTATGGAGTGAAACAAATTCTCTTGTGCATTTTATCCGACACCGAACGAAACAAACCCAGGATATCCCACTCGAGAGCAAGGTGCTTTTCATATGATAATTTGCCAATTTTACTAATTAGCAATTGGCATTTTTTTACTTTAGTTACAACTTACAAAACATGGGCTTTAAGAGTAAAGTAGCACAATGCCTTATACTCCGTTATTTTTAGTTATTTTAGTTTAGATGATGTGGGACACTCTTCAACGGCTTAACCCCCCCCCTGGATTTCTATTTTCAATAATTAATATTTATATATTGACTGCTTAGGTCTAGCTGGGCTCCGTGTGGGATATGGGGCGTTTCCCCTGAGCATGATTGAATACATTTGGAGAGCAAAGCAACCCTATAATGTGTCTGCAGTTGCTGAGATTGCTGCTTGTGCTGCATTAAGGAACCCCACCTATCTTGAGGTATTCCAAAACCTTTCATTACTCGTGCTTAAGATCGATCATCCACTGATTGTAGCATGCCGTCTCATTTACAGAACGTAAAAGTGGCACTTGTACAAGAAAGGGAGAGGCTATATGATCTCTTGAAAGAAGTTCCCTTTCTTGACCCATACCCAAGCCACTCCAACTTCATTCTTTGCAAGGTTACATCTGGAGTGGATGCTAAAAAATTAAAGGTAAACGAAAAATCTTGAGGCTTGTGTATTTTGGGCTTGGAGTATTTATCTATGTGGCGGTTCCATGCATTAAGCATTTTAGTTTGTGGACTTGAAAATCAGAATCATACAGGCTATAGACTTTATGTTTGTCGGATTGTGAACTTTAGCTTCAAGTCTAGAAAAATTTCCGCTTCAAGTATCACAAATATTAGGCCAGCTATGTGAAATATAGAAAAGAGTATATATTTGATTGTCTTATTTTACATGTTATTATAGTAAAACCAAGCACATCCCAATCCTAAATAACCTCTACAAACAAATAGAATACACATCCTTAAGGATAAAACCTTTTCATCTCAACCTTAACTCCAAATTTGTCCATGACTGCATGTTTTGTGTAGCAACTGATCTCTCTTTCTCTCTCTCACACACACAGGAAGACCTGGCTATGATGGGCGTGATGATCAGGCATTACGCCAGCAAGGAATTGTGTGGTTTCGTTCGTGTCTCTGTCGGTAAGCCCCAGCACACCGATGCACTAATGGAGGCCCTGAAACACTTCTACTAGAGGCCAAATTTGTAAGAGGAATGCTTGAATCACAAAGTGATCATAGATATCACAAACTTACCCTTTTTGAATTAAGTTCCAAAAATAAATAGTATAAAATAATTTAGAATTTTAGACAGTGAAAATTTAATACAAAAATGGTAAGTTTGTGATGTTTGTGACAACTTTGTTGGTGACTCTTTGCTCTTTGTCAAGGGTCTTTCTAGTGAAATAGTGTGATGGGCAATAACGGATAACAATATTGGGTCAGCAAGATATTTGAGATTTGAATAAAGTTAGACTTTTGGCTTACATTTATCAATGTATGATGATACGATTCCCAATATTTCTATTTTCTCTAAATAAATGTCAGTAATTGATTTTTTATTTTTATTTTGGGATTAGAACGTTTCTTAGATCCCGTAAAAATAAACATTGTTATTGCCACTCTATTTTCCCAATGGAAAACATTAATTCCAATTAAAATAAATAATTACTTTAAAGATTTTCCCAAATGTCCTTGTTTTAGTTTGGGAAAGATTACTTTTTTAACATTTGAAATACGACAAACTTTTCTTTATCTATTACGCCTCAACTAATATATTACTCATTTTCAATAAATGTAATTTGGTAAATTTTATTTTTTCAACTCTTAAAAATCGTGAAAAATCAACTTTGGAAGTTTATTTTCGAACGGATGGAGTATAAATTATAAGTTGAAGAGAATAGGAGCTAAAAATTAATCATTTTCCTAGATGAGATTTGTGTAGATTCCGGCCCTCAGGGTATTACAAGTAAAATAGAAACAATTTTTATACTCCGTATTTTTTTAAAAGCATCTCCAATAAGGTTGTAAAAATACTCCGTATCATTTAACAATCTCTCCAACCATTCATGTATTATGCTCTGTAACATAATAGATGAATGAAAAGATGTATAATACTGAGTTTAGTTGTTATATATCGAGTATAGCAAGAAATAACAAAATTGGAGCATAATTTACCTCTTCATAAAATAAAAATAAATTATTAAAATTCACGGGTAGCATTTAATAACAAGGTTGGAGATGTTCTAAAAACTAAAAAATTGTGTATATCTTGATCTCAATCCCTATAACACTCCGTTAGTGTCTTCACGTATCACCATTATAACAATAAATCTCTTAGTATAATTTTCGTTTTCATTTGATCTAAAATAAATTTATTAATCTAAAAAATCACACACTCTCTTGTTTAATAATGTCTCGCAATTGATTGAGTATGAAAATTAAAAAATTTAAAATTATGTAATTTAAAATAACGTAAAGAAAAAAGAAATTATAAGAGCAACAAATATTTTTCCAAAATGAAAAATAAAATATTTTTTGGAATGGACCCAAAAGTACTAGTAAGACAAATGGAAAACATCAAATTTTATGAAGGTGCAAAAAATAATTTCAACCTGTTTCTGTTTCTCCATTCCACCATTGTTTTCTCCAGAATGATAAAGTGACTCTTTTTTTGGAAAGTTTAACCATTTGCAAACATCTTAACGAAAAAAAATGAACAAATTTGCAGATTTCTGTTGAAAGTTTACACACTTTGCTCTGTCTCTTCTTCATCTCCAATCTGATTTGCACTGCACAATTGAATGAAGATGCATGCGTGTTCATGAGATGATGATGATAGCCAGGCGTGATAATCATGCCCACGGTGCTTCAGAATCACAATTCCCCTCCGCCGGGTTCGCATCGGATCGATCGGCCTCCTCCTTCATCCGCATCCCCTATTAGATTGGCCGCCGCAGCTTTTCTAGTTCCCCGTTTTCTCTGGGGCGCGATAGTGCAATTGGGTCGCCAATGGTTCAATCCAACTCCCACGGGGAGCTCACGGCGCCTCAGCCTTTGACGAGGGTTAGGCTATCGGACATTCTGCCCTACGATGGAGCTCCTGTGGGGCGATATTCGCGCGCCGTGGAGGCTCTCTCTGGGTCGCTGATGAGGTACAACGCCGCCGTGATTGAGCTCGGCCTTGAAGATGCTGCGGTGCTCCGTTGTGGCCTGGAATCTGCCAGGTTCTATTTTAAGACTCGGGTTGCAGCTCAGGGGAAGGGTACTCGTGGAGTTTATATCTATAGGGCTGGAAGGTAAACCCGAAAATGATTTGTAATTTTGTGTTCTTATCGATTCTACCTGGGGATACTTTTCCATTTCACGGAATTCATGTAACACACAATGTTTTTTTTTTATTTTTTTATATGTTGGAAAGCTTTGTACTTGTGCTATGGGTTTAGGTTGATGGAGGGTTTTGGACTTTGGATGAACTTTGCAATGGGTTTAGTCTATATCTTGATATAAATTTGATTGTATTTCATGTTAGCTGAATGCTTTACAAAATACTTCGTATGTGATATTATAACATTTTGGAAACGTTCGGTTATGAGATTACAAACTAAGGCCTCTAAAGTCTTACTCTCCAAACCTTTAAAGCCTTGTGTTTTACTAACTTTTGAGGTAAGAAATAATTGATGCATTAAGTTCATCTATTGCTGGACTGCTTGAATGAAACACTAGAACCTGAATATGTTTGTTTATACCAGTCTTTTTAATGCCTTGTTCAACTCATTGTGGAGTGGCAACATCAATACAGGCCCTTGGAAGATGTGGAGTCATCTCCCCCATGCATGGCTGATGTCTTTCAATGCATGGGAAGGGCAGCCCGAGCTGCTTTATGTGCAGTTGCTAGACATCTTCGTTTGCGAAGCGAGTAAGGATAATAGATTTTATTTGTAGGGCTGTCTACATTTATTGAATGGGGAGTTATGTATGGATGTTTGTTGGATCCTGTTAACATAACATAGTTGTTGTCAATGCAGTGTTTTTAACCATTTACTTGATGAAACCCCGTTGCCACTTAATGAGCCTTCCTCATCCATTCTTGTTGCAACCTTCTCTCCCTCATCAACCTCACAGAATGGGAGGGGATCAAGTGAGGGAGTAAAACTCCCAACAACCAATGAAGTAGAAAAGGGGTTGTTAACATTGATATCCTCTGATACTTCTGGTCTTCAGGTACTCTGGTGTCATCGTGGTCTTACTAATTTATTTTAGAACAAATTATGTATAGCAGATATTATCTCTGGTTCACAATGAGCACCATTTTGTAAGAAAACACTTCTTGTAGAGTTATTAAATGGAGAAAAGCATTAAAGCATTACCTCTTACTAAAATTTAGTATCGAGGAGTAATTTTGCATAGGGTATCAGGGTTCTTAAAGAAAGGGGGAAAGGGAAAATAACATTAAAAACTGTGTTCGTTATATAAAAGACATACATTTCAAACATAATTTTTTACCAAAAAAACACTTATGTTGAATTTTAGGGAGTAACCCTCTTTGACACATACTCCCTTTCCATGCGTGTGGAAATTACCTATGGTATTATGGTTTTAAAATTTTCATTATTCCCTCTAAAGAAGGGCAGTTGGCCTAAAACATTGTGATTGATTTTTTTTGCATGAATCTATAGTGTGAACTAATTTTTACAATTAATTGGCACTATACATTTAATGTCACTATCCCCAACTAGTTGGGATTATGGTTTTGATAATGATAAATGATGTAAACTACTAAACTTGAATTGTTCATTTGTGACTTGGGAACTGCACTTTGTTGGGTATCAAGGTTCCTTAATCTCCAATTCTTCTCCTCTATCTTAACTTTCTTCCTCAGAACCCTAAATTTTTCTTTTTGCTCTGACTTGGCATGCTTATTAAGAAAATAAATCATGTGGATGTGGTTTGTTTAGAAATGAGCGAAACAATATCAACAGCCTTAAAAAGGAAACAAGAAGAAAATTTCAGTATAACCCAAAAAAGTAAACAATAATTAAATTGTAGGACGCATGGAGTATTATTATTGTTGTTGATGTTATTGTTATTGTTGTTATTGTTATCATCATCATATCATCATAGGTATGTGACCCCAATAGTAGGTGGTACCTAGCAGATAATGGTCTAGCTTCTGGAGATTTGTTATTGCTCACTGGAAAAGCTCTCAGTCATGTAACTGGTGGTCTCCGCCCTGCGGCCACTCACAGGCCAACCTATGACTACTACCTTGGGAATACTACCATGGGAAGGTAGACAATGGTTCATTAAAATTTGGAAAATTTTACTTGCTTGGAGAGTTTTCAGTACCAAATGATGACTATTAGCTGACTTCTTGTAGGACATCACTGGCATTTAGGCTTATGCCGCAAAGCAGTGCTATTCTTGATTGTTCTCCCATTATAGCGGCTGGTCATGCCATTCCTCAAAGCTACACCCCGATTTCTGTAAGCCAGTTTTTGGATGACCTTTCTGCAGAGGAAGACGTCTTCTGTAACAGAACTGATAATGCTTATGTAAGTGCTACTCTCTACTCCCCAAAAAAGAGTCCTGTTTGAGCAAGGTTCTTTTTTTCATCAATCAAGGCACAAATTTTTACAAATTACAAATGGTCATGTATACCCCTAAAACTTATTTCAAAGTTTGTTTGAAGTGACTTAAACCACTTGCTCTGTGGATTTACATGAGTTTACTGAAAAATGAATGATGAGTTTTAAACTTAACTTTTTTGGGACAAAAAGTATTTTGAAAAGATAAATCATCTTTTGGACAGAGATAGTATTTCCAAAGATATAATTTTGACAGGCTGAGAGGTGTACAAGTGGCCAAAAAGACGACTTTTTCAAAAAGGAAATGCTGTACAGAGTAGCATCATCACTATTTGAAATCTACAACCTGTAAACTTATATTCATTTTGATATTTTCTTCTGTTTAAGTTGGTTAAAAATACCGTTTTAGTTTTTGAGAATTTTAGATCTCAAAAAATCTTCCTCATTAAGATAATCAGCCTTTTGGTCATATAAATGGTGCTTCAGTACTACCGTTTGGGTTTTAGACATGGTCAAATTGAGTTCACAGACCATAACAAATTGATAAAGGCCCTTAGGCTGAGCTGTTTAATTGTGATTCGAGATAGTCTGGCTGGCTGGCTCATCTTCTGTGATTCAATTACTTGGCTCTGTGCAAAAACAGACATTTTGATAAATGAGACATCTCACTCAACGTTTGAAACAGCAGGTTGTCCAAGACAATCTAAATAAGGAACAATCATTGAGAGCTGTGCTCTCAGATCCCTTATCGTAAGTCTCATTTCCATCTCTCCAGGATTTTGTGAAGTGTTTTCACTAAGAAATTTTATATTTCTAAAGATTTTGTTTGGTTCTATACTCGGTTTAATAGATATCTTCTTCCAAGATGTATATTAATTGGCTGAAAAGACAAATTAAAATGACTAGTGGCCAGTGGCCAGTGCAATGAACAGTTCTACATCTCTTTTCGATTTATCATTCCAATATATATTATAATCATTATTTCATGGATTTGTTTGTACATCTTCATTGTCTGCTCAATGCACTTGTCATTTTAATTTGTGGGATGCACTTGTGCGTAATGCTTTGTTGTACTATGCACACATGTTGGCACTCCAGCGGCACATTCATGGAAGATGCTACATTTGTTTCGTGTGGACATTCCTTTGGTGGTCTAATGCTAAGAAGGGTTGTTGAAACAGTAAGGAAATTGTCTTTTCTGCTTGTTTGGACTCGTAAATACACGAGTACTCGCATTTTATATCCACAAGTGATATTGTTTATAATTCATGCTTTAACAAATTCATAAAGAAAATTGACTTGCAAATTGAGTCATTGAGATGAATTCATCATTTTTTCCTGGCAAAAAAAAGAAAGGTCCAGTGCTTTTTTGCTTTTTGAAATTTGCATGATTTCTTTTATATGATTGTTCTGACTCAAGAATGTATGATACAATGTTTTTGTAATGACAGTCAAGATGCACACTCTGCAATGCAGAAATTGAACCTGGATCATTGATCCCTAATCTTGGTATACTTCAGTTATTCTACTCTGTCCTTTGCAAGCTTTGTGTTTGATGTTAAGATGTCTTTGGAGTTACTATAATTCATTGTAATGCTTCATTATGAATGTTCTTTCTTTTAATACTTTGAAAATGAACAGTATTAAGAGCAGCAGCAGCAGCAGTGAAGTATGAGGACGACAAGAGATTATTTTATAATGCTTCACTCAGGAAGCGCAGGAAAGAGGTGGGTGAGTTCAGGGTAAATATTGATTTACTTGTAGTAGATTTGTCTACACAAACTAAGATCTTGTTTGAATCCCATTTACACTAACATGTGAATCTAAACATTTTGAGAGAAAGCATCAGAATAACTTTTTTTACTCTTAATACTGTATGAAAATAATGCAGTAAATAATTTATAAGTTCTGCTCTTCGGCTCCGTTCCGTTCAACTTATTTTTTCTGATCTGATCTGATTCTAATAAGTTCTGATCTGATCTGGTCTGATCTGATTGGATCTGATCTGATCTGATTGGATCTGATCTGATCTGATTGAATCTGATCTGGTCTGATCTGATTAATTATGATTTAATTTAAAAATTCAAATTAATTATGATTATGATAAAATTTCAAATTTCATATATTAGAATAATCATTCATATGATAATGTAATAATATTTTTTATTTTATGATAGTTTTTTTGTAAAATTAGAATTATACATTATAATAAATATTTAATTTAGATATACATTAAAAAGTAATTAAATTTAGATAATCAATATATAGAAGAGATAGTATTTTTATTAAAATATCTCATCCTTATACAAGATCAAAAGTTTAGAAACTCAAATTACAAGTAGCAATAAAATATATTTTAAAAGTATATTAGATTGACATTGTCAATGTATTTTAAAACTAATTTCTCCGACGTCTAAGAATTAAGGATTACTTTCTCAGTTTTCTATTTAACATATTTCTAAAGTTTATTCTTTTTCATTTTTAAGAACAATAATGATGATGATGATGATGATGATGATGATGATGATGATGATGATGATGATGATACTAATAATAATAATAATAATAATAATAATAATTCTTGATGAGATCTGATTTTAATAAGTCCTGATCTGATCTGATCTGATCTAATTGAATCTGATCTGATCTGATTGGATCTGATCTGATCTGATTGGATCTGATCTGATCTGATTGGATCTGATCTGATTCGATCTAATCTGATCTGGTCTGATCTGATCTGATTTTAATAAGAATAAGAAAAAATAAGAAAAAATAAGAAAAAATAAGAAAAATTAAGTTGAACGGAACGGGGCCTTCATCATTATAAAAATGCTGTATTTGTATAAAATAAGCTTATTAGTCTAAGATTATGAGGTCACAACTAAAGCACTAGGTGCAAAGGATCCCTCTGCATCTTAGGCACATGCTGAATGGGTTAGGACGTACGGTGCTTAGGCGTGATTGCGTGAATATGAAAATTTGTAGTTACCATAAGGATCCATAATCAGTTTTCTGAATAATATTTTTTCACTCTACCATGAGATTAAAATGGTTAAATTCATCTTTAAAACAAGGCTAAGTTAGGGTATGTTTGGTTCGAGATTTTTTTAGTGTAGGGGAATCTCTTCTCCCTATTAGCAAGGTGAAAGCTAAAAAATTTCCCTTCCCTTCCCTCCTCTCCACTAATTTTTCCTCACCCCTTTGATTTTCATTACATAGAGTATGACGGCTTTTACATTTTGTTAGAATTATAACACCTACTAGGAACTATTTCCTTTGCTATAGTGGGGATAAAAATGCAAATGTACCTTTCTACTCTCTACCAGCCAAAGACACCCTTATTATAGTGACTGCCTCATAAATACCAGTTCTAACATTTCTATCACAGTAATTCTCTCTTTTACTGAGTAAATTAGTTGGAGTTATAAATATATGCACAAAAGCTTAGTGACCATGTTGGATGCTTAAGAAGGAATTATGAGGTGATATTCCAAAACCATTATCATCAGTCTTTTCCACTTGTATGGAGAAGATAATGATAGTTATTATAATCACTCCTCATTAAAATTGATATTGCAAAATCAGCACACACACACGCATCATGAACACAATGACTTGATATTGATGAGGGAAAGAGTGAATGCATGCACTCATTGCTTTTCACTTTACAGGAAAATGGAGAAGTTTTTTCTGAAAATGGCCCATTCAAAGCTATTCAATACCCATTCTCAGTTAATGAGAAAGTTATGATTAAGGTGAGACATTTCTGGATTTTCTTTCTTTGCAGTTTGTTAGAGTTCAATGCAAGATGTTATATGCAAATTTATTAATGCAGGGAAATAGGAGGACGCCAGATAAATTTGTGGGGAAGGAGGCAGTAATCACGTCACAATGTCTTAATGGCTGGTTAGTTTGTCTAAACCAAGCTTCCTTGACACGATAACAAAGAGCATTAAGCTCTTTAAAAGCCTTTTTTTTGCTCACATGGGCAGCTCAATTGGTTCTTGGGTGGAAGGTTGCAAGTATGGATGCAGGATTGAGTTATGATAGTCATAGTGTGAGAGTTGCACCCAGTATGGTGGACTCCTTTTGGGCACCAGATACTAATCCTCCCACCTTAAGAAGTCATTTAGTCACCATTATTTGCCCTTCCACAATCCTCTCGAGCTGGGTGTGGGGATGTTTGGGCGTCTAATATTACCTTTTGTAGGTATTAAAAGCCTTTATTCTTTGAAGTTTAAAGAGTAAACAGCACTTTTGGTGTCTGCAATAAATTAGACTATTCAAGAAGTAAAACAAACATAGTACATATAATCTATTCTTCCAAGTTTCAAAATGTGGTTTATCACATGGGAAATTCTATTACCCAAAGGACATTGTTTGGTGAATTTAATCCAATCATCTAGCAAATGAGCATTGCTTGGAAATACTTGCGATCGTTTAGAACATGATCTAATTGTATAGGCTGGGCTGGATTAATTCAACAATTATGTTAATTACCTTGTAGTATTGTTCTCCTCCAAACTCTACATGCAAGTGTTTTAAATCTGTACTAGTTGTGACATTTTGTAAGGGAGTCGGTCATAAATAAAGTTCAAAATCATTCAAGGTGGGGTCATAGGCGAGGAGGTGAATTGCATTTGCATTTCAAGGTGGAAACCTTTAAGGGGGGTGTTTTTGGATAGGCATACGTCGTTACCTAGGTAATGTAACATATCCTTGTTTGGTATTGCCAAAGTATTATTATGTTTGAGGTACTGGTAATCAGGTTACCTTAATACTATAGCATTATTGTCAAGTTTAGATTTTAAGTTCAATATGGGGTTGTAGGAGTACCTAGATTTGTTAGGTATTATACGACTACCTTGTGCATATTTTAGACTATTTCAAGGCTTCCATATTATGCAAACCAACTATTCTGTTGTTGGATCTTACAGTCTCTTATATGTTGTAATCATATGACCCAAGGGACATTTGGTTCACTGAATATCATATTATCTTAGGTAAAAGGATTACCTTCTGGAAGGTAAAGTGAATTAACATGAATGTTAGATTGCTTTGAGCAGTTTGTCTCAAATGGTTAAGTACAAAGTCGGAATATTGTCTTACGTTGTGTCTATATTCATTCAACGTTTGATGCATCACAAAACCCATAATGGTCACTTAATTGTGTGGATGGAGGGATTTCATTACAAAGGTAACCTTACAATGTAAAAAATGCTAAGACAATCTTTCAACACCTAAGAGCTTGAACCAAGTAAATCCAGCTTCGCCTTTTTTCACATTCTCAAAGTAATAATGTGAGACTACTGAACTCAAAGTTGGTGGTCGCTGGTGATACTCAACTTAATTGTGTGGATTTTATGCAGGTACTTGCTTAAGATTATTGAGAGCGGTGAGAATGTTCGCCTTCAATACCGCTCTCTGCAGAAGTTTCCAGCTTCCCAGGAAACTTGTGGCAATGAGAGGTGCCATTCCCAGCCACTTAACAGTAGCAGCTGATGATGAATGGTCAGTTACTCTCTACCTCTGGGGCATTCAAATTGCAATCTTATAGTCCTGTAAATTGTTAGTTACTGTTCAGTTTCAAATTAGATTTTAGGGTGTTAGAGAGAAAATCATATACTCATAGTAGTAGTTAGGCAACTTTTCTCACTCCCAAGGAAAGATACCGATATACTCCTTATGGATAAGCTAAAATGGTATTGGTAAGTGTGCTTCTTGTGTATCTACTTTTACTTTGTGTGTTTGTTCATGCAACTTTGTGTGTGTGTGTTTTTTTTGTTTGAGCCAGAGTCCCTTGAAAACCTTTCTATCTCGAACGTAAGGGGTTTTTGTGTCATTGTGTGTTGCTAGACTCTTTCCTAATTGGTATTTGAGAACCATATTCTCCCTTATAACAAACTAGACACATTTTGTCACTCTTCTCATTCCTATTATTCCAGGTCCACATGAACTCCACTTAAATATCAAATGTAAGTAAATACAATTGAGTCATAAAAGATTCTTTTTGTTCGTATTTACAACCATATAAGCTCGATTATAGAGCAAGAACAAAGTGTTAAAATATCTCATATCAGAAATTAAAGACATAATTAGTATTAACAAGACCTTAGTGTTGAACCATATAAGCTTGATTATAGTGCAAGAACAAAGTGTCTTGTATATAATCCATTTTAATCACAAAGACTATGCCTCAATAACGAAAACACTTGGCAGATCACATGAATTCTTGAACATCACTCTGTTAAGAATGTCAAAACACATATACAAGAAAGAAAAAAAGAAAAGATAAAAAAGAAACTTCCTTAGCTTATATACACACACACACACACATATATATATATATATATGAACATAACAAATCTGCACACAATATATCCTCTCTTTTTTCTTTTTTCCCATTTTTACCCCTGCAGGGAATAATCCTCAACTGATCAACAGAGTCTGGGCAAGGATCTACCATATGATGAGGAAGGGGGCATGATGATCCCAGTCTTGACCATTTTAGTCATTTGTCCCTTCATCTCCTTGCAAACCTTCTCCAGTTCCACAACCCTCCATTGCATCCTCTGCAGATTCACCCTCAAATCCTCACTTTTCTCACCACTAGCATTATCACTACTATAATCACACTTAGAGTTGTTGTACAGCACCATTTCCATTTGGGGTTTTGATGATGATGATGATGAGTGTTCTTTATTAGTCGTCACAGACGGGCGCTGAGAAGTGAGCGCCTGAACGGCGACTGTGGGAGGGATTCGAGGGTTCTTGGCCAACTCCTTGCATGCCTCAAGGCTTAGTTTTTCATAGTTTAGACATCTGCATATTCTTGATCTTTCTTCAAATGAGAGGGTAGGATGGGACTGCACAATATGCATGCATGCATTCAATTAAGATGTTGAAATCAATTCAACTAAAAGGTCATCATGTTTGTGGTTGAGGACCCATGATTATTTTTATTTACTCTAATATGCCCCCTTATGTACAAGCAAGGTATGTTCGCTCGAGCCTTGCATGTGAAGGTTAACTTTCAAAAAATAATGATTCGTAGTAAAATTTGAATTCGTGGCCTCTAGATCCACAAGACTTTTATCAACCAAAAGCTTAAATTTGTTATTGAAAACCCAAGAATGTTTTTATACACTAACACTATGTATATAATTAACACTAATTGTTGTTTAAATTATTTGCAAAAGAGTAAATATTTGTTGTTTTGTATTCATGTTGAGTACATATTTTCAATCTTTTTTAAATTATTTGACAATTCTTTACTTAGTTTATAATTGACTAAAATTAAAGTAATTTTATAAAAGGGTTTGAAATTCTTGAAATCTCAAGTCTGGGAAGCTGGAACCATTTGAATGATACCTAATCTTAATACTTTAAATGACAAAACTCCAAGAAACTTTAAGATCATAATATATGGAGTAATAATATTTCATTTAAATTTATAATCATACCAGTGTAATCCCAAAATTTCATAGAAAAATTAAGAATCAAGAAAATTTTAAAATGTTATTCCGTATTTTCTTATTTAAACTACAATGTGACTAAAACTAAAACAGTGTTAATAGAGCCTCTTTTGGCCCTACAACTAAAATATTCATTTTAGTTTCTTAGTTTATTTGCACATAATTTATTAATTTAATTATTAATTTTTGTGGAAATGCAGCAAAAAAAAAAAAGAAATATTGGAATATTGGCAAGGTTACAAAACTTCCTGCTGGCAAGAATTAAATTTCTTGTCAAATTATTTTATGGCCCTACGTGCAAATTATTTATGTCAAATGATATAATGATTAATGACCCTTCTTTTTGTTTTCTAATTTGTTCACATGCATTAATAGCAAAATACCTCCAACCTTTTTTTGTACTGATATACTCACCCCGCTCCAATTTTGATTACAATCTTTTTTTTCTCTCAAATTTTGATAACTTTTTATTAATTTGTGTATTTTTATTGATTATTTGATAGAATAAAATATTCTTGTCAATTGTTATTTTGTAAAATTTTTGACGTAGTTTTTTAATATGTAATTTTTATTTTTTATTTTTATAGTTTTTTAATATGTAATTTTTATTTTTTATTTTTATAAATAAAATTATAAATCCCAATTTGTAATCAATGTGTTGGTTGCATTTGAGTCTTTTCATATATCATTTCAACGACCAAAGTAATGCAATTCATAATCGGCATTGGGTATCCAATACGATCAATTAACTAATTTTCTTCGAGCCATTATATTGTTTGTTATTTTAATTTTATATTTCCTAAAAATTAAAAAAAATAGAATTAGTGTTAGAAAATACGGAGTATGCCACTTAAGAAATTAATTGTTGTTACTCCGTATATATCATTGTTTTATTATTATGTCTAAAGCATTTTTATATACAAGTATTTAGTATGCACAAGCAAAATAATTAAATTTGGAAAACAAAACATAATAAAAAATAATTGTTCATAGTTTAGCTTTTTTTATTGTTGTGAGTCCTTCATGCATGTTGTATATATTATACTTCCTCCGTCCCAAATTAAATTGCCTATTTTGACTTTTGGACATATTTAAGGAAAATAAAAAATAGAGTTGATTTTCCGAAATTGACATTACTTTTTAGGAGGGGTGATGATGAATGAGAAGATAAGGCGAAGAAGTGTGACTTATTTTAGGGGTAGTTTAGGTATTTTATTTTTAAAAGTTTACGAAAAAACTAACAGGCAACTTATTTTGGGACGGAGAAAAAGGGCAAACATGCAATTTAAAATGGGACGGAGGAAGTATATAAAAACTTAAGTACAGAGATGTTTATCAAACACAAATAATACGGAGTAATAATAATAATAATAATAATAATAATAATAATAATAATAATAATAATAATAAAAATAATAATAATAATAATGATAATAATAATAATAATAATAATAGGTGTAAAACTGAATTAAACTGAATGACGTATAAATAAATTAAAATTATAAATGTTGAAAAGTAAAAAAGTGAGTAATTGAAATTTATTTAAGGAGAAGAACACAAGAAAACAAAACAACCAGACCTTTAAATTGCAATATGTGAACTATTTAATGTTTTTTTCATTCTAAATTAAACCCTAAAAAAACTTTTGATGGACTTTATCACTTTACTTTGTAGTGCGTGTACAATCACCAGAAATAATGGAGAGCTGGTCATTTTTAATTTGTTTGTCTTCTACTACATGAAATCCAAGATATGTCATGTCCTAAAATCATTTCAAAATTTTGGGTTCCTTCGATCCACGAAATTAATAAAATTAAAATTGAATTAAAATTAAAATTTTAAAAAATTAAATTGGATGAAATTGAATTGTTTAATTCAAATTCATTTTTTGCTCTATTCATTCGAAACCCACATATTTTTGTGCTACCAAACAGTCATGAAACAATCATAGTCCATAATAATTTTACCAAAAATTTTCACTTAAAATTTGTATAAAAAAATAAATTATCAAATGGTCAATGGGTATCATAATATGACTGAATCCTATAGTCTTCTAATGTAGATGTCCATGCTTGTATTAAAAGAACCTAGATCAAGAAATTAAACAAAACAAAAAAACTTAACCATTTAAATTTTTTAAAAAAAAATGTATGTAATGAATAAGAAGTGCATACCTCAAGATAGATATCAATGGCTCTATAGACACCATCAAAGCAGTCCCTTGCATCATCTGGCAAGCTCTCTGCAATGGCAAGAAACTTTGAGATTCTGAGGCTCTGATCTGGAGAAATCTCACCCAAATACCTATCAATCAATCTCCCAACCCTAATCATCTTCTTCATCTTGCCAAGATCATCATTATCACCATCACCATTGTTGTTATGATCAATGAACAGTCTGATCAGTCTCACAACCAGATTCACATCATACACATTCCCATTTTGCCCACACACCAGCAGATCATCCAGTGTGGCCTTCTCAAGAACTCCACCTATCAATCTCTCCAGCTTCTCCCTCCAATCTCTCCTCACCCCAAATCCAGACACAATTCTCAGTACCCAGAACAGGCTTCTGCAGGAAAACCCAGTTTTGCCCCTCAAAATCACCCCTTGCACTGCTCTCTCTGCAATCCCACTGTAATCTGAGGGTGCTCTTGGAATTTCTCCACTGTTCTTGCTCTGGCCTGCTCTCTTTAGGTAGTGCAGGAGGAACTTTGTGAGGGTTGGGCTGTTCTTCTCATTCTTCCCGAAATATCCCAAAAATTTCTGTATTGTTCTCGGGGGTAAAACCGTCATATCTTCAAACCACCATGCTCTGGAGGAGGAGGAGGAATAAGAACAAGAAGATGAAGATGAAGAAGACGAAGAAATGTCTGGATTCTGAAAAATCTTGGCTACCAATGAATCCATGAGCCTTGTGATTAGCCCGCAAGAATCTGCAAAATCAAAGAAGGGTTCGCAGGATTTGAGAGCGGAGAGGATTTCATGCCAAGACCAGACCCAAATCCCTTCAAGAAAAATCTGGGTTTGGTGGAAGAGATTGAAAGGGTGAATCTTTTCTGTCATTTCAAGAAACGCGGCGGCGCAGTGGAGGATTGAAACGTTTGGGACGGTGATTCTCACAGTCTCGCCGCCGCTGTAACAGAATCTTGAAACCAATTCGAACCCGTCTGGGCCTCCTGGGAAATCGTCAAAATCGATTCTTGATGTCTTCTTCGTGTCCTTCCTCAACCTCCCGGAGTATCTTGCCAGAACTTTCTGCAGAAAAATAAAGAGAGGAATTTGGGTAGGGAATGAATGAATGGAAGGATGAATGGGAGAATATAATGATGTTATATACATACCTGATGCAGAAAGAAACTGTGGTGGCCATTGACATGGATGAGGAGATCGCAGTGACAGACCTCCTCTGGAAATGCCATGACGGCGGCGGCGGCGGCGGCTCAGAGCATTCAATGAAAGAGGATACAAAAAACTTGTTATAAATAAACAGTGAAATAAATGCTCCGTCTCTCATTCTTGTGAATGTCCACTTCTTTCCCTTTTAAACTTTTTGTTCAAATCTGTTGAAGATTTAAAAATATTTAGAATATTACATTAAAAATTATACTCCTTTCCTCACAAAAAATTTGCTACATTTTACAAAATGAGACAAAATATTACTTCTTTTGTCTAAAAATATTCTTTAATTTGATTTTTACATGAGTTCCAAGATTGAACTTGAACCACTAATATCTTTAATTATACATAGATATATTTTATAAAAATTTTATATTTAAAAACTACAATTCAATAGGAATATATTGATTTTAAAGTTATATCATAGCACAATGTATTTTTCCACATATGAGAGTCAAATTTTAAAAAAATTGATCAAGAAATACTCCATTCATCCAGAAATATTTTTCATATTTGACTTTTCTTAGTCAAAATTTATAAGATATAAATTTAATACTAATATATTCTTAATTAGACGTAGTTTTGAAATATCAATTTGTATAAAATATATCCATGGATAAAGATAAATATTAAATGTCAAAGTGCAATATTCAAGACCGTGAAAAATTAAATGGGGAGAATATTCCTGGACGGAGGAAGTAAAACTAAAATTTACATATTTAAAAATTACATAAAAAATTCAAAATAAGAGGTGTTACGAATTTTTTTTCAAACAATCAAAGAAAACGTACAAACAAAAATTCTTGTAATAGTTGAAAAAAGAAATGTAGCACTCTTCTCAAACGTAGGGAGTGCAAACTAAAAGAAGAGTTTATTACATTATTTTGCTAATTAATCAAAGAAAATATGTAGGTAATTTATTACTCGTAACTTATACATTAGTACTACCCCCGTCAATATAGTTAATTTTTAAAGGAAAAAAAAGAAAATATGTTTTGGAGTTTAAAAAAGGGTCTAAAACAATTCAAGGGCTTATTATTTTTGTAATCAAATGGAGAAGTTTTGAAACAAAAAAATAGATAATTTTATTTAAAAGATGAACCCCATCTTGGAGTGTCTTCAAGACGGTCGAGCGGTCATCTGAGAGAAAATAAATTAGGATTTAGTTGCAGATTGGTAGCAAAGGGTAGAGTCGGCATTCTGACATTTGTAGAAGCCATATGCTTAATTGGTATAGTTGTGACTTTGGTTTTAGGGTAGTTATCTGAAAATCAGACTCGAATCTTATATGATCATCTTGACCTTTCTTGACTTTATAAACTACGCAACCTCCACCGATACACAAGATATTTATATATGAAGGAGCAGCTAAAAGTACAGAACAAGGAATTGTCCCCACTACCATACTATGGATAAAATATATATAGGGTCGGTGATATCATTTTGTTACGAATGGAAGTTGCTTCCCTCGTATGCAACTATGGCCTATGGGTATTTCTATTGCTCTTTTTGTCCCCATTTTGCTGTTTTTTTATTTTTTTTAAAAAATCATGGGTCATTGTTTTTTTTTCAAATGGTTTCAAATAGAGCGTGTTTGGTGAATTTTGGAAGACTAATATTTCCTCTCCTTAAAAGATATTCATATTTTATTTTTTGTGCATCTGATAAAATATTTCTATTCCACTAAAAATGTTTAGAATACTACCAAATCAACTTTTGATCATTTAATTCAGAAGACTTGTTCATTAGTTTATATGATGAAAATATAAAAATATCTTTCATTTCATTGTCATTAAATAAGCATTTTTGAAAAAAAACCATTTAAAAATATATCTAAATTACAAAGGATCACGTGAGTAATATTTATTTATTGAAAACTAATTTAGAAAAAATATCATATTAGAAACAATCATTTTAGGAATTTACTCCGTATTTTTTTGGTGACCATGGAAAGAAAGACAGCTAAAGTTTGACTCTCGTGTTTGTTTATGGGGACAGGGCGATCGGATTACATTGCAAAACATGCATGTGAAACTTGGGACCCACCTAAAATATTCAACTCTGGTTAATTACTTCTTCCCTCCACTTGAATACTTACTGCGTATATTCGTTAGATACATTATTCACATAATCAAATTTTATATACTTTATTTTTTATTTTTGTTATTCATTTTATAAAATAATATAATCATGTCATCTCAAATTTTATAGATCTTTTAATATAATTTTTTAATATATACCCGGAGTAATTTTTATTTGCGCTCCACCTTCACTTAACAGCATTCCAACTTTATCCATTCTCTCTCAAATTGACCATAATATCCTTTGATTTTTTTATTAAAAATTGCATTTTGAATTGAATTTTTTAATGATATATATGTGTGTATGCACGTCTCTATAGTCCTACTTTTGGTTCATCCTCTCCATCTTTGCCTCATTTTATCAAGCGGTAAGTGCGATCTGTGATGGTCTGAAATACTATCAGATTCCATCACGTATTCTGTTTTGAAATGAAATGGTACAAAACCATACCTTGCTCAAATCATGCATGCTTAGAGGTTACACATACATAAAATAATATTAAAACACAAGCATAAAATGATTTGAGTTTGAAAATCAGAACGCAAAGCGTTTGGAGAAATATATATGAAATTAAATCACAGTCAGTATTATAATCACATTAAAATCCCAAAATACTCCGTAAGATAGTACTCCCTCCGTCCCATTTTAAATTGCCTGTTTGCCTTTTTTCTCCGTCCCAAAATAAATTGCCTGTTAGTTGTTTTCGTAAACTATTAAAAATAAAATACCTAAACTACACTTAAAATAAGTCATTTTTTTTCACCTTATTTTCTCATTCATCATTATCCCTCTTAAAAAGAAATGTCAATTTTGAAAAATCAACTCTATTTTTTATTTTCCTTAAATATGCCTAAAAGTCAAAATGGGCAATTTAAATTGGACGGAGGGAGTATTACGGATGACCGTCACACAGTGCACTCACTTATAGAGACGAGCATACAAACATATTGTATTACTGTATTAAAAAGTTCAATTCAAAGGTCAATTTGAGAAAGAATGGACAAATATAATTCCCCAATAATAAAAATGTACGTAGTAGTACTCATAGTCGTAGTGATACTCCCTTCTCGTTACGTTAATAATAATAATAACAATAACAATAATAATAATAATAATAATAATAATAACAACAACAACAACAACAATAATAATAATAACAACAACAACGATAATGAGAATAGTCATAGCAAACACAATAATACTAGGCAATAATTAATCATAATTATTGTATAATAATAAGGTCTTAGCTTGTTCCGATCCTTCCACCTCTGGGTAATTGCTAAATGGACTTAAGTGTCATTTTTAAAAAGTTATAGACCTTTTAAATACATAGTAATTGCAAAAAAAAGAAATTTTACAATGATGATTTAATTTTAAAAAGAAATACATAGATTAAAAACAAAATCTGCTAATTTTATAGTTATGAAACAAATATTCAAGGTAAGCTAACTGGCAAGGTAGAGCACAACTGGGGTCAGGGTCGGCTCAAGCCAAGGTCAAAGTGGCCACTTGGTCACGACCCAATTTTAGAGGGGGCCCACTATCTTTTTGTAAATATATTACGAGTATATATATTTATTTATTCTTTAATTATTTATGTAAAACTTGCCGTCTCAACCTAAATCACATGTTATTGTTTATAATGTTTGATTGTAATTATTTTCAATTCATTTTATTTGAAAATTGATGTAGAAATAAAAATAAAATTTACATATTTAAAAGTTAAACCAAAAGTCTTAAATCAACCAATTTGCTCTCAAGAATCCTAGAAAAACTTCATGAATCTTTAGCTAGCTATTAATGCATGTAAATATAGATTTATAAAAATGTGAATTTGGCTTTTTATAATTCTTATTACTATTGTAAGAGTAATTTTTATTATTGTTGAAAAATATAATTTATAGATTTTTCTTCATTATGACACAATGACCTATTTTCTCGATATTGTCTAGGACCCCTAATTTCTCGAAGACGGAAATATATTCCAGCCTTTTATATAGAATGTTAACATTTTGATATATTCGAGCTGGTGTGAGTCACAGAGTGAAACCTAATTCAAAAGTTTGAACTATGATAGATCGTGTGATGAGTTCGTGTGAAGAGTAGAACTTTTGTGATATTAGTTTTGGACAATTTAGAAGGTGATGAAGTTGTTTACCAAACCCTCTTTGTCAACTTTGACTTGTGATTATTAAAGATGGAGTTAGATACTATGTGGATGTTTCAATTTTTGGTGTGTTTAGTACGGAGTAACTGGTTAAAATTGTTTATAAGCAGTTTTTCAATTTATAAGTCAGTTGATATATATAAACTCATTAAAATAAAAAAAGTAAGTAGTTAAGTAGGTTTTACCTACTTATTTTTTAATTTGTTTTACATTTATCTGTATTGAGCAGATTATTTACAAAATTATCCTTTACTATTTATGAATATTCTCAAATGACTCTAAAATAAAAATTAACTTGGGGTGCAATTGAAGAGAGTAGTAAGTGTGTTTAATAAAAATTAACTTGGGGTGCAATTTACGAACGAGGTTCCGGGTCAACCCGTGACATTGATTCTCAATCTCATGGGATTCAAGGGGTATGAAGTTATAGCAAAATTAGAAAATAACACTAAAATTACTCATTATAAAGTTACTCTTTTTAAAAAAGGTAGAATTTTATGGGACAAAGGGAGTATACAATATAATTTCTACTCCCTCCGTCCTAAAACTTTCTTCCCAAAGCACTATTCTAACTTCACGGAAATTTATATCTAGTTATGTTTTTTTATGGCCTATATGATAAAATAAAATATACTTGTCACCACTTGTTTTGTTAAACTTTTGATGTAATTTTTAAATATGTATGTTTTATTTTTTATTTCTATACTAATATTTAAATAAAATAGATTGAAAAAACTTAGAATTTTTTTCGTTTACCGAACCGGGAAGAAAAATATAGGACAGAGGGAGTATTTAATTTGAAGTCAAAAATCAAAAAAAGTTATATACAAAAAGTCAAAACTAGGCAAAGTAGTTTACCCATCATATTTTTATGTATAGTGTCTTTATCACGATACTCCGTCGTATAAGGACAAATACTAGGAATGCACCATATATTCACATACACGTAATAGAAAATGTGTAAAAAAAAATGTGCCCTTATGGGGTACTGAATAGAAAAAATGAACAATTTATTCTCCTTGTTAACCACACACTTCCCAAATTTCATAACAATAAATTCAATAATTGCACCAAAATCTTTTAGGTATGCAAAAAGAAAACTCAGATGCCAAAAAAAGGTGCCAAACAGGCAGCGCAAAACCATTCATGAGAGAGGAAACAGCTTAGTACAATAAAACAGGAATTCATCTCCAAACCATACCTCTGTTAACAATCATCATAAGCCGCCGCAAGCAAACGACTTGACGCAATGGGTGTTGTTGGAAGGGACAAACAGTAGAAGCCGTTGATATCAGAGAAATGTCAATCACAAACTAAACGGTCACAAAATTTACGAGCTTACCATTTGTGGATTTAAAGTTTTTACTTTTTAGTTATTTGAAGTTATTTTAAGCTCTTAATGAGGTCCACAAATAGCGAATTTGTGAATTTTGTGATCATTTAGTTTGTGATTCTAGCATTTCTCTTAATATCTGTACCTACTACTTCGGTCCCTGCTGTCACGTCCGTGATCTCTGTCGCAATCATAATCATAAGAGGACCGGTGATCTCTGTCTCGGTCTCTTCCTCCCCTATCTCTCTCCCGGCTTCTGCTCCTGCGTCTCTCCCTCTCTTCTCTCTCTCTTCCTCTCTCTCTACCTCTGTCCTTTCGATCTCGATCGGACATCCCTGTGCCATTCATTTCATTTCATCAGTGGCTTGCCAGTAAAAGAATGTTAGACCAAGGATACACACTCATCAAGAAAAGATGTTAAGTCTCTTCACTTCAAAAAATATCCTTCTGTGTGAAAATGGCACGGAGATTAAGAGTAGCAAGAAAATTATCTAAAAGATTGTGCCTATGTTTTTGGGTTTGGAAAATGTGAAGTGAAAAATACTCCATCAATGAATCAAGTTTGCACTTTCCCATTTTTGGATCTCTAAAATGCAACTTTGTGCTTCTCCGTTTCCCATTTCGAAAATAAACACTCCATGTGAGCAATCGTATTTCTCTCTTCCACATAAATTTCAACCACACGTCACTTTTCATCAAACACTTTTCCCATTTCGGCACTGGTTTTCTTAAACTCTGTGAGGTCAAAGTGTCAGGTTTTGATTTAAAAATAGTAGTAGTAAAAGGTGCATGCCAAAAAAGGAAATAAGGAGTTAATTTTTGAACGGAGGGTACAAGTTAAACTCGTGTGTACTAAGGGTTTGCTCTTTTTAACTTATTTTTAGCAAAGTTCAGAACTACGGAGTAATTAGTTAGCAAGTACAACTAAAGTATTTAGCTTTCAGTTAAAGCCACAAAATCAAAGTCAAGACTAGACGAAGTACCTAATTCTTCCACCTCCCATCCTGCACGCCCAACACCAGGGAGGCTCTGGACAACTTCAGCTTGCTGTGCTTTAGCACGGAACTTTTTCTTCAGGTTCCCAAACTCATCATACATTTCTCCATCATCCTGAGAGAAGAAAAAAAGATATAAAAAAATGTTGAGAAACCAACCACAACACAACCAGAAAACAGAGTATTCCCACCTCTGTTGGGGCCTGGGGTCATGATATCCACAGCCTAAACCCTTTTGGAAACATTGCTGCATTTACTACCCAAAAACTTCATGGAAAGGAAAAGAACAAAGTGTAATGTGTGATTCTGATTCAACCAACTACCTAAAGCTAAAACATATGCAATATACTACTCATTTAGTTCCATTGGTGGTGAACACTATGTCAAAAAAATCATTGTAAATGGAATACTCCCTTAGTCCCCAAGAGAAACTTATGGTTTGACTTCATGGAGTTTAAGAAAGTTGTTGAAAAGTGAAAAGTGTGGATAAAATTTGTTTAGAGGTAAGAGAAATGTTGTAACACATTTAATCCTTTCTATTTATGGAATGGAAAAAAGGGAAGTGATAATTTGTTTTGGGGATGGAGGGACTGTATAAACTTCACACCCACAAATATACATACTTCAGCCTCTCTTCGACGCCGCTTTGTTTCTTCCAACTCTTCTTCATCAAGTTCTTTATAACCTCCACCACGCCCCCCTCTGCAAGTACAAAATTCAGGTAAGTGTGAATGTAAAAAAACTACATCTATAATTAACCTTTTTTCTGAAATGTTTTGCTCTGTAATTTCTGTATCATTTTGTTACTGAGTTTTACAGATATTAATTTAATGAACTTTTTGGTTATGATTTTTTTGTAAACTTACGCAACATGTTAATTAATACCATATATACTCTGCACCTTTTAATTCAAACCACTCCCTTTTCCCATATTTATCTTCAGCTTTACTCCATACTATTTACATGGACAAACATTATCTTCTTTCATACCTATTTACTTAAATCATTTGTTAAAATAGCATAGTCAGGTTACAAGTAATTTCATAGAGTTTTTAACCTAGATTTTTTATATATAAGTTTCATTTATAAATTTCACACCTATACTTCAATAAATCAAATTGAAAATAACTTTGGACAAACATCATAAACCGTAAAAATGAAATAGTAATGAAACTGAAGGAGTAATAGTTAATATAATGGTTTGTAAGTTAATATTCAGATACTGAAAAAAGGCACATAAATGAAGTCTGTGTGTGTGCGGGTGTATATAAATGACGGCACACCATAGTTCTTTTCACGCCGTATTTTGGGGCCATTATATGCCACCAGGGCACCTAGAGTGTTCTGTTGGGCCCAGGGTCGGGTCTCACCCCCCTTACACCCTTGCTAGAGCAGCAACCCTCCAACCACCCTGAACCCATCCCCTATATCCCGAGCCCAACAGAGCATCATGTCTCTGAAATGGCTCAGTGTCAAATTATGAGAGGCTTGATGTCAAAAATCAAAAGAACCATTCCAATATAATCTGTATTAATTAGCAAAACATTAAAGTTCTGGATTTATTTTGAGTAATTTTTATTAAACTATTAATTTGAACTATCTTTTAATCTTCAGAAAATTAATTATTCTATAGCTCTCAATCAATTATATAAGCAAATTTAAATACTCCAAATATGAAAAATCTACTAGCAGTAAAATGTTCACAAGAAGATGGGGATAAAGATGATAGATGACCAAAAGATCCGAACTTTATGGTGGGCCATTTATGAAGTGGTATCGAGATGGGGTCGAAAGAGGGAGTGTGACATTTATTACTTTGCCACAAATGAAACGTGGACAAATGCATTGGGACAGCCCGAAAAGAAAAAGTGGACAAACACATCAGCACAGAAGGGAGTATAATATTACTGCTAATAATAAATTAAGTACCGACTAATAAATTATGATTTCTATATCTCACCAATAAAAAATCATGTACTCGTGTTAGACAAAGGTAAAATAATACAACCTACAACTGCTGTAGACTGTCAAATATATAGCTGTATTTATAAATTTCTGGTTTTGGTTGGTTTAAAACACTTAGAAATATGACTCTTTTTTGGGATGGGGAGTGAAATATTTTTATAAATAGTTATTATTTTATTTTATTGAAATTCCATACTTTTTTAATCTGAACTTTTTGAATATAATCTTTCCAATTTTATAGAAATATTGAGCTATTCTGAATTTTGTGTGACTGTACTATGAAAGTTACTCAAAAAAAAAAAGATCAAACAAAAAAGCATGGTGAAGAGTACAGGCACCGATTGTTTATTCTCGCAGCCAAAGGGCATCAAACTATTAAAAAATAACCGTCCAAGCCTTCCAGTGCCAAAAACAGAAACCATGATAACAATTAAATGTAACAAACAAAAAACCTCTACGAGTTGAATGATTCATTACCTCACACCACCCTCATTGTGGCCAGGTTTGTTGGTGTTGCAGATGTTACATTTCATGCGCTTAGCCCAATTGATGTTGCCACACCTATAAATCAGCTTTAAAACAATAGTTAAAAGCTATCAAGACTAGTACAAAAAATACAAACATTTGAAAGAAATCATTTTTCACCAACATAAGTTACAATAGCAATGATGGTGAGTGAAATATTGACAACTGTATGTTTTTCCATCCAGAAACCAGTCATTCAGTTTAACAACCAACATATCAAATCTTTCCAAACACTTTCATTTCATAGCCCATATCATTTCTTCCCTATTTTAAAACCCATATCACTCTAACCTTCCAAAACTCATCAAACAGACCCTTAACCTTTGTGTCAAGTCAAACCATAAGTAATAAATGGGGGCAGTAAGAGTTTGTTCTCTTCAACTTATTCTTATTAGAATTGATCAGATCGAACCAAAAAAGAAATAACTTTAAATATAACTAGAACCAAAGACAAGATCACACCTTAATAAAATCAAATTAAATCCAATCAGATCAGATGGAGAGAAAAGGCTCTAACTATTTATACTTGAGAATCAAAAGATAATTGGGATGTTAGCAATTAATACATTATTACAATGTTAGGTCTCAATGGGGAGGAAGGAGGCTTATTTGAACTTAAAGTTTGGCTTGCAAATTATATTTCATTGTGTATGCTCTACTCTTAGAAGCTTTTCTGAATGATATATACTCCCAATTATAAACTAACGTATAATTGGGAGAATAGATTTAAGTTAGGCATGCCAACTTCAAGAAAATTTTTTGAGATTTGAGGAGAATAGTTTTAAACACAAGGCATACACATGAACAAAGCCATATAGGTAACAAGTGGAGGAAATCATAGATAATTTGTGGGCTTATACTTGAAGGCTGTAATTGCATATGAAAACGAGGATCACTGGGCAGATAGTGGAAAATGTTTTTTAAATGTTTTTCAGATATTCAAAAGAGAAGAGCTTCCTTACATGGGACAAGACCAGTCATTTGGACCAAATAGACCAGGAGGACCACCAACTGCATGACCAGGAGCACCTGAGTCATTGTTACCACGACCTCTACCTCGCCCACCAGCCCCAGCACAACCACCGGAGACACCAACAGGGCGAGCAGTGCCACAACGATTGCAAACACCGCGAAATGCAAAGTTCACATTAGAGCAACTGTGCAAATACAAAATATGACAAAATCATTGGCACAGGGATATATTTGGATGCCAAAACATAGAACAGATATAGAATGAGGAAAGCAAGAAAGAGTTTCTCACCGATAACTGCATCACAGACCTTGTATTTGGACACATCCAGTCCCCTTCTTGTTGCCATCCTTTACCAGATGAATCTCCCCTGCCCCTACCATGTCCGACTCCTCCATTTATATCATTAGAACCTTCATCCATGCCAGCAAAACTACTTTCTAGGTTCACGTCTCCAACCTGGGTAGATGATTTATATGAGTGATCATCTTTGCTTTTAGACTCCGCAATAAAGACTCCAATTGTTGATCCATGAAAATCCTTGTTGTTGAACCAATCAATAGCAGCTAATGCAGCATGTGGGTCCTCATATGTGACAGTTGCATCCCCCTTGGGCTCATTTGTTGCTTTGTCACGGTACAACCATATCTTGGGTCGGCCGGTTCTTTTGTCCTTCTATAACACACAAAAGCATGCTACATAAATTAGGACAAGAAACAGAAAAACAAAATAGATGTATAAAAACATATGTACCCAATTTAAAGTATAAACAAAACAAATGCTCCATTTGGTAAGCCATTAACACTAACTTTTTTCACTGCATTTACGGAATGGAAATTGATGATAATGATGACGATGATGGCAAAAGTTGATGTTTTTTTAAGTAGTGAATTTAAGATACATGAAACTTCATTTGTACCAATGGGTAAATACCTTTAACACCCCAATTGTGCCAAAATGCTCAGCTAACATATCTTCATCTGTACCAATGGGTAAATTACAGACATATACAGAACCATTTGTCGGAACTCCCCTTGATGTATAGTTTGCCATTTGTCCCTGACTTGATAAAAATGAAGCAAGTATATTCACTGTAAATTGTAAAAGCAGCCATCTTAGATGAGTACAAGATTAATTTAGACAAGAGCTTTAAAAAACACAAAAATACACTTAAAATGGCTATAGTTACTGACAGTAGCAGAATAAAGAGTTAAACATTAATGTGCAAAACAGAAAATGGCAATACAACAGATACACATATACAAACAACAAATAGAGAAAAAGTCTCCTCACACATCAGGCCGACATATTTGAGCCGCATGTGGAGCATTTATCAATATGTCGAAGTGCTAACATATACCATGAGAGATGAGCGGCCACGTAAGGAAGCTTGGAAATGAAATTGTTGCAAAAAATCAAGCATTGCTCTTTAAGTTCACAACATATGAAATTGAGGGAGATATATTGTGTAGGTGTTTCGCGAACAAATCACTCCTTGGGTAAATATGAATTTGCTCTAAGGTAGCTTGTTTTGGACATAATTTAGGGCTCCTCCATATACCTATATATAAGAATCATTGTGTCCATTGTTAATGGAGCTAAGAGAGTCATTCTTTACCAAGCGTTAGCTTTGGGTAAATAATAGACAAAATCAAAATATCATGTTGAACTTCCATTGCTTCTTCCATTTTATGAAGTTTTGGGTGGCAAGTGAAGCAGTCTGCATTTTAATAAGGTTAGATTGCACAAACTTTGTCCCCAAACACCAATGGTGTTAATATAATACTGTGTTTGTTGTTGTTTTTGTTGTTGTTGTTGTAAGGATGTTTGTATCGCTCTCACCTTCCATATGTAAGTTCTATACAACTTTTATTTAAGCTCTCAACCATCACTTCAATGATTCCCTTGAAATCATTGAAATAAATAAATTTCCACTAACCTATCTACAAATGCTTGCACCGGACAGAAGTGAATATTGAAAGAATAGGTATGTGTTATCTATTAAAATTCCTTGCAAAACAAAACACTCCAGAAATTTCATAAAATCAAAGCTACATTGGCATCCCAAAATCCATATAAATCAATGAGAAACAGATACAACCAAGACCTGCTACAATAATTTCAGAGTACATACACAAAAAATATAAAAATAAAATGAGAAAACAAGAAAGTTTTAGATTTAAAAATATATACAGAGTATATGAAACTACAGAGGCCTATATGAAAGGTTACTCGTGTTATCTTAATGGAGTCGACCTTAGCCAAAATTTTATTTTTACTGCACACATATCAATACACCAACAGCTTGAGAGAACCATACGGAAAAATGCGGATAAAAAACATGCATAGATGAACAAACTTTAGCCACAGATCATATCAATATAAATTACATATCGCAAATGTATAAATTACACCAACAAGAGACTCCAAACACAGACCGTAATTGCATAATTGAAATATAAATCCAAGAAATCTACATACCATACAAGCATTAATGGCCAAAGCTACTGTCGTTGGTGATCATTTGCAAGTGTTAATCATATAATCTCCCCTCTCCCTCGCGATCAGCTGCATCAACTACACGGAGAAACAAGTGTCGCCCAATTGGTAAACAGTGATTAGTAGCTTAGCCAAGGTTCGTTATCCTCTCTAATGGCGGAAGAGAAGTGAAGATTCCCTGCCAATGATATGGGCGCTAGGGTTTTCCAGCCAAGACGATTACAATTATGAAGCTCAAGGTCAAAACTAGACCAGATCACACGATTATAGGTTGAGCCGGTAAAAAACGGCTTGAGTTTGGTTATTTAGGACCGGGTAGCTCATTTGTAGTTTGCCACATTTCCTTGGGTAGACCAAACTTGTCAAAAAAATGAACCGGCATGTTTTTTATTCAAAATTTAATTTAGAAAATATTAATTTTTTAACGCTTTTGTTGATAAAAGTAAAAATTGATTGAACACAAAAGGATCCGCTAAAAATGGATTTAATATGACCGAATCGAAACTCAACATGATTGATCCATTAATGTAAGAGTTCTAAAAAATCATGTGCTTTAATATGGATTATGAATCCCTCAAAAAATGAATTATGGTGTTTTAAAAATAAAATTATAATTATATTTTTTTCTTAATACTTGTTTAGTTTTTAGTGTATCGTATAAATTTATATTTTCAAATAAAGTTTTAATGATATCGCATAATTATCTTACTTTTTCAACGTTTCTGCATAATTAGTTTTTTAATATATATTTAGAATCTAAAAATCACATAAAATTTCAAAAAAAAAAAAATCATAACCCATTGGATCGACGAGATGATGATAGTGTTGAGTTATGAACATGTGATTCTCAATCCAAACCTGAATTTATTTGAAAATGACGTGATCGAACTCGAACCCGACTTGACCGACTAATTTGTCATTTCTACTCTGACTATTTTTCGGTCCACATTGTACCACAAATGGGGCAGGGTGGGAGTGTAGTAAAGGATAGGGCGGACTAGCGGAGAGGTTAAGACATAGGGGTGGCGGGGCAGCGCCAAGGTGGGGAATAGGGGATAGGGTGGCGGATGGATGCAAGGATGAAAAGTATGTAGGAATTCTTTTTCATAAGCAAATGAAATCATTTTTCCATTGATTGGAAAATGAAATCAAAATTTTTTGAAAAAATAAAATATTTTTTTGAGAAAAAATTTTCACCCAACTAAATTAACTCCGAATACTCCGCATTAGATTTACTTGAAAGGTCTAATTCTAAAGCAACTGGGTTTGGTTAACACTATGGTGACACTATTGTTTTAGGCATATCATTAACACTGCTTTGTTCATAAAATTGATGACTCAAACCTCTTAATCATCTACTATACCTCTCACCCTATGCAGAGTGAGAACTATTAATTTATCTAGTGGATCGATCACCATATGTGTCCTAGTTAGACTAGTACCATCCCAAACCACTCAAAGTGAGTGATTTTAAGACCTTATGCCCTTATCGTTGTTGAGGTTTAAAAAATGATTCTAGAATTAAACGGTTGGGAACGTATATACACTTATATATCAGTCACAATATATTAATATAATTAATATGGTGTGTTTTTTAAATGTTCTGGAAAAAAATTATTCTCTTACATTTCATTCCAACAATAAGAATGTTACAATCATATGGACTATTTAACTCGCAAAATTTGTTTCAACAATAATTATATTTTAGTTAATTCTGGAGAAATTCTTTGTAGTTTTAGTTTTATTTAGAGACATAACTACGGAATATATTAATATTTTCATGTCCTAAAACTAAAATATACTTTAAATATTCTTTATTTATATAATTTCATTGAGAATTGGACAAAATAATATAATTATTTTACTTTTTATTTTGAAGAAGCATTTTTCAATTGAAATATTACCTCCATCTACAATTTTTTCACATGTTTGATTTTCATGAAATTAAATAAAAATATTGGAAATGAAAGAATTTGGTTAAATATACTACGGAGTACGTAGTAATTTGAATTAAAAAAAAACAAGTCAATTTTTTTTAAAAATTACTACGTATAATAAAAAAAGTCATACTGGTATGCTGTCATCACTGTATCAAACAAACTCCGATCTCCGGCATGGCTATTAAAAATGGCCATTGATCGCCGCCGTCTGGTCGGCTGAACTTGCGAGTTGCGAGGGACTGAGTCAGCTCAGCGATGTCATCTTTCACTCAGCTGAAACCTTTAAGCCCTCAAGAATGGGAAACTCTAATCGACGACTACAACCACGGCGGCGTGCGGCTTCCCCGCTGGACCTCCACCCACTACACCGGCATCTACCTCTTCGAACTCGCTATTTCATCTCTCGCCCGGAAAGACCTCCCTCTCAACCTCAAGCTACACCTCATCGTCTTCCTCGAAGAGCACTGCTCCGCCGTTATTCCCGCAACCACCGCCTCCGCCGCCTTCATCCGGCTCAACGACACCCTCCGATCAGTCGTTCAATCTCCAAACGACGGCGTTTCGATCACTTTCGCTCTCAAGGAACAGTTTCTTATCTCCACCACATCCATCTTCATCACGACGAACACCAAAGGCGAGAGCAGATCGAATACAATCAGTTCTGGTCTAGTTCCTCAATTCGAATGCCTAATTGAGCTTCTGCTGACGATAATTAACAAACCTAATCACAGTGTAGATCGGCAAACCAGGTCCGTCGCCTGTGATTGCTTACGTGAGCTTGAAATATCTTTCCCTTGCTTACTCTCAGGCATTGTGTCTCAGCTGTGGATTTTGTCACAGAGCGAGAGAACTCACGCAGGCCAGGGATATGCGCTGCTATTGACCACAGCAATTTCAAACATTGTTAAGGTAAAACCTTACGATTCATTCGCTAATGCTTCTATGCCCTTGGTCCCTTTCAATGTTCCGTCTTTTCTGATTGATGACGCCGATGGTGATGATAATCATTCTATAGAGAAACGGATATCCGACTCGAGCATTAAGGACCTGAAGAGAGTAGTTGCGTTTCTGCTTGAATGGCCACACAACTTGACTCCATGGGGGTTACTGGAGTTCATGGATAAAATATTGCCTGTTGCTGCAGCTTTGGATTTGCAGGCCTCCTTGTTGAAGGTGCAATTCTCAGGACTGCTTTCTACATATGATCCATTGCTTTGGCATGCATTTTTAAGTTTGTATTTGAGGTTCAAGGAGTCGTTCAGAGGGCAGGAGTTGGAAATTGCCCGTAGGCTGTTGTTGCTGTCGAAAGAGTCTCAAAACCATTTGGTTTTCAGATTGCTGGTGCTTCACTGGTTATTGGCTTTCATTGGTCTATTGATCAAGAGTGATGAGGGAAAAAGGGGAAATGTTCTTGAAATGAGTTCGAACTTTTATCCGTCCGTTTTTGATCCACTTGCTTTGAAGGCTTTGAAACTTGACTTGCTTGCATACTGCTCTGTTTTGGCTCAAGGAAATGGAGCAATGAGCCCAAAAGTGTCTGTGGTAAAACTATTTGAAGATGCCCTTTTTTGTGTATCTGCTTTCAAATGGTTGCCTCATTGGAGCACAGAAACAGCAGTCACATTTCGCGCCTTTCACAAATTTCTGGTTGGTTCATCATCTCACTCAGAAACTGTTTTTGTTCCCAACAAAGTTCTCTCAGAGTCCCCTATCTTCCACACCGTGCAGGTAGAGTCCTTTTATATGATGAATGCCCGAGTCATTAGTTCATTACCTTCGTGTTCATTTACTCCCTATTGCCCAAGTAAAGCGTTTCCTGCTTGTCTTATTTTTAGCTGATTCAATCAAGATAAATGCCTTTACAAATTAGAGTGGTCACTTATTTGGTTATTCCCCTACAACTTAGCTAGAAAATGGGTTGGAGTAGTTGACATAACCGTTTGTGGTTTGGCTTTACTAGGAGTTTACTTAGAAGATTGAACCTACTCTAAAAAAACCAAATCTTTTTGGGACTAGGTTGACTTTTTTGCTATGGATGGATAATCCATATAGATACAAGTACAATATCCAAAGAATAATTGAACCCCCTAGACTGGCATGTCCCAATTTTTATCATAAATAAGGAAAGAGGATGATTGCACCGGGCCTCAAGGGGTTCTTCCATATACCATAGTAGACTATAACCAACCCACTTGAAGCTCAAGACATGCAATTAGTTGGGTTATTTGTTATGGTATTACATAGGCTGCGAATATAATTATATCAGATCTGGTTTTAAGTTGTAAAATAATTTGTTCTTAAATGTAGTTAGAATATTATGCATTTGATGACTATATTGTAAGACATGTACTCCACTGTCTAACTGCCTAGATTTTAGCAGACAGCCTGTTTGTCCTATGTACTAACTCCTAAGAACTCAGAAACAATTGTTCTTCTTCAATAAGCCTGGTTTTCCAAATTAGGTAAGCTACTGCATAGCATTTTCCTTCTGTTATTACGTTGAATGATTGATCTTGTCATGTTAGCTCAATTTGTTGATGGTTGGGTTGGGAAACTACAAATAACTGCAACACTAAATGTTAATTTGTTATGTGATGCACCCAAATTACTGTAACATATTATGGTGCTTTAACCCACATAAGGCTTCAATCCACCTTAGCAAACTATTTTAATTGGTGGTGATTCAAGTCCACTAGAGAGGACTTACCTTTAATCTCGAGTTTTCCTTTAAAAGTATTCAACTTGATTTTGCAGAAAACACTGGTTGCCACTATGTCTGAAAATAAAGGAATAGTACCTGCTATTATCACCTTCATTGACCGATTACTGGCATGTCATAGACACCACCTGTTGGGTGAACGCCTACTTATGGCTTTTGATGAACATTTACTTTCTAAACTCAAGCTAGATTATAGATTGGGATCTTACTTCCCACTTTTAGAAAAAATTGCTGAGAGTAGTAAAGTATCACCAAGAGGATTGATAGAGCTCCTTACAAGGTTTGTTACTGTTCTTGTTGAGAAGCACGGTCCCGATACAGGGTTGAGATCTTGGTGTCATGGGAGTAAAGTTCTTGGGATTTGCAGAACAATGCTTATGCATCACTGTAGCTCTAAGTTATTTCTTGGCCTATCCCGTCTTCTAGCATTCATTTGCCTTTACTTTCCAGATTTGGAGGTCCGTGACAATGCAAGGTAGTACTTCTCTTAGAAGATCCTTTTTTTACCTTTTCATTCCTATATTCACTTGACTATGCTTGGGTTTTTCAGTGTTTTGTTTTTTTCATGATTTTCAGCTTGATTTCACAATATTAATCTTGTAACAAACATGACAACGGCAAGTATCTTAACGTATCACTGTCACATGATATTTCCCATGTAGGTGAAAATTACATATGATGACTACCGTTTGAGAATTTCATCTCAATTTCTTCATGAGAATGTTGCGGCAAGGACATCCATCATAAAACTTTGTCGCTCTGTTTTTTTACATAGTTAATGTTAACTAATCTTAGGTGCTAAATTGATTAGCACTATAAGTTTCAAGCCACTGACCCCAACTAGTTTGGACTAAGGTGCTAATGATTGGTGGGCAAATTCTTACATGGTCCTAAAGTCCATGCTCATTTTATGGACCTTAGTGCATTTTGGTATTATAAAATAATTGGGTCTTTTGCTAAAAAAGAAAAGATCCACTTGCCAGTCCATGAAAAGTGTGTGAAGGCCTACATTTCACATGTGGACCTTAGGACCACGGAAGAACAACTCACGATGGTGATGAAAGACTATGCATTAGAAAATACAACTTGTTTGAAACTTTTAAGATTGTGCATACATTTATATTTCTTAGTCTTTATATAGTAGAAATATTTATATATAACTAATTGACTTTAGACAAATATCTAAAACTGATAAACTGAGTTTGGACTAAATTTTTATGTTTCACCAGGTTTTCTTCCAAATTTATCTTCTATTTTCCTCTCTAAATTATTTCCTTGCCATATTCCGTGATCCAGACATACCCTTGTTGTTTTTCATGGATGGCTCATTTCCCAATCCCCGATGCCTGGATACTGCCATACTGGTCACTAATTCATTGTTTGGTACTCTTCACAGAATTTACCTGCGGATGTTGATTTGTATACCAGGGAAAAAACTCAGGGACATATTGAACAGTGGGGACCACCTTCCGGGTGTATCTCAGTCTAGTTCTTTTTCTACTCTTCACTCTCCTAGGTTTTCCCGGGACCTCAAGAAATCGAAGGATATATCATCGTATATTCACTTGGAGCGTGCAATTCCTCTATTGGTTAAACAATCTTGGTCTTTATCACTCCCAACCACCACAGGCTTTGAACCTGGTTACTTAGAACCAATAAGTGAGCCAAGAAGGGAAGCAGATAGAAGTGCTGATTACTCTGAAACCCATCAAACTATTAATCTGCAGACAGAACCTCTACGTGTGCTGGACTCCAAGATTTCTCAGATTGTTGAAACACTGAGGAAGTATTTTTCATCTATTCCTGACTTCAGACACATGCCGGGGTTCAAGATTAAAATACCATGCTCGTTGTGGTTTGAATCAGAGCCGTTCAGTCGGGTATGGGGTCCCGAGACAAACGGATCAGATCAACTTCCTGCCATGTATGCGACCGTTTTAAGTTTTTCTTCTTCTGCTCCTTATGGGTCAATCCCTTCATGCCATATTCCTTTCCTTATTGGTCAACAGCATCCCCCCAATGGAAGTAATTCGTTAGACATAGTCCCAGTAGGAGAGATGGAAGGAGGATTCCTCAAAACTCCAGTGGTAATTGAATTGGAACCGCGGGACCCAGTGCCCGGGCTTGTTGACGTGTGTGTAGAAGCGAACACAACCAACGGCCAGATCATCAAAGGCCAGCTTCGTAATGTCACAGTGGGGATTGAGGACATGTTCCTCAAAGCTGTCCATCCGGATGACATAAGCAGAGACACAATGCCAGGCTATTACATGGAGTTGTTCAATGCTCTATGGGAAGCCTGTGGGCCCCCCGGCTCTACTGGCCGGGAGACATTCCTGCTGAAAGGAGGCAGAGGGGCTGCTGCGATCAGTGGGACCCAATCAGTGAAGCTTCTAGAAGTACCAGCCGCGTCTCTCATCCTAGCCATCCAGCAGTGTTTGGCTCCCTTTGTTGTTTCTGTCACCGGTGAGCCTCTTATTAACATCTTGAGGGACGGGGATGTCATTAGGGACATTGTCTGGGGCGACATCACCTCGGATTCTTCCAAGTATCTGGACAGTGGGCCCCTTTACCTCAAATATCTGGACAACGAAGAAGAAGAAGAAGACGACACACGAGAAGGAAGTGGGGCTCTTCCTCCAGCCAGTAACAAGAGGAACATGGGATGCATTCAGATTCTCATTTTCCTGCCACCACGATTCCATCTCTTGTTCCAAATGGAGGTTTGTGATTCTTCGACGCTTGTTCGGATTAGGACGGATCACTGGCCATGTCTGGCTTACACTGATGACTACTTGGAAGCTCTGTTTTGTCCATAGCTATACTTTCAGAAGAGCTGTGATGGGCTTCCTATTCTTTTTCTTCATTGCTATATTATCTCTTGGAAATATCCTTTGCCCTAATTTCGAGTAGGGATAAGGTTTGCGTATACACTTCCTTCCATTAGTTCCATACATTATGTGAAATTTTATCGAGTTTGTATAGTTCCAAAATTGTACTCCCCCGGTCCTAAAATTAAGATGGAGGTATATTATTGTATTTGTATTTCTTGAATTTGATTTTTTTTTCTGGTTATTTATATTAATTTTGGAGGATATTCAAATCAATTGAGATACTTATTTCTAGAAAATTTTGAATGCAAAAGGTCTTGCAAGTTGCAATGTACTCCTTAATTCTACAATATTTATATAGATTCTCATACTTGAGCAAATTATTTATATTACGGTTGTACTTTCTGATTTGATCTGATTGCAGTTATAATTAAAGCTGTTTATGATCTAATCTGGTCTGATATGATTATAGTAAGAATAAGTAATAAGTAGAAAAAATAAATTGAACGGAATGTTATCTTAATCGTTAATACATTCTAATGTTTTCATCAAATTTCTCTCATCAAAATATGTATATCCTAACTATGTATATGCATCAAACATTCAAACTATATTAGAGTATAACCAACTTGTTGGTAAATGGTGTAGATGGATGAGCCAAAGTTGATAATATGCTTCAGATGTGATATCAATTAAATAAGCCAAGTTCATCAATAAACGATTTTAGAAAAATAAATGGATGACTTTGGGTTCTTTTTTCGTACGAAAAAAAAAGTAGATTTGATGATTTTGGTTTACTCTTACTCCCAAAGAAAAATAAAATAATTTTTCTGTCCCAAATTAAATTACTTATTTAATTTTTAGAGAGTTGAGTTTCATTCACTTTTTTCTTTATTTTTGTTAGTCATTGATAAAATGATATAATCCTGTCACCACTAGTTGTGTAAATCTTCTAATATAATTTTTAAATAAGAAATTATCCTACATAACACTCTAAGTCATTTAATATTACGCATATAGCAATCCTTAATCTTTTATACGAATTTAGCTTTTTATATTATCAATATCTTCCAAGTATACTCTATACATTTATTATATTTTACTCGTACTATTTTTAATTACTTTTAATTATTTAATTAAACTTATGTTAAACTTTGAATTTTGAAAGATTTTTAGTTTAAGTATAAATAAAAATCTAGATTGTAAATCCAACCAAAAAACCCTTATTATGGTCAAAAAAAAAAAAAAACCCTTGGGATTTTGTAAACTCCTTTCTCCGTCGTTCTTCATCTTCGCTTCTCTTCTTCCGCCATTCACTCGTCTTCTTCAGGTAAGGTCTTCTCTGTACTTGGCATTGCCAATTCTCTATTTTGGCTGTGATGGTGGTTGTTCAGCTCCAAAGAGCCTTTGTCGCATGGCAGCATGTCCTTTCTTGAATCGGCAACAAGGAAGCTGGAATTTCTCTCTCTAGGGCGTAAAGGAGCTGGGCGGACATTGGGGTACTGTTCCTGCAATCCTTCCCTACTGATTTCCACTCCATTTTGAGGTTGTTTCCGACTGATTTTTCGAACCGAGGGTACACTTTTTTGATTGCTCATCATATGGTGTACCCAATTTCGGATTTTTTGAGACCAACTCTTGGCAATCTAAGGCCAACTCCTGCGATGCTACTGTTCATCGTCGACATTGGAGTTCCGATTCACAGCGTTTTAAGCCAATTTGAAGGTCAATCTTTTCGATTATGGACCGTTTTTGTTTGCCCTAACAAGGTATTTAGGTGGAGTTCAATTCCATGTGATTATCTTATGATTTGAGAATGCTTTGGGATTCTTGGTTACAATTCACACCACGAACTGCGAGTGGTTTGCACCAGTTCTTCGAATGGAGTGGGGAGAAAGTTAAAAACTCCTATAAAAAATGGATTGTAATCAATTTGAGAGAATCTTACAAAATCCTTCTCAGAAAACACACTAAAATCATATTAGCTCTATATAGATTTGAAACAATCACATGATTTTACAAATCCATGAATTCTAAACAATCCGTAAAAATCTTTAAAAATCTAAATTGAATACACCCTCCTTAATTTAGAGTATTGTTGTCAATTTGGGAGTGTTTTTTTCAATTAGTCAATTTGGGAGAGTTTGATTTTACAAACAATTTAAAAGCGAATCAAAATCCATCTATTTTGTGTTCTGATTCAGAGCAGCCTCAGCTTATTTGCTGCATCGTCGTCTTCAAGCTCTCGCCGAAGAGCTCCACTTCGAAGGTACTACTTTCTCTCCACTCTATTCTTGCTCCCTCTTGCCTGTATAACGATCACTCTCCGCGACTAGTATGCTATCACATTCGCAATTTCCGCATCCAGCATATGCTGTTTAGATGGCAATTTGGCATGCCAGATTCTCACATCGTTTATGAACTCGTGCTTGTATCAGTATATAATTTTCCTTGATGTAGCGACAATGAACGAGTTTTTTGTTCGATTGCACAATGGAAGATTTCGAGGAAGTTTTCTTTTGCGTTTACATGTTATAGATTCAATGAGTTTGACAGAAGTGAAATTGATCAGTAGCAAAGCGGAGTTTTTAATCCATAAACTCACGGGAATGCATTGCCTACCACTAAATTATTACTGTGGCTGAAATAGTAAACAAGTAATTTAAAATAATTTGGTTTACTCTTACTCCCAAAGATCATTGTTTTCTATTGATGTATAGGAATTAGTCACGATTAGGTGATTTCCGTCTTATCTCTATCAATACTGATTTGGATTATAAGGAAAGGGGCTTTTGTAGATAAAGTTTTTTCTCCCTTTCTATTAAGTACTTTTAGTCTCCCCTGTGGAGTATTTGCAGGATTTAGTCAGTATTGTTCGTGCTATTTAAATGGGAAAACTGTGTACCCCACACCACGGACCCCTCCACCCCACATAGAGTACAAAAATCACAACTTGCAGACTTGTGCTTCAAGAATATCACCGTTAATGTGTTCTTATTTTGCGCACAAAGGGTTGTTACAGTTAGAGGTTGAACAGCTAGGGAGCAGGCCTTTAAGTGAGCCATAAAAAAAATAAAAAGGAAAAGAGAAAAATGTTATAAGCTCACAATATCTAAATAAGTCCATTAGTACTAGAGAGTAATGACTTCGCTCAATGGATACTGAATGATGCACATTTACCATTAAAGGTTTTTTTCACTTATTCATTGTCATGAACAAAAAGCAGTAAACACTATAAAGATCTACACTTTGCAGTGATCTAAAGGCATAACCGACTTGGTTCCCTCAGAAAATGTCTTCTACTCCACAGACACATTTAAGTTCATCTGCTTCAGGACCATCTTCAGACAATTTAACTATGCCTGCTGTCCCTCCTTCCATTGCAAGCTCTCATTCAAATAATGAAACAAGTCCAGCAATGGATTCAGCTAGAGACATTGTTAGACAAAAAGCTATTGGCTCTCTAGGATATGCTGTCCCTCACTCTCCGATATCATATGTAAGTGATGTTTCCATTTTTGGAAGCTTTCTGCAACGATCTTAGTTTTGGATGTGCTAAATCAGCATTTTTATACCACATGGTTTTAAACATATCAGTGTTTTTTTGGTGGGTGTAGGCCATGAATTCAGGTTCACAGATTTCTGGGGCACCACTCCAACCACCTGTCCCTGGAAATTCTTTGTTTTCATATAACATATCTCATCCAACAACTGGCCAGTCTGGTGGTTCACAGTTTTCAACAAGCATGGTGAGGCTCCTTTGCTATTGAGTGAGAACCTTTGAGTAGTTTGCTTCTATCAAGAAGGATGTTTCAAATTATTCTGTGATTTAATGCAGTAATTTGCAATCTGATTTGGTAGCATCTTCTATGCATGTCTTCTGCAAGCTATGTAGAACTCTATAACATTAAAATACAATGTTCTAGTGCAAACTTGCCCATTATATTTTGTTCAGTAATCTACATAGCCTAAGAGCCCATTCATTCCACCTGAGGACTCTAAACGTTGATGGTACATACAAATTCATACATGAATAAATATCATTGAAATGCCATGCCTTCTTAGTTCTTATATGTTGCAATATCCATTACAACAGCACATATATGCGTTATTGGCAAATGGTTGCATAAATTTTACAGTGCTCTCCATCTCTAAATTATTGCCCACTTTGACATGACACAAAATTTAAGAAAATGGAAACTCTGTGGTTTAGTTTCATTTTGGAGAAAACTAAATAATATGAACCACAATTTGCATTTCTTAAAAGGAAATGGGTGATAATTTAGGGACGGACAAAAAGGAAGCGCAAAGATGATTTTGGGATAGAGGGAGTAGGGAGTAGCACTTATCACACTTAATTTTTTGCACATTATTATGGTTTTTATTTTTACATGGGTATGCGTACATCTCGACCCCACACTCCAAGGGAAATTGGAAATATACTGGGTTTGCTGTTTTCATTGTATTATGGTTTTGAGTTAGAACTTAATTGAAACTAGTGCAATTGTGTATGAGGCTATTTGCACCTTTTAACTAGAAATTCTCTTGTGCTTGATCCTCCTGTTCCTTTGTGTAGTTTCTATGTGACATATTCATCTGTTCATTTGTTAGATTACTTTCTAAGCTTTTTGGAATTTTCTCCCACCATGTTCTGAATCACCTGATCCATGGATTGGGGACTTGCAGTGCAAATGTGAGCCTACCACTAAATTATTACTGAATACTTGTAAGCCTTGACTTTCTGTAGATGAATTGATTTTGATCTTTTGACATAGTGTTCAAGTTTACATATACGCAACTGCATTATATTCTGCTATTACATAAATTGTTTGCAAAATAAATTCACAAAAATTTGTATGCAATTTGAATTATGATTTGTTTTCTTGTTTCAGGGTGTGAGGCCTGGGATTAAACATGAAACAGGAATATCTTTTGCTGCTCCGTCTGCTCCACAGCAAGCTAGTCCAACTGTTCCAACATCTATTTCTGCCACACAAGCAATACAGATGCATCCTGCACCACCTTTTCAGATGCTCCCTGGAGTTCCTAAAGCGCCTGCAACACCTGGTCCTCCTGGAATAGGTTCAACTATACGTTTTTCATCTGGAGATTCTTCTCCATCTCCGAGGCCCATTGTCCCACATCGTCCTTTTATGTGCAGTCCACCCATTCAGCCACAGGTGTATACTCCATATAGTTCTTTTTCTTCTATGCAAACTGCTCACCAGGGACCATGGTTGCATGCCCCTGTTGGTGGTTTGGTAAGATCACCATTGTCACACTACCCTTCTTCCACAAGTGGTCCCTTCCCTATGATGCCTGGCACTACACTGCAATCTCCCGCTACATATCCTGAAACTCAACCTCCTGGTGTTTCAACTATGGCAGTTCCACTTGGAGTATCTCCACCCGTAACTTCAGCTTCCCAGTCTATACCACATTCAGATATGCAGGCGGATTTACCTCCTGGAGTTGGTGTGCTCAATATTCATGTTGATTATTTATTTTCAGTTTCTTATGTCATGTAGTGTATGGTTCCTCATCTCTGCGTGGGTAGATAACTCTCTGTTTTTAATCTTCATGCTAAATGGCAGATGGATATAAACCTGAAAATGGTGTTGTGACAAGAGATGTAACTGCAAACACTAAAGCGCTTGATGCTTGGACAGCTCATCAAACAGAATCCGGATCTATATATTATTACAATGCTGTAACAGGAGTGTCTACTTATGAGAAACCTGCTGGGTTTAAAGGAGAGGTAACATCTTACATTCAGTGAAATGTTGTTGGCTGCTTTCATCTAGTAATATATCGTGAACTTTAATGTTTAAAGATTTTATTTATCTTCACCATGGCAGTATCGTGAACTTTAATATTTAAAGATTTTATTTACCTTACTTCTATGTTCTATGCTTGTCAACTTTAAAAGCTTTATTATTTGCATAGTAACAAAATCAAACACACCTAATATATTCCTCAGTGAAGTAGAACATGAGGGTTAGACGTACGCATTCCTCAACTCTACCTTTAGGACTGAAATATTGTTTCCTTGATGATGACTGGCCCAGAAACAAAGAAAACTTCAAGAAGATGTTAAAAATGTTTTTTTAATTTTAAATTTTGGACTCTCTTTTGCACCAGAAAGAATACATCTAAAAGTGAAAGGTAGTCCGGATATTGAGATAAACTATTGTTTGGGTTATAAAGCCAAGTAATAAAATATCATAAAACAACACTGAATTGGAAATATAATTAGGTATGAAAAATACTAGCTTTTACTCGCACAACACTCCTAACTATAGAGCCAAAAGAGCCCCCAAAAGTAATTTTACTTAATTCTACAGGAAACGTTTGTGAGAAACTAGCTTTTGAATTATTAAATTAAAATTATAAATACACTTTTAAATGTTTACTAATTGTTACAAATTTATGTTTTTGAGTATATATATTTTATCTTTTTAACTATTAATGGTATAATTATGTTACTGTCTTCATTGCTCTGATTGATATTTTGCCTTAGACATTGAAACATTTGTATACACATTTTTGGAGAAAATTTGACCTTGCGCCACATAGGTCCTTTTTAATAATATTGATTTAGAACATCATGTGCACATAAAGGATCCACCTTGGTCTGCATTATTGAAAGAAAAGGCTTGGTGTGCAATTTCAAATATTGGGGTAAACCATGGGGTGCATGGTCGAATACCAAAGTACTCCCTTTTTAACATTTCTTGGCTCCGCCCGTGAATGGGTTTAGCGTTGATCCTGGTGCGGCCTTACTTCCACCTTGAGATAATATGCCCCCCACTAGGATCCTGACACAGGTCATTGTTTGTGCGTACATATCTCGTATTGCCTTTACACACATACTTCACACCTCTCTAACCTCCAAGCTCTTTTAAATTTCTTCACGTGGTACAGTGTCATAGGTCTAATTTTGTTCATCGGCTTACTGTAGAGACTAGTAGTTGTTCTCATACTTGGTAGAAGGCATCCAAGAGTATTGTAGAACTACTTGAGCATGAACTTCCAAGTTAAGCCGTAGGTGTGTACTATTATTGTACTTCTGATCTCACCCTTAATTTCATAAATGCATCACAATGTTCAATGTTATGTTGTACATATAAGCTTATAATGGCTTGTAGTCCGTTCCCACAACAAAGCACGCAGATTGTAAAAAGTGAAATAAGGTTGGAAGATCAACTTCACCAATTTCTCCATTATATTTGGACACTAGCAACCTTACATCGCAAATAAACTTGTTTAAGTCTTTAGGAGGAAAAACACACTAGACTGGTAAGCCACTTCTTTGCTTTAAAGCGGAAGGGCCAATTTTTCACAAGAACAGATGGTGCATGAATTGTCAATTAAAAGATGCATATAATATGTAAATGATTTGAAATGCAAATCTTAAGTTAAAAAACTGCATTTGTCAATGTCAGTTGATAATACCGCAATTGTAATGTCTCATAATACCTTATCTGCTTTTTAAGAATATACTACCTCCGTCCCACTATATTCGTCCACTTTTGACTTTTGGAACTGTTCATCTAAGCACTTTGATTCATCAAATTCTCTCAATGTGTAAGCCTAAATGTAGTCATGTGTGATCTTGTTTGATTTGTCTTAACATATAGATTATTAATATATAATTTCTATAATTTTTTAATATACAAATTACATGATAAAATAGATTAAAGAAGTGCATTGGATGGTGTGTAAAAATGAAAGTGGACAAATACTCTGGGATGGAGGGAGTAGATATTATATTTAGCACAACTATGTTAAAGTGTGCACAATATAACATTTATAGTTTTATACACGTCAAATCAAATTTTAAAACATACTCCCTCCATCCCCAATTTGATTACAACAGGGCCGGTCCTGAGAATTCATATGCTCGGGCCGAAACAGAAAAAGGCCCTAAAAATATCCCTGATGATCTAACAAATTAACATATTTGTAGATGCTCGCTCTTCCATCTCTTTTACTTATATTTCTTTGTCTTCAGAACAAGTTTCATAAACTTATATAGAGTTCCGATTTGACTCATTTCTTCATCTCGCTTTCTCTTTTTTCTTTTTTGACTACTGTATAATTGGTTAGGAGCCATAAATATTAAATTATTTTTGAAACTAAATCCAAATTTATAACCTCTACTACTTAGTAAATAGTAAAATCAAGTACGAAAAACTGAAAAAGCAAGAAAATATATAAATATATCATAAATTCATATCAATTCGTCAATTTTTCTTTTTTTAATTATTTTCTTCTTTTTCAGTTTTAATTATTTTATAAATCATAAATTCATATCAATTCATAAATTTACCGTTTTTTAATTTTTTTGGGTTTTCAGTTTTTTATATAAATATATTATAAATAAAAAATTCTAATCAATTCATCCAAATCAAATAAATAACACATAGAACCATTAATTCATTCTATTTCAAAGAATGAAATTAGAAAAGATTTCAAATTAAAAACTAATAATTAACCCTAGATTTTAAATCTAAAAAATGAAACAATGAAAGAAAATTAAGATTTAAGAAATAAAAATTATAAAATTGAAAAACTATGAATAATTGAATATGGAATACCGGGAGGGTGGAGGTCGGCGTCCGGCGGCGTAACGGCAGCGTGCCGGCGTCCTTTCTTCGGCTATCGACTCTTGCCCTCTTCTGCGTGCTTTCTTGTTTCTTCGGCAGTCTCTGTGGATTCCCTTTTTTTTTGTCTACATACGGGTGAGGGGTGGATTGGGGGGATTTGGGGCATTGGGCTAAGGGGTAAAGTAAGATAAGTGGTGAGGGGTTGGGCTGGGCCTAGGCCTTAATGAGATGGGCTTCTTATATACACATATATATATAATACTAAAAAAATTTTGTGCCCCTTAATTTATTGGGCCCGGCCCGGACGAACACTTTGTCCCCCTATTGGGCCGGCCCTGGATTACAAATTGCGGGTTACGGAGTGAAATTTTCTACTTTTTGAAATCATTTTATTTACAAATTGGTATATCAATAAGATATAAAAATTACATGTTAAAAAATATGTCAAAAGTTCTACAAAACAAGAGGTGACAAGAATATTTTATTTTATTAAATACTTAATGAAATCGCGTAAACAAATAAAAGTTATTGAGGAGAGAGAAAAAAATTGTAATCTATTTAGGGACGGAGGGAGTATGATATAGTGATATACAGTTTGTGTTAGAGTCCCACCTCAAAATTCTTAAGAGAAAATAACGAGTTAATAAAATCTAGGGTTGAACTAGTTAATCAATATCCGGAGACTGGATCATGAACTCACATGCATTTGACATAATTTACTTGCGATTTTATGTTCATCAATGCATGCATGCCATAAATATTCTTACTCCCATCACCTCTTAATAATTCTACTTGTACATGCAGCTCGAGCAAGTAAAAGCGCAACCAACTCCAGTTTCATGGTAAATACTTCTTCTTTTATACATGATGTTTAGTTGCAATATACACTTTTATCCATTTGGCATGCATTGCCTCTTGAATATTGTTAATGGGTTAAAATCATTCTATTCTGAAGAAAAGGATGTGATTGTCTAGGCCCTTTGTACTCCATTTATAGGAAGGTGTGCAAAGTATTTAGGTAATGTAGATGGCAATTGGCTGACACAACTAGGCCTGCTTACATTAGAGTTTCCTATTTCTCAACTAGTGCATTTGAGTATAGAAGGAAGATAACTTCAAAGAGTCATCATTGACAATGCTTTAAAATGACACATTAAACTTCCTTTGCTTCTTACACATGAAATTGTGGGTAGTAAATGTAGTAATGAGTCAAGGGTTTAACACAAACAGACTCCCTATTTTACAGGGCTGAGACTGCATATCTGGACCCCCACACCCCAACAGAGTTGGAAGTGGGAATTCTGGTGCTATCAAAGCATCAACTCATTTGTTATACCAAATTGGCACCATTGGCCCATGTGTTAATTAAGTAAGCATTTGTGACCAAGTAAAACCTTAACTCTTTATTCAGTCAAAACATGTAGTTTTTTTTAATCATGCATTTCACTTCTCCATTCTTTTCTGCTTGAAATAGCCCTAGCTGCAGTAGCAGTGACATCAAAGTATCAAACATCAAACTCCATAGGAAAAAAGTTATATGAGGCTCTTTAATGACAAAAAAGAGGGCAACATCGTCTTTCACTTGATTTATTAGTGTCGAGTTGTGTTTTGTGAGCATGTAATACTGCTTGGACATTGGGGCCAATGAGTCCCCTTGTTTAAAACAATAAAACATAAGTGTTATCGGTGCTTTTTAAATAAACATGTGGGCCAAGTTGTACCAAGTATCAATTTGGTATAACACATGGCCATCCTAAAGAAGAATGTAAAAAAATGTATTGTTCGAGTGCCGGATTGACGAGGTTTGGAGTTTTAGACAAATGTCCTTGCTTTTTAGGAAGTTCCAAAGTGTATTTGCGCTCTTTTGATTGTTCATCTGTTTCTGTAGGTTACTTTTTTTTGGAATTATTTGTGAATTATTTTCAATTAAATTATTTGATTTTATACTTTTGCATTTGGAAGCCCTATGTTCTTCTACTAAATCTATTTCTTGTATAATTCCAACCAGGGAAAAAATATCTGGTACAGAATGGGCCTTGGTCGTCACTAATGACGGCAAAAAATATTACTACAATACTAAGACTAAGGTATGGTTAATGAATTTGTGCTTGTTGTTTGTAATTACCCCCTGTCCCTACATTATCTTGCCACATTCCTTTTTCATTCGTCCCTAATTTATAACCCATTTCCTTCCGAGGAAAGCAATATGTCTCAACAACACAACTTTCATTTTCTCAAATCTTGTGGGCGGTAAAAGTGGACAATGATTTAGAGACAGAGGGAGTATTTTAATTTAGGTCTGTTACATCACTTGTAGTGCCTTTCATATTTTGCCACGTGCTAAATTCATTCCCTAAATCTTCACCAAAACCACTATGTATGATATTGGAGTTTGGACTTTAAGATATTCAAAACAATCTTTGTGCAAGCTTGTGGCAAACTGTCTGATATCAACTTTATTAGGGATCATGCCACATGTGATATCTACACATGATAAATAAAAGCTGCTTATGGTGGATAAAATGCCACTACAAGAACTATAGTGCTACGAGAGCTAGTCACCACTTCAATAGGTAGAAAATCTTGGGTGCTTAAAATGGATTGTATATTTCTGAAACATTGGCTTGTCTGTAAATTTGACCATTCTTAAGTGGTTGTTTATTGTTTTTGCTTATGTTTATAGTATATTGTATTAGCTGTGAATTTAAATGAGTAACCCTCTTGTGTTTCTTAATCAGTTGAGTAGTTGGCAAATCCCCAGTGAGTTGGCAGAATCAAAACAGAGACAAGATTCTGATGTCTTAAAAGCCCAAGAAATGTCAATGGCAAATGCTAACTTGCAATCTGAAAAAGATTCTGCTCCATTGCTTATCCCTGCAATTAATACTGGTGGCCGTGATGCTACAGCCTTGAGGCCATCAGGTGTGCAAGTAACATCTTCAGCATTGGATCTCATAAAAAAGAAGTTGCAGGATACTGGGTCACCTACCACCCTTCCAGCAACCCCTGCTTTGTCAGGAACAGTAAATCTAGATGGAGTTAAACCAGTTGATTCTACTGTCAGAGGTTCGGAAATAGAAAATAGCAAAGATAAGTCCAAAGAAACTAAAGATGAAAGTAATCTGTCAGAAACAACTTCTGATTCTGAAGCGGAAGATAGTGGGCCCACCAAGGAGGAGTGCATCATTCAATTCAAGGTATACTCTTTCCCTGAAGATTATCATAATTTGAGTTTTGTTCCTCATTTATAAGCTCACTACATGAATTGTATTTTTATTTTATGAAAGTAGTGGCATACATGCATGCATATTTACATACACTTCCCATAATCTAAATTCATACTTGCTTTGGTTTTTCTTGGTAGGTTAGGGTTTTCTTAGGTTCTTTGTTTCCCACTTTCCCCTGCTGACATTCTCACTAGTAAAAAGTGTTGGTTCATCTCTTTTCTGCAAATTGATGTGAAGTTTAGGTCTAAGATCTATGCTATTTGGAAATTCTTGTGGATACAGGATATGACCTTAGATAGGAGGGTTTGGAGATCTAGGACTAGTGTAGTTGGTTAGCCTTCTGGGATTCATAGCTAGTTTCTCTAGCTCTTATAGATTAAGATAGGTAGCTTTTTGCTCTCACAGTGTGTGCTTTCCTTGCTTGGTGACTTTTCCTTTTCTTTCCTCATTTTGTTTCTCGTATTTTGCTTTTTCTACTCTTAGCTTGCCCATTCTTTCGTGCGCTGTACTTTTTGTTTGGCTCGAGCTGGGGGTCTCTTGGAAACAGCCTTGCTACTTTCAAGTAGTGGCAAGGTCTGCGTACACTCACCCTCCCCAGACCCTACTTTCGTGGGATTATACTGGGTTGTTGTTGTTGTTGTGTATAAAGGATTCTAATTTTTTTTAAATACTTCTCGGCAGATGAAATTTCCTACAATGTTTCATATGCATTACCTCTAATTTTGTTGACTGTTTTTTCTCTTGCTCATGAAATTGCCAGATGATGCTCAAGGAACGTGGAGTAGCACCCTTTTCAAAATGGGAGAAAGAGCTCCCTAAGATACTCTTTGACCCGCGGTTTAAGGTTGTTGGGACAATGGGATTGCTCTTTTTCTTTGTTTACCTCTTCAACAGATTCTACCATACTCCTACCATCCCATAATGAACTTCACACTTTTCTTTTCTGTCCATCTCAAAATAAACTTCACACTTTTCTCATTTGCTTTTAGAGAAAGGAATATGTGGTTCACAACATTTCTCTCTTCTAAATAAATTCCAACCACACAATTTTTTTTTACTTTTCTACACTTTCCTTAAAATCCATGAAGTCAAATTATGAAGTTCTTTATGAGACAGAGGTTATGGCTTAATGCTTGTTATTTTGTAAGACGAAAATGTAAACCTATTGTACAAAGCCTTATGATTTTTATATCTGTTAGGATACACATTATGTGCAATAAAATAATGCATGTGCATCTATAAATGAACTTGGATTTATTATGCTAAGCTGAAACATTCTTCAATATTTTAAAAGTCAGTGATTTAGCATAGCTGCTAAATCGAAATGCGGGATTAGAATTACAAATGCTTTTGAAAATAATTTATATTCTAAATTTCTAATGCACATTGTATTTGCTGTTCCTTTATTTCTTTTCACTGGAAAAGGACCATTGTTTCACTTTTCTAACTCTGTGGGAATTTCCGTTTTAGGCTATTCCAAGTTACAGTGAAAGAAAAGCTATTTTTGAGCATTATGTTAAGACGCGTGCTGATGAAGAAAGAAAAGAGAAGAGGGCTGCTCAAAAGGCTGCTGTTGAGGGCTTCAAGCAATTATTAGAAGAAGCAAAGGAGGTTACCTACTGGCTAATTCTCTTATTTTTCTTCAATTTATTACAAAAATGTTTCATATAGGACCTAATGTTCTTCCAGCACTTTCTTCTATGGTGTTGAAACTTTGTGATTAGCTAAATGCAGTTTTAGCACTGTTGCCATTGTGACTGTCTTCTGATGTTCTCCCTGTTATTCAGGATATCAATCATAACCCTGATTATCACGCGTTCAAAAAGAAATGGGGCAACGATCCACGATTTGAGGCACTGGACAGGAAAGAAAGAGATGCTCTCTTCAATGAGAGGTATGTACATCATTTGGGACATACGATGAGCACATAGTTCTAATATCTGCAGTTTTTTTGGCTTTTTCCAGTACCTAATGTGCAAGAAGCTACTATTTGAAACTAATTTTATTTTATTAGAGAACTTTTTCTGCAAAAACCGGCTTCAGATCTTCTGCTTTGCTGATATGGGGTTGGCTCATTTACCAATTTTTGTTTGCTCAACCGGTCAACCCTATGAAAAGCTGGGATGCAAACCTTTTTGAAATGGGAATGCACAATACCAACTTTTTTCTTAGCATAAAGTATATCATTTTACTTGGTCCCATAATACCACACCAATAGCAAATGCCATTTATGTTTTGGGTTGATGGATGGAATATTTCTCTTGAATTCCTACTCGATATTTCTGAGATACAGCTATTAATTGTTTTTTTGGTGATGTTTTTACTGATATGACAAGTATTCACATGATATAGGGTGCTTTATTTGAAGAGGGTTGCTCAAGAAAAAGTTCAAGCAGCTCGTGCAACCATTATATCTGACTTCAAGTCTATGCTACAGGAGAGAGGAGACGTAACATTGAATACTCGTTGGTCAAAGGTTGGTTTTGGTACGAAGCCTGTTACTATTTTATTATGTAAGCAATGACACTACTGTTTTATCTGATGGAAATATAATCAATAACATCTGTGTGCCTATACTACTTCATGCTGCTCCTTTCTAGCATTTCTCGTGACGTTGCCTGCATATTTTCTTGACAACATCCATTGACTTTATTCTTTTAAGGCGAGGGCCTATTGGGAACAACCACTCCACCCTTAACACGTAGAGGTAAGGTCTGCATACTTCCTACCCTCTAGAGACCTCACCTGTGTGATTACTGATTACATTGGGTTTGTTGTTGTAAAATTTGTGTGTGCGTATACTTAGACCAAGTAATACTGGAGGCTTAAACTGGGTGCTAGTAATATCATTTCTTTGCATGTTTTTTTCATGTGCAAGCTACCCATTTTTCTCTCTTGCTTAAATAAACTCATGAGTGGGTTTCTCTTTTGGACTTAAAAATCTTAGTTGGATTTCAATTTGATCCTGACAATGCTTCCATTATAATCCTTTTACAATTAGGCTGCATTTCAATTTAGCCACCTTACTATCCAAAATGATGCATTGACGAGTGACTCCCTTTTAGAAAAAGTTTAGTAGTTAAAGGTATTACAGATATACGGTAATATTTTGGAGGGAATCATTATAGGAAATTCAAGAAGTTACAAAAATGATAGTCCAAGAAAGTGTTTTATCTTGAGTTGTGCTGTTTTCAATTTTCTTTGTTTTAGTGCATCATTTGAATATATAACAACAACAACAACCCAGTTAAATCCCACAAGAGTAGGGTCTGCCCCTACTCGAAAGTAGAGAGGCTGTTTCCAAAGAGACCCCCGGCTCAACGTCGAAAGTTGCATTGCTTGACTATCTGCTACTTCATTAATTAAAGAAGTGCAGATAGTTTAGAGATCCATTTTGATTTATTCCATCACACCCCAAAGCCAAAAAATGGTGAAATTTTGGCTCCATCGGAGATGATGGAAAAATATTTGAATATATAACAATGATTCATATTGGCACTGCCCCCATTGCATTATATCTACCTTAATGTTTGTTTTCACTTTGAATTTTAATTTTTGTTATATTAGATGAAGGACAGTATAAGCCACGACCCCCGGTACAAGGCTGCCAAGCGTGAGGACAGGGAGGCTTTATTTAATGAGTATCTATCTTCACTAAAGGCGGCTGAAGAAGAGACATCACGAGTGGAAAAGTCCAAACATGATGAGGAGGTGAGACATGAGATACGGGATTCCTTGTCATCTTTAACGACTTTAAGTTCCAATTTTTTTGTCTTCTATTTTTCTTATTTCATGATACATGTCTTGCTTACAGATTATAATGTCATGATCTTACCATACGTCATGCTTATATATGCCTTTAGTTTTTGCTTCTCTTATACATACAAATAGATCCAAGTCGAATACTCCTTTCGTCCCAAAAAGATTTTCACAGTTCAACCTAGCACTGTGAAGATGATATAGATGCATAAGAGAGAAACACTGGGGATCACATAAAAGTTTTTAAATACCTATAGAAATAGAAACATCATTTTGGGAAGGACCAAAAAGGAAAACATGCACTTTTTTTTTTAGGTCAGAGGGGGTACTTTATTGTGTGCACACACACATAGGTGTGGCTGCCATAATGGGTACCAGGTGTTCATCCAAGGGTATTGGATCTCAATCATTACATTCAAGGTCAAACAATTATGAATGAGTTCATTTAATGCTTGCATTAGAATATGTGCTCATTTAATTTGTAGCTATAATCATTTTGCTTGACTTATTGTGAGCAACTTGGCTTATTCCTTTTAGGAGAAGTTGAAGGAGAGAGAGCGAGCATTGCGGAAACGAAAAGAAAGAGAAGAGCAAGAAGTGGAAAGGGTACGATTGAAAACATGTAGAAAGGAAGCAATCGAGTCTTATCAAGCTTTGCTGGTTGAAACTATCAAAGATCCTCAGGTACTTATGGAAAACAGGACTGTATAATTATCTAAATCCTCGATCCGGAAATTCACATTAAAAAGGTTGGTACTGAGATATGGGGTTGAATAAAAATTGAAGGTGTAGTTTTGTAAGATGTAACAAAATGTAATGAAATGGATGTGTAATCATCCGCATTATTTATGCTAAAAGTATATTTCATTATTACGGCATTACCTTTTTTCACGGCATTACCTAAACGGCACCTAAATTCTTTAATATTGTTGCACTCTCTAACTGCATCATGACATGACTCTGTAGGTTTTCTTTTCTTTTTGATAGACATGTTGATTTTCAACAAAACTGAAAAAAAATGATATGGTTTTAGCTGTTTGGCATAACCCAATATATGAATGCATACCATATTTTCATATGTACATCTTTGCATATTTAGGAATGCTCACACTATTGTTCCACCTGTGTGTAACCTAGGCATCTTGGACCGAGTCAAAACCAAAAATAGAGAAGGATCCCCAAAGGCGTGCGGCCAATCCTCATCTGGATCAATCTGACTTGGAAAAACTCTTCCGAGAACATGTAAAGACCTTGTATGAGGTAATCTTTAAATCTTTACGAATATGTTTAGCTCTTTTATACTCCCTCCGTCTCAAATTAATCCTCCTTATTTCCTTTTTGGGCTGTCCCAAATTAATCTTCCTATTTCCTTTTTTGGAAAGCTTTTTGTGGCTCACTTTTTTTCTCTTTCATGTGCATCACTTTCAACCACACAATTTCACTTTTCTTAAACTCCGTGCAAAGTCAAACTGTGAGTATTAATTTGGGGCGGAGGGAGTGATTTTTATCCACCTCACATATTCACTCTGTTTATTCGCAATCTAGAATGGCTTATTGCTTTAAATGCTATGACACCATTGTGCTCGTTTGGCAACAACTTCAGTGTTTAGCTTTAGCCTTGCCTTTTGAAAGTGCTATCTAACAACAATGTTTGGTTTTAGTATTTTCAAAAATAATATGCACCATAGAAAAATAATCCAAAATGCTAATTGAAAACGTGGTTCCCAAACAAGGCCATAATGTGCTAACTCAAGGCCTTTTAATATTTTCAGATTCAAATAAGCCCAATATGTAAGAATGATTCTGGACAGTAAAACACAACCAATAATCTTAGGATGTTCATCTCTTCTTATATGCCGAGTGATATGTTGGTATATTCCCAATGTAGTGTTCCTGCACCTTAGCCTTTTAACCATGTCATACCACTTCTACCTGTTGTATTTTGTAGCGGTGTGTCCACGACTTCCGTGCCCTTTTGGCCTCTGTTATAACTACCGAACCTGCTTCTCAGCAAGAATCAGAAGACGGGAAATCAGCGTTGACTTCCTGGTCAACAGCAAAACTACTACTCAAAGATGATCCCAGGTATGTTAAGATGGCTAGAAAGGACAGGGAACCCCTATGGCGTAGGCACGTTGACGACATCCAGAGGAGGGCAAAGTTGGCAAACGAACACGATGCTGACAAGTCATTGAGAAATAGAAGTGCGGGCGATTCTTTGAAACTACCAAGTGGATCAAAGAGAGGTGAAAGAAGATGAAGGTAAAAAATCTCTAGAATGAATTTGAGTGTGTGTAATCTTATAAGAGGTTGAGGAGTGTACTTTAACTTAGTTTAATAATCATGAATGAGTTAGGATTGAGGGGTTAAATATCTTTGGGATGAATGGCCAACCTTTTGGTAGATTTCTTCTTTGATCTTTCCCTTTGTCAACAGTACAGAATATCAGAAGGCAAATTCTTATGGGAAACAGTCAACATGAAATTGTTTCTCAGGTCAATGTGTCATATTTATAGGATTGCATGGAGTATCTTTTAGGAATGATCATGTTTCTTTTGTTAAGAGTTGTATGCATCCACTTCAAAACTCCAATTTAAATTTAAATTAATTTTCAAGAGTATGCTATTTTAGAATGAACATGTTTCTTGTAAGGGTTGTGTCCATTCATTCCAATTTAGGGTCCGTTTGGAAGAGATGAAAATCACTTTTGAAAAAATAGTCATTTTTCCGAAATCAGTTTCTTTTTTGGTGTTTGGTTGGAAATGTGAAAATTTTATGTTTTTGTTTGATTCATTTATGAAAATAGAGAAGAGAGAGAAGACTGAAACTGTAAAGGGGGAGGGAAAATAGGCTGAAGAAGAGAGGTGGAGACGACAAATAGAGATGGCCAAATAAGTGGGAGCTATGGGCAAGGCGGAAAATGACTTCTGAGGAAAAAAATTTGGAAGTCTCAATCTTGAAAATTAACCTCATTTTCCATTTGACCAAGGGTTGTTTTCAGTTGACCATTCATTTTCCATGTTTGATAAACAACACAAAAAAGGAAAATGATTTCTTGAGGTCATTTTCCTTAATCCCAAACGGATCCTTAATTTTGAATTCAGAATACATAATAAACTCCAATTTGTTTATTCCAATTTTTCATCCCTCTCTAAAAACATGTTTAGATATCCGAAAAAATGTCACATTTTATTTAATGAAAAAAAGGAGTCCTCACAATATTTTTCTTTTTGCATAAATTTGAATAAATAATTTTACTCCGTATTTTTTTCCTTAAACTTTGTGAAAATCAAATCATGACAACTTTTGTGAGAATATTAAAATAACCCAAGTGATACGGACTATTTTTTTCCGTCTCAATTTAAATTATACATTTACTATTTATACAACTGAATTGTAACTATATTTTTTATATTCATTTTCACCACCATTAGATAAAATAATATAATCTTGTTACATATTATCTATGGAATTGAAAACAACTTCAACTAAACTTCATAAACAAATTGTGACCAATGAAGTATAACACATGCAACACACATAACTACATATGTTACTTATGACTTATGAACCATGTCTCATCGTCTTAGCTCATTTAGTTCATGTTTTACCACAAATTTAGCACATTTTCATGGTGTACAAAATTGGGGGAACCATCATTGTAATATGCAATCACACATCTATACCCAAAATTATATGGCAGAGAGGGTGTGATATATAATTTGGATGCATTTTTGGTGTATCTTTTTTTTTTTGTAAAATAAAATCTGTTCATTATAGTTATAAGTAACTTTAGTTTAAATAGACACTACAAATAGATGTTTATTTATTCTTTTTCGTTCTTTAAAAAAAGTTACGGAGTGTGATTTAATTTTAGAGATCTTTAAATTGACAAAAACTGTGAATAAGATTTATTTAAAAGATACTACGTAAATAAATATTGTAATTAATCATTTCTTTTATGAAAAAATAAAAAGATTATTTTGAGATTGACTAACAAGAAAAATATAAATTTTTTTGGGGATGAAAGAAATACTACGTACTAATTAAGTAAAAATGAATTTTTATATGGAGTATTAAATTAAAATAAGTTTCATATACTCAATTTTTTTTTTTGGAAAATTAAAGTTTTATTTAAAAGATTTAGAGTGATGTCAAATGTGATGTTATTACAAATAAATCAAAGAAAATTTCTATACTAAAAAAAATGTTACCATAGAATGTAGAAGCAACGACCAAAATAGCATATTTCTCTTCTAAAGAAACAACACCAAGGAAAGCCAATTGAAATGCTTCTTGGATTATCATCACATAATCCAGTTTGGCGATTCGTGTTTCATATTCAAAAAACCAGCTAGCTCCCCATCACTTTTCGCTCGTTGCTCTTCTTCTTTCTTCTTCTTCTTCTCAGTCAACTGTCGCTTCGGGAATTGCTGCATTCAAACTCCCTCGGGATCAGATTTTCCTCACCCCGAGGTGTCCAAAGTCTCTGTTTTGATCTCTCTTGAGCGTGATTAATGGTGTCCCATTATCACCATAGCTCCGGATTCATGTTTTCTCCATCGCTTTCTCTCTGGGTTCCTCATTCTCAGTCTGTTGTTGTTCAGCTGCGTGTTCTTAAATGACTCCGCTGTCTGTTGCTTCTTCTTCTTCTTCCTCAGTCGCTGGGAATTTCTTGGTTTTCTCACCTCTTTGCCCATGTAGACGGAAGACGGGCTTGGTTGCGGCAAGGAAGTGGAGTTCGAAGCGCGGCAGGAAATGGGTATTTCTTCGAGCTTGCGTTAAAGGCGGCGACGGCCACAATTTCAGCTTGGACCTTTCGAGTTCGGCTGGTAAAGCTATTGTGATTAAAAGGTTCTCCGATGAATTTGATTCTTCTAGGGCTACTACTAGTGGGGATAGGAGCAGCAATTTTGCTAACTTTCAGGAGGATCCAATTGTAGATAAGTTGAGGACCCAATTGGGGGTTATACATCCAATCCCTTCACCCCCTATGAATCGCAACATTTTAGGGCTTTTTGCATTGTTTTTCTTCGTGGGTGTGGTTTTCGATAAGGTATGGAGTTCCAGGAAGAAGAATTACAACAGGCTCGATAAATCGGGTATATTGCCTCAGATTCCAACGAACATTTCGTCATTTCTGGAGAAGGATTTGCAGAGGAAAGAATCTGTGGAGTGGGTGAACATGGTGTTAGGGAAGCTCTGGAAGGTCTACAAGGATGGGATTGAGAGGTGGATTATTGGCTCACTCCAGCCTGTTATAGATGATCTTCAGAAGCCTGATTATGTGGAGAAAGTTGAGATCAAGCAGTTCTCTCTTGGAGATGAACCACTTTCTGTTAGGAGTGTTGAACGCAGGACATCTCGTCGTGTTAATGACTTGCAGTGCGTATAATGATTTGGGATTCTGTGTTTATATGTTCAACATTACATACTCTACTCTTGTTTGCTACATATTCTGCCAAGAAAAAACAATTTTGTTGTGCATACATAGTTGCAATAGTAAATAAACTACCAAAAACCCTGCATTTTAATAAAACTGATCATGATGCTTTTCCCCTAAGAACACATATTTTGCCTTGTATTTTCAAGTTGTCTGACAATAAATCTGAAGCTTATCATGACTCTTTCATGCCAATTAGGTACCAAATTGGCCTCCGGTACACGGGTGGTGCACGCATGCTTTTGATGCTCTACCTAAAATTTGGCATCATTCCTGTTGTTGTGCCCGTGGGTGTACGAAATTTCGATGTTGATGGTGAACTTTGGGTTAAATTGAGGTTAATACCCACAGAACCTTGGGTGGGAGCTGTTTCTTGGGCTTTTGTATCTCTTCCAAGGATCAAGCTTGATTTGTCTCCTTTTCGCTTGTTTAATCTAATGGGTATGCAATCTAACTCTAAAATAGATTATATTTTAGATTCCTTTTTTTCATTTTTATGAAGGTTATGACTTCTGAAAGGAAGGTCATCCGCTCTAATATATTGCTACTATGTTTTCACATGAATCCATAGTGATAATTAATTTTTCAGAATTAAAAAAATAAATGGCACTTTAAATTTAATGGCATCTACCCATTTTGCATAGGGACATAGGCACCAATGCAGCATCTATCCTTGTACAATACTGATGCCAGAGTGTATATCAATATGAATTATACATTTATACTATTACATATCATTAAAAGATCAATATGGTCTGTTACACTTGTTTAATCATCTTGGTTCCTGACACACTCTTAACATAAGGGGTGCTCACATTTTGGATTAGATGGTTATGGTTAAAATTCTATACCACAATCTGAAATACTGGTTTTGGGATTTTTGAAAACTAACTGGTTTGTTTTTAGAGCCAATTGACACTAGAATATCAGTGTAAATTGCTTGAGTTACCATGTTTTCAATATACAACCATAGTTTGTAAGTTTGATGTAATATAGTATAGTTCAAGGTTCACCATAAAGAAAGACAAACTCATACAAATAAAGTGTTCATAAATTGAAATCAATAAGTATACGTTTATAGTGGTTTGGTTTAAAACTGAAACCTAAACCTGGTGTTTGCACTGAATTGGCTGGATTGGTCTTTTCTTTGAGGACCCTAACAAGAACCCTCCATGTCTCTTGCCAAATTGGTCTTTTCCATGACAAAACCCTCCACAGCTCTTGCCATCCACATGGACGGGTCCATTTGATTAATTATTTAACATCCCTACTTGAAACTGACAACCAATCTTCTCAAAAGCATTTGTGTTTTTTTGCCTAAAGTACAGGAATCAGAACTCAAATTATATCTCATTAGACTTATTTTTCTTGTCATTAAGCTTTATTATATTACTCTATAATGCATGGTGTATATCTTATTCTAAAGTGTTCACATGCCTTCATGTGTACTTTTTTAGCATTGATTTTTACTAATCATATTACTATCAAGATAAATGTTAACCCATGTTCTTTTTTGTACCTTCTTTTTTCATGCATGTGTCGACAACAACACCAGCTATTCCTGTTCTCTCGACGTGAGTGGACCTAAACTTCTTTACTTGTTATATTTTGGATGAAAAGTGGTATGTTGACATGAATTCTCACACATGTCATGTATGGGTGAAAACTTGTGGGACAACATTGCAAGCTCCATTTTGGATACTTCATGGAATCACATGGGTCGTGCAGCTATTTTGCAAAGCTTGTATTTTATCTTCAACATTTTAGTTTTGAGATTTTTTTTTACGAATTAATTTGTTTTTTAATAAATGTGATTAATGTTTTAATTTCTAATATGATGTTGTTTTCAATCATTTAGTCCAAAGCAAATGTTTTTGATGAAGTAATACTTTTCACCTTGAATTAAAATGGAATTATTTTACAGGCAGAGACACAGTTGCATGCCTACTTTGAACTTAGTGATTAGATATTACTCCTTTCTATTTCACATTGAATTGCAACTGATGTTGCAGGTTTTTGACAAAACTTCTAGCTGAGGATTTACCTCGTCTCTTTGTACGCCCAAAGAAGGTCGTTTTGGATTTTCAAAAGGGAAAGTCGGTTGGCCCTGTTAAAAAGGATTTGACTGAACCAAATGAATCCAAGTCCTGTGAAGTACAAGGAAACAGAGATTTTGCTGGAGAACTATCCATTACTATTGTAGATGCTAAGAATCTCTCATATATTATCTATGGTATGATTTTTTCCAAGTACCTTGTTACTAGTTACACATCTGTTGTTATACTTTGTACTTTTACACTCTTTTTCTATGTCTTTTTTTTTGTGGCTTGAGGGTTATTTCAATCAGGGCTAGATAACCTAGATTGAAGAGTCGCATTTTTCTCTTCTATTTTGAAGAGAAGAAACTTATAAAGTCCGTTTGTTGATACTTTGTTGCCTGAATCTAGGTTTCTTGCATGTGCAAATGAGAAATGCTGTAAAACTATAGGAGTACATATTATGATGAACATGTACAATTTCTATTTGAATCATCAAATACTTATTATTCTATGTTAATATTATTCTTTTCTGCATCTGTCTCCTTTCCCGGAGCTGGCATTTCTGCACTTGTTCATGTTCAATATCAAGGTCTACTTTCACTTCTTGTTCAGTACTTCAGTAATCATGCATTGGAGACATAATAAGAGATTAGTATTTGATTTTGGTTTTATTTTAACAGCCCTCTTAAGAAAATTCATAATTGATAGTAGCATTTGGTGATTGGATATTGTACTTTGCATTTTCCAGATTTGTTTTCTTTGCTAACTTCCATCGTCATCCAGGTAAAACTGACCCATATGTTATTCTAAGACTTGGAGATCAAGTGATACAAAGTAAAAGGAACAGCCAAACTACTGTTATTGGCCCTCCTGGTGAACCTATCTGGAATCAGGTCAGATGAAATAACTCAGTATTGGATACCGGTGGGTAGTAGGGTTGATGTGTGGGTTAAGTGTTATGATCATATGATGTTCAAAATCTGCTGTTTCCTATTGATCTTTGCCCCACAGGATTTCCATATGTTAGTTGCAAATCCAAACAGACAACATCTCTACATTGAAGTGAAAGATTCCCTTGGATTTGCAGATGTGACAATCGGGAGGGGAGAGGTATAGGTCATTCCACTTGCAAATTCTTGTCTATTCGTTTTTTACTTGCATAATATATGGATTTAGTCATTGTCACCACAGACACCAAAGCTAAATGAAGTAAATTTTTGAGTATCCTAACGGACATTGATATCAAATGTTCTTTTGTTATGTTTTTCAAACTTTTGAGAATTCAATTTTCATATATCTTACTTGTTGCTTGTACTTGGTACTTTATCTGTATTATACTGTGTTCCCTTCCTTATTTTTGTGCAGGTGGAGCCGGGGGTCTCTTGGAAACAGCCTCCTTACTTCCGAGTAGGGGCAAGGTCTGCGTACACACACCCTACCCTACTGAGGGATTCACTTGGGTTGTTGTTGTTGTTTACTTAATACTCTGTACGAGTTAGGCTAGATATCAATATGTCTTTAATGTTAGAACCATGGATGTAAATTTGGAAGTTGTTATAAAATTCAAGAGTTACTCCTATACAATCTGAAGGTGATGGGGGAGAGATTCAGATTGAGAAGAGAGAGAGAGAGAGAGAGAACAATGATTTGTTTCTTCTATTTATTTATCCGATTTTGCTGGTCTGCCCGTCTCTCTTTAATATTACATCTGTCCTAGTGTATTTGTCTAGTTTTTTTGAGTCAACTTGAACAAACTTTGATCCTCAATAAAAATTACATTGCATTGCATATCAGTATAAAAATGATTTCATTAGATTTATCTTGCGGAGAACTTTCGATTTTTTATTTCATTTTCTTAGTGTGCAATAAAATTTTAGTGTAATTGATGATTAATGTTCGTCCAATTTGACTAAAAAAGTCAAACTAGACAAATATACCGGGATGGAGGGAATATTAAGCTATGTTTTAAATTTCTATTTATGTATAGCCTTTTGTGTAGTTGACATTTTCTAAAAATCAAACTTTATTATAGATATGTGGTAATAAAGTTTGGGGTGAATCAACTTACTCCCCAACACCCTCAACGGAATGGGTAGCACACACCAACTCATGCAACACTTTGTCTTAGCAGGTGACTATATTTCCAAAACGAAGAATGAGTTACCGAAATGAGTTATGTCACACAAATCCATGGCGAAAAGCCCAAACAACAAAAAAATGCAACAATATGACATAACTGAAACAAAAATGTTTCTTTTCTTGTTTATCTAAGGTGCACTTAGATTTCACAGTCATAGTATATGGTATTATACCAAACAGTGAGTAAATGGATTTCAGGTCAATCTCGGATCACTGAAAGATACAGTGCCTAAGGACAAGGTTGTGAAGCTAGGAGGTTGGGGCTTATTTAGTCAGAGGCCAGCTGGAGATATCTTACTGCGGTTGACATATAAGGAATATGTGGATGATGATGAAGATGAGAGGGGTGTGGCAAGATCCTTAGATGCAGAAGGATCAGATGATGATGACGAACCGCCCGAGTCTGTGGGAGACAAGACATATGGGGAAATGGATAAAGAATCATTTATGGACATTCTTGCTGCTCTAATTGTTAGCGAGGAATTCCTAGGTATAGTATCATCGTCTGACACTGGTGGCAGAGGAAAATATTCAGATGGTGTTAAAGGTGATGAACCGACACCGAAATCTCTCAGCTCTACGCCCAAACTTCCACAGCAAAGTTCTGAAAGTTTCACCGAAGGGTTTAGAGGTAAATATTGCAGTTTATTTGTGTAAGTATTAATCTGGTATTTATTTTTTTAATATTTTTGAAATCATGAATAAGGCCTCTCTTTGCAGGTTCAACATTGTTTTGGCTTGCTTTAGTTACAAGTATCTCAGTACTTATTGCTTGGAATATTGGTGGTTCAAGCTTATTTAACCCTTGATTAATGGCGTGCTCCTTCGACTGAATTGTGGTAAAAAAAAAAACTCCGGCTGCAGACCAACTCCTACAACTCTGCAAGCCATCGTGCTGATTCTTTCGTGTTTTTTACTTGAGGTAAATGCCATTCTTTTAAGAGTGAAGTTTCTTATTTTGCGTTATATATTTGTTGCTCTGAACCATCTTTTGTGATTTCTTGCCGCTTTTTTCCATTCGGTGCTTTAAAATTTTTAAGGGTCAGTTTGGAAGTCATATGGGTTTATCTAACCATTTACCAGTGTTATTTTGGATCATACACTTTATGTTCTCAATACCCAGAAAACACTTATTTTTCCCAATTTTTGAGTTCAAAAACTGATAAGCATATAATCCCCTCATCTTGCTCGATTCTTTACCGTTATTATTCATTGCGCTATTTCTTTGCATTTTTCCGTTTATCATTTGGTAAAATAATAGTAGTCATGTTATCTCTTGTTTTGTACTCTCTCTGTCCCAAAACTATAGGGGACATTTGATTTTATCGGTCAAGCTGTTTCACATTTTGATCACAGGTTATGAAAAAACATATTTCTGTCATAACGTAAGATTAATATAATTTGGTTCGTTTTAAGATGTAGTTTTGATTTGTTAAATCTTTATAACATTTATTCATTCAAAAATATATTTAGTAATTCTTATTTTAGTTGGTTTATTTGTTTTGCAGGCTGTACAACTCTTTCTGGTGCATATAATAGAGAGAGATTCTTACACAGTAGATGAACACAAAGTTTACAGATGTCATCATCCTTTTTTATTCTCCTTTAAAAGAGTGGAGAACAAGAAAAGAAAATCAAATGTAGACTTTCAGTATAATTTCTTAAAGTAGTGTTGCTAATTGTAGAATAATCTTTAATTATAGAGGGCCATTTATGAGATTTACTCTATTCTTCTATTTGTTGATTATTAGCTCAAGTGTCATTTTTATGGCATCTCAGTTGATTTCCTTCTCCTAATGATGATTTATAATTGCTGAGTATTTTTTAAATCTTAGAATAACAGATAAATTTATAAAAAGAACAGTATCCCCTTCCCACTCTTTTAAAAAATTTCAGCCAAACAAGCCCCTAGAGTTATCCATATCATTAATATACACACAAGTCTCTCTCTCCCTCTCCCTCTCATTTGACATTTGATTATTGATTAGATGGTAATTCCTAACTGTTGTAGTTATTCTCTCGTTTTATGTTTACTATTTATAAATTCAAATTTTAATCCTGTTCTTTATATATTTTTATTACTTATTTGATAAAATAGTAATCTTATCACTTTTTGTTTTGTAAAATTTTTATTTAATTTTTAATATATAATTCTTTAAAAATTTCATATCAATTTTTAACTAAATTGAGTTGAGTAAAATCTCAGTCAAACTTTTAATAATAGACAATTTAATTTGGGATAAGGAAAATATTATAAACATCTACTCCGCAACAACCAACCATTGTCATAAATGATAAAAGAAAATGTGATCCATTAAGCACAAGTAACTCTTGAATCTATTTTACCTGAATAATTAAGAATTATTCAGGTAAGTAACTAAAAAATTGTGCTAATATTCATTTGTCCTTAAACACTATGTAAGTGAAACACTCGAAATTGACTTTGAAACAAGGAAACATTATGGGCTTCATTAACTTTTTTGATCAAATGATGTCATAAAACATAGCTTAGATGACAAAGAAGAAATGTGAAAAAACATAACACTCACGTTTGAGATGACAAAACATAATGTAGTACAAAATTCTTGCACTCATCTAAAACAAAACTTATTCTTTATTTGTCAATAAAAGATTATAAATTAATTAACCTTCTTTTATTAATACTCATCCTTTTTCCATTGGATCAAATGAAAAAAAATAAAAGGTAAAATGGAGCGACAAAAAATTGAACAGAGTCAGAGGGAAAGTGCACAAAATAATTGGCATTCAAAACGCATTGGGATTCGCATTCACCTTTTCTTTTCTTTTTTTTTTTCTTATGTGGGCTGCCGTTGAATTCCAACTTTGTTAAATTCTTGGTGTCAAATTTGATGGAATTTTAACATGACTTCACCGTTCACAAGTTAGAGCACTCGAAATGGCTTGAAACTTCGGGGCTTTTAATTTTTTCTTTTTGTCACGCCAATTTTAATTTACTTCACGGATTACTCTCGTATTGTTGGAAGAATCACATTGGATACTCGTTTGGTTCAAGACCATAGGGGAAAAAACCGGAGGAATTTATATTAAAAAAATTGATGAAACGAAAGATGCAAAGAAGATTGAGGATTGAGGTCTGATATTTTTAAAAAATCAAATTAAAGAATTTGTTTGGGTGTAACAGCTAAAATAACCGTTGGGAGGGGGGAATTAACGTTACTGTGTGTTAAACGTTTGACCGGGGCGATGACGCACGGATGAAGCTCGATGGAGGACAGTGTTTAACGTCGAGGAGACATTAAACGCCCCATGGCGCCCCTGACGACAAGAGCATTGTCATTGCTCTTACATCCTTGATCGGGAGAGGTCTAAAAAAAACCGTGAAAACTTGAGACAGAGTAAAAATTATCATATTAATGCATGGTTATGGTAAGGGGGCACCAGTACGAACGAACAGGGCTAGAGACAGATTTCATTTTCTTTTACTCGCTTGAAATTAAGGTTTCATTTATTTAATCTCAAATAACTATTTGAGTCAAGCCTAAATAGACCCTTAGAACGTGGTTTGTCTTTTTTTTTAATTTGGACCATCCAATTCGTGTTTTTTATATTTATTACGTGTTGGGCTAAATTAATTTTACGAACAGAACATGGTATGCGTTTCAAAAAAATAGCGACACTGCTAGTGACATCGAAACCAACCTCTATAACAATTGAATAACTTGAATAAGTGACCGGGGCATTATTTAAAGTTGTGTAAGAGCATCTCCAAAGGGGCTTGCTATATATGCCTTGCTTTTGCTTTTTTAGCAAATGAATAGTTTATTTTACCACACTCTGTATAATTTAGTTTTATCAACATTTTGTAATATTTATTTGCAGAGTATCTATAAATATAAATAATAATGATCAAGTGTATTATATTAGTGACTGTAAAAATCAAATTCAGAGTTTAGATTATTACTCTTACTCTTTTTAAGATTGAGAGAGTTCTCTTATTATTACCCCATGGGGGAGGGGGAGTCGACTGACATGAACCCTTAATATCTTATGAAATGGGCTCTGATTTTGGTACTTACAGTGTTTCGTTTGGAAAATTGATTTTTCGTATTTTTAATCTCCGGTCAACTCTTTCACTCCAGCTTGATCCGAAACCAGTTCCGCAACTCCGTCAATTACACCCCACAATATTTAGTTGATTTTTGGTTTCGAAATTTAGTTTCAAAGTCAACTAAATTTGTAGGCTCCAATTGACCCATGGTAAATCGGAGTGGGTTAGAAAGTAAGAAAGTAAGAGCTATTAGGATCCGTTTGGTACACGGAATTAATAAAATTGGAATTAAAATTTCATGGGATTCAATTCCATAGAATTGAATTCACCAATTCCAATTTTTTTGCACTATCAAGTCTAAATCCACATAATTTTTGTGCTACCAAACATGAGAATTGAAATTAAAGTCTTCAATTCCAATTTCATATTTCTGTGTACCAAACGGGGCCATAATATTTCGAACCAAATACGTACTACAATATTGTACCCCGTATCATTTTGTTCAGTTTGTTATTTTTCTCTGTCTCTAGTCCCTGACCTCACGCTCGGTGTAACTCCACTTTCTCTATCCCCCACTTTCTTCCAATTACTGCTCTGCTCCTTCTCGATTATTGCAGGTTAGGGTTTTTCCATTTCCATCCAGTTGCGATTCAATGATGCTCTGAATTTGCATTCCCAATGTAATTCCAACTGGCCTTCCCACTTCTCCTCGCTCCAAGATTCTTCTTCTTTTTTTTCTCTCTCGGAGAATGCTCTGTTTTCGCCCATAGTCAACCAATTTCACCGGACGTTGTTCGAAGAAGCTGGCCGGGAATCTTAATCTGTGTGAGCAGGGGGAGATTTATAGCTCTTTTGATGGCTTGTAGTTGTTTGCGGCTGTGATTTGGGGATAGTAGAGATAGTTGACCGCATAGGGAATGGCGGCAGAGTCGAACATGGGGTTTCATCAACAGCAAGCTTGGTCTTTTCAGCCGTCGGAGATGATTCCGATTGGTAATCTGTATGGGCATCACGGGGTTAATCTGAGTGTATATAACAGCAACTGTTTTAGTAGTGTTGGTGGTGGTGGTGGAGGAGTGTTGTGTTCTGGGAATCTAAGTATGATTACGGGCAGTCACAATAGTCCCGGAATGAGTCAAGCAGGGACATCTTCGCCTCCCTTTCTTATTGACACAATCCCGGGGCTTAGGCATGACAATGGATTGGCAATGGATTGGTCGGTCGAGGAACAGTACAAGTTGGAGGAAGGACTTGTCAAGTAGGTATTCTGCTCCAGGTGACTGGATGTAAATTCTCTATGTCTCGATCTTTGTTTGAGTAAATGGACTAATTGCACATCATCTATCTGTTTCACACCGTACAACAATCATGTATTGTTGCTACTTGCTATAAATGTGTGTGTGTGTGTGTTGTGTGTGTGCTCACTAGAACTTGCATAAGTTTTGATATTTTAGTTGGTCAGCATATTTTCTTGTATAAGTCTACTTTATTGTAATTTAATAAACATTCATCTGTTTCGACCAATAAGTAAAGAGCTACTTATTATCATTATGATTATTACTCCCTCCGTCTCAATTTAAATCGCTTGTTTTAGTTTACGATGTTTGACTGAATTTATTTTCAAATCATTTTATATGGAAAATGGTGTAGAATTAAAAAAATTAAAATTACATATTTAAGAACTACATTAAAAGAGGTACAAAACTAGTAGGGACATGATTATATTCTTTTATCAAATGACTAATGAAAGTAGGGAAAGAAGATGAATGAAGTTTGACCCTTAGAATAGTAAACAAGCAATTTAATTTGGACAGAAGGGGTATTATGATTATTATTATTATTCTTTACTTATTGGTCGAAACAGATGTTACACGACACTTTTCCTTTTTGAAAATTTAACCGATTAAACCATTTCAGCCGAATAACCCTTATGGAATGGGTCCTATAAGATTTAATGGTGATATGTTTGTTATGAGCTTGATAATAACTGGTATATACAATTGCCAATAGTACAGTGAAGACTGGAGATAGAAAATGAAGTAATGGATTATGAATTTTGCATGCTTGCTGAAATTTTACACCGTAATTGCTGAGATCCTAGCTTGAGTATGGAAAGAAGGCTATTGCATCCAACAAATTCATCTATAGCTTAACCTTCTATCTGGATTTATATGACTTTGACTTGATTCACATGCTTAAATCACAATGTTCATTCATTTGTAATTGTTCTAGTTTCACACTTTAACTACTCCTCACACAATGCCTGCAGTCCTAGAGTTGTTATTGTTAGTTAAAAATCCACTTATTCTTCCCTTTTTTGTTTTCTTTGGGAGTTCGGGCATTTCATTCTGACCCTCTTCTGTGACAGGTTTGCAAATGAACCCAATATCATGAAGTACATTAAAATTGCAGCCACACTCCGCGAAAAAACCGTACGCGATGTTGCGATGAGGTGTAGGTGGGTAAAGGTGAGTCATCCAGTCCTTTTATTTCTTCAATACCACTGTACATTCCATTGACTAGGCATTAATTAAACCATAATTTATCAAATTGTCTGTGTGTGAAAAGTGTGTTCAAATTGCCGTGCTTCCCTGTTGAAGATGCATTGATTTATGCTTATAATGTGATCATTATTTGTTAGAGAAAGCGAAGGAAACATGAGGACTACAGTATCAGAAAAAAATTGAAAGACAAGCAGGTAAGTTATTAAGCATGCAACAGCCTGAATTAGTCCCCCTCTTTTGATGATTTAATACCATGTAATATTCAGTCATCTAAACCAAAGCTTTTGTGGTCCACTGGTCCCAATTTACAAGATATCGTCTTCATCACTGTTTTGTGATGAGGGTGTAACCCTTCTTGCATGGTGACTTCTTTGAGTTAGTATGGACCAGCTTATTTTGGAGAATCTCAATGTTATGCATAGAATTCTTTTGATTGCAATACATTTGAGATTTTGCAATGCTAACTATCAAATATGAAAACAAAACGAGTCACAAAATCATTTATTTTCACTCCCCCTATTGATTTTAAACAAAAAATGTATAGTGCAACCTTTTTCCATGAAAATGTAAAGATGATGTATGATTAGGTCTTTGTCCATTTTACATATATTTTTTATGCTAAAGGCTTACAGGATAGTCAATTTGCAAAAAATTGCCAGCCACCTTTCTAGATCCTTGCTTTCGACACCTTCAAATTGTTTATCAGCTAAGTGTCACAGTGATTTCTCATAATGCTTATAATTCACAAGACATTGGATGGCAGGAAAATACTCTGTATTTTTATTGTATGCTTACACTTCATGCATATATGAAGGGTCAGAAAGTTTGGTTCATGTTTCTTTAATAGTTGGACCACACATACCATTCACCCTCTTGGCTATGGGGTTTCCATCATTTGATTCATGTGATGCATGACATTTTTGTTTTTAAACTTAAGATTCTTTTCCATCTTTATTGGTCATCTCATTTTATGCTATTCTACTCAAGTTAATAATTGCCTATGTGTTTCTCTTTTTCATAATTTACACATTGTCGAGCATAAATGTCTGGTTTGACTCTCCCATATTATCAATTATAACAGTGCATTGCTTCTGCATGAAGTTGCACTACTTATTTTTTATGAACTCTCTGCACTTATTTGTCCTTGTGCTTATTCTATATGAAATGTGCTTTTCTAGTGGCCATGTAATTTTTTCTCCACATGTATACAAGAAAGTTTTGAGAAATGATTCTTGTCAATTTCTTGATTTTGTAATACCATGGCCCATGCACTCTCAATAGACATCAGTTAAGTAACTCTATTTCTAAAAAGTCGTGCCTCTCATGTGCAGGATAAAGCAGCTGATTCATCCTTGAAGAATGGTAAAGCTTCAACTCCTCCGTCAAATTTGGCTACATATTCTCCGGCTGTTGATGATCATGACAGGAGTAACTGTGTGAATTCTGGAGGTAGTGGAAATTTTTCCTTTGTTTATTCTGTTTCAATTTTCCAGCACATTTTCCCTACATTACACATCCAACTGCAAGACAAATTGGAAAGGAAATTCTCTTTTAGTTAAACATACTTTTAAGTTCCCCCTGCCATTTATTTAGATTGTTAATTCCTACTTTGTCCATGCCTGCATATTTACTTATTAGGACTACTTGTATGGTGAGTGAAGTCTTGGGGTGTGCGAGACATAAAGAGAAGTCAGGGTAGACAAAAAATGACTTGGATTGAAGGTGTGTAGTGAGGCGCCAGAGCGTTGGGGCGTAACGAGTATATGATGCTTGACAAAAATGAATGGAAAAAGGGGATTTTATTACAAGTATTGAATTATGTATGGTTTATGTAGCCGGCCCCATTGAAATTAGATAAATGTTTTGTTGTTGCTCTTTTCTACCATTATTTCTTGGATAACTTGATCCTAAGGATTGGGTTACTGTTGTAGTTTATTCCAAACTCTTATTGCAAACTGATTTTCTTTTGATGGTTACTATGCAGCACTACTTGGATCAAGGAATCTATTGGAAGAAAATAATCAGGCTCTTGAGCAAATTTCAGTAAACCTGTCAACCTACAAGGTAACATTATAAAGCTATCCTTGTTTAAGTGATACATATCATTAGATGAAAGTAGAATATGAAATAATTTTTTAACAGAGTGATTGATGCTGAAAAAAGCATGATGTTCCTTGTCTAGGGCATGTTCTTTTCAACTTTATATTCGAGACTCCTTTCTTCTAGAGTCCATTTACCATTCTCCAGTTTCTCCTCTCCAGAATCCAGTGTGCAGATTTTAGTTTAAAACTACATTCAGACTTCAAACTTCATCCAGACTTCAATTTCCAAACTCTAGATCCATTTGCTAGACTTCCGACTCTACACTTCAAAGTATAACTAAAATTGAGATAAGAACATGCCCTTACTATGCCCCCTCATTACGTTGTAGAGACAACAATGGCATGTATGCTACACTTTTTGCGAAGTTAATTTAAAATTGTCAAACTACATAACATGAAGAGTGGACGATTGGAGCTTATATAGTGGATTAGTGGAGCAATTTTTTAGTTGGATTTTACTCGAAGCTTTTTGTCCCACTTTGTACAATGTTTCTTTATTATTCATTTTCATCATTTGTGCAACCTTTCTGCTTTATTTTGACTCCCAAATTCTTTCTTTTACACTCAGAAATTTTCAAAAATGATTTATAGACTATAGACTATATTAAACATAGCATACACAGTTAGTTACACACACAAACACACATACAATTTTGAACATTACACTGGTTTTCTGAACAATCTTCACACCAGTTATGACTCCAGTCCACCACTATCAAATTATCATTGACTGGTTCTTTTCTTTTATGAACTTTTCCAACATTTGTTACAGTGGGCATCATGTGTTTGAATTCTTTCAATCTATTTACCCTTCTAAACTTCTTTTTTGTTATTAAAAAACACATTTTCATTAGAAGTTAGAACGCCAATGAGCTTCTTTAACATGGGCAAAGAGGTCTTACGATATACAGTCATGAGCATAAAAACCTTGCTGACTCGTAGACTCTATATCAAGACCAAAACCTCACCTCCAATTTCATGCCTCAACAAAACAATAATCATGTGATTCAACTATTCAAGCCCATTGAAAGCGCGTCTATTGCTCCTCCCATTCCCCTCACCCGAACAGAGCAAGAAATGTTTTTTCTCGGTGTACTTAAATTTTTCCTAGATATGCGCCTAAAAAGGAGTCTTGCGTATTATTTATTAGTCATCACTACAACCCTTTCTTATTTGGAAGCATTTCTACTGTACCCCCATTATGGAAGACTTTATTAATTATTAAGTCATATACACTAGCCGAATGATTCTTCTTAAGGGTTTTCTTGAGACCTTCAGAGTACCCAAGTATTATTCATGCTTTATACTTTAGTAACTAAGCATTCTTTGCTTAGATTCAAGGAAAAAAATGTAGCAATGTGCTTCTTTTCATTAAAATAAAATTATTGCACAAAGTGAAGTCACTTGACATTGACTTGTAACCTTTTAATTATTATCTACCATTTATGCTTCTGTATTTCTAGGCTGTTTTATAGATTAATCTGATATCCTCATGCAAATCAGCAGTTGCAGGATAATATTGATCTCTTCTTCCGCACAAAGAACAACATAACTGCAATCCTGAACGAGTATGATTATTTATCTTTCCTCTTTTAGCTCTATATGTATCTAACTTGAGTAGAATCTTTGTGGTGAATCTATAATTTTTGTGTAGAATGGGAAATATGCCTGGGATTATGAGCCACATGCCACCACTTCCTGTGTATCTTGACGAAGAACTGGCAAGTAGCATTTTACCAAATTCAACTCAGGTATATGTACCATCCTACACGATATCATGGGATCCATTTTAGTTCCTTCACTAAATTTGCCGTATTAAGTATCTATTTACTATTTAAGCATCTTAACTGATGACAAAAATAAGAAAAAGTTGACATTTTTCCATGTAAATGCATGCGACCAATGGTCAAACCTTAATCCCAACCATTGGGTCTACTTGACACAACAACCCATTATAATCTCAACTATGTTGGGGTCTGCATGGTTTTCGTTAGACCCTAGATGCAATGTTGCATTCATTGCCCAAAACTTGAACTAATACAAAATCTTCCAAGCTGAAATACTGAAATATTCTTTTTTCCATGTTTTTCTGTCATGCACCACATTGAGCATGATGACCTTAATCCAGTGCTTATGTCCTCTTTTACACTTCCAATTTCATGCCTTTTTGGCTCTATCCTGACTTCTCATCAAGTCTCCCACACTCCAAGACCGGCAAGACCTCCTTTCCATACCCATACAGACATTCAGTTCTCGACTACTGGCGTGCGTGAACCAATGCAACCGGATGTCTCTTACCTTTATCTTTAATAGTGGCTACACCCACTCTGTGTGAATCTCCTTGTTGCACACACTTTCTTTTCTGGTTTTACAGCTCATCCATGGGAACATACTCATCTATGCCATGCTCTTGTTCTTTATTAAGTCTATTCTTCATTGTCTAACATTCAAATCTTTATAATAATGCCTGTCTTATAGATAGTCATATAAAATTTTTCATCCACTTTAAAATTTATCGGTACATTTTGATCATGTGGTATTTATGTCACTCTTCTCCATTTGAGGCTTTGAGCCAACATGCATTAATCTTCTGTATCACATCTTTGTCAATACCTTCATGGTACTCGAGGAAATCAGCCTATGCAGAACTACTCCTAGTTCAGAGTGAATTATTAGGACTTGACTATAAAAGACTTAAGCTCTTCCTCAAACATCACTAGGGGGTTTATAAATATTGTTGCTACTGCTGTAACTGCTGTTTTGATACGATGAACTGCTTTGCTTCTTAAAAGGCAATTGAATTGCGCTATGTTCTTACATGTGTAACAATTGATTCCTACAGTCCATGATGTTTGGATCATCAAGTGTGGTCCAGCCGAAACACGAACCTGGATGTTGATGAGCCATTCATCGGTGCTGAGTTGGATTATCGGCGCGTGTAAGTAGACCATTTTTTGTTTTGTGTGCGTGTGGTTGTAAATGCATATAAGAAGAAGAAGAAGAAGAAGAAGAAGAAGCTGGAAGTTGTTTCAGGCTTTTGTACGCAACGCCAAGTTTGGCCCCACAGGATAAGATCTACAATACACAGAACTGAGAAGAACCCATCCGGGGAAAAAACAGAAGTATTTTGGTGTAGCAGACAGACACCGAGTGCGACTTGCCAGACAATAACTGCCTCGTTGTCTGTTCATCACCTCCCAGTCTAATTAATCAGAGCATTAAATTCTAGAAGAGCCCAAAATCTGAGTTGTTAGCCTTTTTGTTTCTGGGGTGTGTAAATCTTGACTAATGAAAACTCATAGGGGTTTGTTTGTTATGTCACACTTGTCATTTGCAGCCTTTAGTATTATAAGATCAGTTTCTTTGTTGTATGTTGGGGGGTAAAGGCCACATACAACATCATTCCTTTGTAGGGATTCTACTAATAAATAAAACCATTCACTCATATCTTCATGAAGAATGAATTCTTTTCATTACAGGCAAAATTAACACAATTACTCCCAAAATTGTGTGATATATAGGAGTACCAAATAAACATATAAAAATCCTGAAGTAGTGGTGTCATTGAATTTAGGAGTAATTATTTAAAACCATCCAATTCTAGAACTAATAGTGTGAATTTTTCTTTATTTTCATGACATTGGATTTTAATGTCATGACATTGATTTTAATGTCATGGGATGACATTGATTTTGATTGGAACATTAACGGTGTTTGGTTTGTAAAATTGATGGTTTTACCTTTTCTAATCATCTCACCCGAATTGAACTCTTCCCTTCAATTATACCTTCTAAATTTTGTTGACTTTAAGTTTAAATTTTTTTTACACCAAAGTCAACTAAATTTGGGGATGTAATTGAAGGGGGTGGGGGTGGGTTTGGGTTGGGCCGATGTGGGGTTTTATCTTTTATGGGGGTAGAAACCATAAATTTTACAATAAAAGTCAATACCATGAGAGCATTGCTCTCCAACCTTAACAATTTTGATAATTTTTCTAAAATTGGAGTAGGAAGCTCGGAGTTACTTATAAATGCGACAAAATGTGGTAAAAATAGAATTATTGTGAAGCACACGAACTTACTAAACGATTGAGGGTGAAGTAAGTAGTCTTGATTTCATGTGATAGAATTAGGTTGGGAGGATTGAGTCTTTATTGGGATAAAAATCTATTTCAAATTAATTGTTCCATTTTTATTCATCCCAAAAATAAGTGATTAATTATTTTATGTGATTCATAACTTTATCTTTCTTCTAAAAATATTTAAACGCTTATTTTTTGACTTTCTGCTAACCTATAAAGTCAAACTAAGACGATTAGTTTGGGATGAAGGATTTACAAAATAAGTGGGACTGACATGGTTAGGTGGAAAAGTACAAAATACTCTATTACTCCTCAATTATAAGAGTGGGTTAACTGGTAGTAAAGACAATTCTAGGGTAATAATTAAATTTGGATCATCTTTAGAATAAAATTCCTAACACTCAAAATTAAATTTGAAGTCTTTATGGAATTTTCTTCACTTTTGAGAATATTTGTCGCTACGTATCATTTCTTCACTTTTTGTATGATTGTCCAAATTATTTTATTGTCATGTTTGTTTAAACAGATGTATTTTTTATTTATCAAAATCTAAAAAAATACTGTTTCTGTCTCAAAATATTTGCCATTTACACAAAACAAAACAAAATTTTAAATTTTAATTCATTTTATTTAAAGGTTGATATAGAAATAAAAAAATAAATTTACATATTTAAAAAGTACATCAAAAGTTTTTCAAAATAAGTGGTGAAAAATATTGTATTTTATCAAATAATCGATAAAAACATACAAATAAACAAAAATTATCTGTGATTTATATATACTTGCAAAAATACAAGAGATTTGAAATCTTGTGCAACAAATTTTCTTCTTTTGACAACGACAAGCTATATCGAGATTATCCTCACACAAATGGTGTAAAATTTTATATTCCCTTTCTCTATTCCAACTCTCTTTCCCACCCTTGAAATTGTGACAAATACCCCACCCCTACTTATTTAACACAAAACCACCTTTAAGTGGCAGTGGGATTTGTACTTGGACGGACTTATGATACATGAGGGGTGAGACTCAACTATGAGTCACAATATTAGGGGTGAGAGGAGGGGAAAGGGAGACAAAGGATGTCGTGCCGTTTGTTTTTTGTCCCCCTTCCCTGTCTAGATTGTGCAGAATGATTCATAGTTCACTCTCACTCCTCATTTAACACCAATTCACTCCAACCTAATGTGCTTAAATTATACATCCGGATGTAAAGTAGTTGTTGTACATTCCCATTAATATTCATTTTCAAACAACTGAATACTCATTTTCAAGCATAGCTGAATTTGATGAAAAATAAATATTCAATTACTCAAAAATAAGTATTCATATGCTCGAAAATGAATGTTCAATTACTTGTAAATGGATACCCACTGCAGATGTGCAAGAAACACCATACAGCCGGTGGTACTATATAGGGCGCCCCCACCTATGCTTACGTTTTCTTGATAATGGTCGGTCATTGAATCAAAGACACTATTCACGCATTTTATTAGCAGGGAAAATATGCAAGAAATGACTCTAAAGGCAAATAGATGTAGTATTCCTTCAAAGAAAAAAAAATGAAGTTTAATTTACTTCAATTAGTTAATTTTAACGATCATTGTAAACAAAATAGGTGCAGCGTAGTACTTGTAGGAAAAGATTAAATATTCATGTTTTTAGCAATGTTATAAAGCAATAAAAATAAAACTATTTACCAATGTTAGGGTCCTCGGATATGTCCCAAAACATATTCTTCATTTGTTGACCACACCATATGTGTACGCTTGACCCTCGGCTCATCGGGATTTTTTTCTTGTTTGACCGTTTCCAAGGTTGTGATGGTACCACTTTGTCCGGTTGCGTCACGGGCACTACCTCTGGTTGTGGCTCCGGAACACTTGCGGGGTGTTGCGTTTGAACTTGTGGTGGAACACCCATGACAATTTGTTGAAAACCAAAAGTATTCATTGACATATTTTGTATCATGCTAAAAAGATTGTGATTTGGAATGTCGTCATTATTTAAAAAATCTTGACTAATTGGATAACTTAGAAGCATTCGGGTGTTTGGTGCGGTGGTGGTATTTGGACGAGTTGGGGCTTGTCGGGGTGCTAAAAAATTGTAATTGTTTGGATTTTCATAGGGATGCATCTTGATGTATTTTTTTTAGAGAATGTGTATGAGAATATAAAAATATACTCCTGAGAGTAGAGAAGTGTATAGGGATTTTGTGTGCAAAAATGGTTATGAGATCAATGAGTTTAAATAGGTAAACAAATAGGGAGAAAAAAAATTCTTTTTTTTTTAAATTTAATTATTTGACCGTTTGCAATGGTTAGATCCTTGGCTTCACAATTGCTTGCCCGTTATATGTATCATGCACCAATTCTTATCTCAATTCACGCCTAAAGGGCCGGTCAAGTGTGGCGTTAAGAGGCTTGCATGAGGGATTGAACGCCTCAGTAGGCTTGGTCTAAAAGTTGAAATCATTATACAGAGACTTTCATACACTAATCTTATTATATTATGTAACTGAGATGGCTACAATTACAATCTGAGAGTGACTTAAATTAACGCAGCTCTAGTAACGAGACGGGTGATTCTTTTAGTGTTGCTCATTGTTTCTTTTGTACCTTCCGAGAAAGGAGAACTGAGCACAAAAAAAAAAGTGAAATAGAAGTGAGTTCACAAGGTCCGAAAGGGGAAACAGAACTGCAATTTCAAGGTAAGAACTAAGAAGTGGTGTACGAGGGCTTACTTTCATCCATACTATATGATCTATCAAGATGGAATATGAAGCTGAAGTCAAGATCTAGTTGCAAGGGTAGAGCCATGGCCACGGAGCTTTTACTGCAAAAGAGAAGCATTACAAGTCACTACAGGTTTCGATTTGCTGGGAAAAGTGTTCCAAGAGGGCTAAGATGATTAAGATAAGCATTGTACCGATTCACGAAATAACCAAGATGCATCGTCCTTCATGAAATGTCATGTAAAAGATGTTGTGTCGAATACACAAGGAAAAACTTGGAAGCCGAATGTAACCAGAGTATCTTGTTATAGCAACATCTTTTCTTTTTTTGAATGTTCCCTATGTAGTAAAGAATGTGCTAATGATAAGGAGAATAGAGCATGATTAATCACCTGGCCCATTCGGGAACAAATTTTTTGGTGTGCAAGTCATCCACTTCCTCTTCTTCCTCATCATCAGAGCACTGATATGGAGAAATTTCATACGATTTCTCTCGAATGAAATTGCCTTTACAGATGGAGCTCTTTGGTGTGCATACGCCCTGAGGTGTCATAGGCTAAAATATCAGCATAAAGACTGATAATTTTCCCATTTTCTTAAGATCATATGTTATTGCATTTCTAACCAAATATATAATTTTCATCTTTTAAGTTCTCTTATCTAGCACAGGTGGGAACAACAACCCAGTTGAATCCCACAAGAGTAGGATCTGGGGAGGGTGTGTGTGCACATACCTTACCCCTACTCGAAAGTAGAGAGGCTGTTTCCAAAAAGACCCCCGACTCAGCGTTGAAAGTTGCATTGATCGACTAAGTGCTACTTCATTAATTAAAGAAACGCAGAAAGTTTAAAGATCCATTTTGCTTTATTCCATCACCCCAAAGCTAAAAATAGTGAATTTTTGGCTTCATCGGATATGATGGAAAATTCATGTAATTAGGTAGCCATAACAAGCCTACCTGTTTGTTATCACAAGACTGAGAAGAAGCAGTGCATTGCTTTGAAGAACTAATGTCTTGCGGTTCACCCTCTAGCCTCTTACAAGTAATATCATCTCCTCTTTCTTTGCCTACTGCCTGATGATTCTTCGATTCCATTTCAGTTTCTTTCTTGCTCATCATTTCACCATCCTGGAGGTAAAGAAATTCTCTAAGCAGTGCCTTAATAGAAAAACATAGTGTAGAATCTCGTATAAAAAGTAAGTATCCTACAATATCCAATCGTAGTTTTTCTTTATCTACTTTCTGGGAGTGCAATTTGTCCTCTTGTTTCTTCTGGCGATGTGTTTCATCGATTCTCTTTTTTTTCCTCTCCTTCTCCTTCCTCTCTTCCTCCTCCCTTCGTCTTTTCCTTGCTGCCATATCAGCATCTTTTCTCATCCGTTCCTCTTTCTTCCTCTTCTCTAACTCTGCCTGTTTTGCATTTTCCTGCTCCATCTTTGCTCGTTCAAGTTTCATTGCTTCTTTTCTTGCCTTACGTTCATTCTCTCTTTTTGCTTCAAGTCGTTTCACGGCCTCAGCAGCCTCCAGAGCCTTAACCTTAATATCTCTCTTTCCTGCAAGACAAAACAAGCAGACAGAATAAAGCCATTAAGGTGCAGCACTTCAAGCCATCAAAACAGAAAAGTTAATAAAAAAATTTGTATCGATCATAAAGGATAAGAAACAATGTCAGAGGAGATAGTCCTGATTTAGAAACAGATAACCAAATATGTTGATGCCTTATCCAAACATAAAGCAGGCAAATACTGCAAAATAAGGATCCAATGTAATGGAACAGCATCAAAGAGTAAAAGGCAGAGTTATTTAATGACCGTACATCAAATCATACAAAAAATTAATCGTTTTATCTGCTAGAAATCAATCAATCATAGATGTATCATGTAAAAATTTGTAAGAATGCCAGAAGAAAAAGGTACTGTCTGATAAATATGAATACTAGAGAGATAACAGCAAAGCCAGTACAAATCCAACTCTGTTGGGGTTTGGGGGGAGGGGGTAAAGATGTACATAGTCTTACCCCTGTTAACTAAGGGGCCATTTCGAATAGACCCTTGATGCATTGGCACGTTTACTACCCAAAACTTCATAGAAAGTAAGAAGCAAGGGAAGTTTCACGGGTCATTTTGATTTAATCCATTATTTGCCCAAAGCTAAAACAAGTACCAAGAAGAGGCAATAAATACCTGTACACACTTCAGCTGCTTGTTTCTGCTTGACCAAAGGAATAAATGAAGTTACATTTGAAACAATATTATTGCGCTTAAGTTCCTTCTCTGACAGTTTCCGGGGTTCATTCCTCAGACTGGCTTTACTAGATAACTTTGGCCGGCTGTACCTATTTGTGAGTGCAACCTTAGCCATTTCTGTCCCAATTGCGCTTTTTGACATTAAAAGGTTCTCTTTCCCTTCACCCTTGTTACTGTAGGAGTTCCCAAGCTTACGTTTCACCTTGCTACGAGTCCTAATACAGCTGGCTTCTTCATTCGTCGAATCAACACTGCCTCTACTTACAAATTCCCGCCATCGAGAGATTGACGCTGGAGGTTTCAAGTTTGCTAGAGCTACACTTGTGTCATGTTTCCTCTTAAGGTTGTTCTCCACAAGCATTTCATTTTCTTCTTGAACTTCATCACCATGCTCATCTGCAATCTCGTTTCCATCACTGATACATCGGTCCTCTTCAATAGTGAAGCATGTAAGCTCAGGATTTGAACTTCTACTCTTCCCTGAACTACCTTTTCGGGTTGAGAAACTCTCCCATATTTTACCAACCGGAGATGTGTATTGCTTTACTGATGTCAAACCAAATCGAGAACCAGAACAAGGAACATACTCAGATGGCATTGCTTCAAGACTGCTATTTCCTTTGTTCACATCAGTCAAACTAGCCGATGACTGTTTATAGTAGTCTTCATCTACAAATTGAATATCTGGCACATCTGTTTGCTCAAGAAGACCATTTGGAAGAGTCTGGAACAAATGATGGTATCTCTGGGATTCCAAAGAAGAGGACAGGTCAGATAAATGAGTACACGCACTAGCAGATTTGCATATATGTTCCAGGATGCTTGCGCGTGCTATTGTAGATCTTGGAAGGCCTAGTTTGTCAATATTAACTAAGTTTCCATCAACATCCCATTCTCTGATTTCTGCTTGTGAATTTATGATGAACCCTTCAAAAACAGGCATTGTTTTATCAGCATTCTTTATGTCAAGGTCTTCAACATTTTCTAACTCAATTGAACTGTCCAGAATAGGCTTTACTTCCGAGAGAAATCTCCCACCACTAGCCAACTCTGCAGACATTGCTTGATCATCATAAAACAAACCCGAGTTCTTTCCTTGAGGAGACGGAACTGAACACTGTGGGAATAGGGGATCCTCTTCAGGAACAGATTTCCTTTCCAAAGGATGTGTCTCAGTATAAACTGACTTTTCAGGATTCAGTTGATATCCCATATATTCAAGATTCAATATATGTTCATCTCTGCCGATTTCTACATTGGGAGTAATGCTATTTGCATATAAAGTCGTTATTGTCTCAGCCAAGCACCCTCCTGTGACATCTTCAGTTGCCTCTGCTACAAACCTTGTGCGGAGGATTACTTCTGAACTTTTAGCAGTAACTGCCGGAAGATTCTCATGATTGTTATTGGTCTCCAAAAAATCAAGCCCATCCTGTGAAGAGGAAAAAAACATATAGATCCCTTAAAAAGCATCATGAAGAACTAATCATGGCATTAAGTTTGAAGAAAAAGACTGATGGACTCTGATTCTGTTCACATAACCAGGTGTAACTGCGACCTAGGAGGTGCAGCCTTGCAGGACATATCTTTATGGAATTTGTTAGCCACTACTCTATAGGGATTAAATATGTGAACTCACACTACACATCTTGGAACAAGAAGGATGCAATGGGATGACAGATCCATGTTTACTTTTGATGAGAATTATGAGGTTGTTACCTGATAAGTGTGGGATTGCAATATGCTTTCTAGCGCATCCAGGAATGTTGTAATTTATTTATGGTTAATTATAGATTGTTATGTGCTAAATCTGTTGCTTAACATGTTTAGTGGGTTACTCATTCAATTGGTTCTTAATGTGTAACAAAAAGGGGAAAAAGGGATTGGGACTGAAGGGTTCCTATCTATATCAAGTGCTTATTATCCATGGTTATGAGCATGTTTTGACTTTTCGATTCATATGATTTGTGAGGTGAATTTATTAATATACTCTTGTGCACTATGAGAATAGCCATAAGAATATTTTATATATCCGGTTCAGAAAGATCCAAATGGTCCGAAACACCTTCACACACTAACACACTTGCTAAAAGATTAACACGGTAGAGAAATGAATATCGAGAAACTGTGCCAAGAGATTAGGCGTTTCTAGTGATAAATAATATATCATACATTAATTGCAAAATTCATGTTATTGTCATAGTTTGGGGTTAGGTAAACCCCTGACCAATCCTTTGTTCATTGTTTTCTTATTGTTTCTCAATTCATGGTCTTGCACTCTTCGTGATTTGTAATTTTCCAATCTATTGAGCATGACTAATAACTCATTTGCACTTGTTGACTCCCATCACACACTACAACAGCCATCGTGGATACGACAACCCCACTACTTACTGCTACACATTCATTTGCCCGTACTCTTTACATCATTATTTGAAAGAGGGTTTTGCACAAAATGATCCATATAAATAATATACTAGTGAAACCCCTCATCATTACCCATGGTAAATAACCGTTAGAATAGAGAAAGAATATCATTTCAAACTCTAAACAATTGTTATCATTACCCCCTACGTGAAAACAATCATTGGGGAATGTGTTAAGAAACCAACTCAACCAAAAGTTCAAGCTCCTTGTTGGAGATCTAGAAAATGTTTTATACTCTAGCACGCTCCCTTATTAGTTTATTTGAGTCTTGCACGTGAACATTTCTTTTTTAAAGTGGGTAGAGACGAGATTCAAACTCATGATATCTATATCAATTATCAACAAGACTTTGACACCATGTTAAGGAACCAACTTAACCACAAGCTCAAACTTGTAGTTAGTGTTAGAGTGTATCTCACGTCGGAAGAGTGAGAAAGAAATAATCGATATATAAGCCCAGGAAATGTTGTATACTCTATCAAAAAGTTAACACTCTGATATTAGACTAGATTACTCAAACCTTTAACAACTACATGTGGTAATTAGAACGGCACAAACTCGGGCCGACCCATTCGGCCCCTCCATAAAATGGGTGGAAATGGACAACTATATGAGCCCATGCAGGCTAGCCCGTGCCGGCCCGCAACATAATATGGACGGGCTTGTGTTTTACATTTGGCCCACATGGGCAACAAGCTCGTCCACATATACAAATAAACATATAAATACACACAATATGTTATACAGATGTCTTTTTGGTATATTGATTGAAGCAAATATAAAGGTATAATGATGTACCCGTAACAATCATATTTTATTCATTTTAATATGATAAAAATATTAAATACAAATCTTTGTATATATTTTAATTTAAAATATTTTTATGAAGTATATAAAAAAGTTCCAGGTCGGGCCTGTTTGGATCACCTTCATGGGCGGATATGGGCATGATATTTGGCCCAAATTTTGTGGGCGGGCCCGGAAGATATCGAGGCAAAAATTAACCTCGGGCCCAGCCCCAACTATTTGTAATAATTTTCTTCCAAAAATATCACTACATAGGCTGTCAGGAATCCTCCAAACTTTCAAGCAAGCTACCTAACAGAAATGCTACTGCTTAAATTTGGAAGCAAAAGACAAACACGTAACAAATTCTAGCTCAAGAGATGAATAGATACCTTGTCTCTTTGATCTTCAGGTGGGGAGCCAATACCTTCGTCATTTTTCACATTAGATTTTGTTGTTAGTTGTGGACTCTTATTTCCCAAATTAGAAACGGAACTGCACCTAACATCCTTCAGATCCTTGTAAAGTTTCTGCATTTCTTCCATTGATGATGCAATACAGCAATCAACGTGTTGATCTTCAGTCTTTCTCCTCTTAACCTCGAAACTTTTACAACTTGTTTCTGGGGATAAGTGTGTGTTATTTGCATCTCGAAGTTTCCTTGCTTCTGGATCACTAATTTTTACACCAACACCTGCAGAACTGGCCCAGCAACTGGATCCACCCCTCTCCAGATGAGGACTTCTCCCTGTCAATTTGTCAGAGAAAGATCTGTTGTTTGCAACATGTTCAGCAGAAAGTCCATAAACCACTTTCTCGGGCAAGGAACTTTGGGAATCACCTTTTGCCCCTTCGAGAAAACGTGAGAAGTTAGTTGGCACAGAATGTTTGTGGCTAGATGTTGGACTCCCATCCTTCCCTTCACATCCACACTCAATTCCATCTTGGTGTTCCTTTGCTTTAGGAAAATGAATTATTGCAGCAACGCCAGGACATTTGGCCAAGCTCCTTATCGATTTGTCAGAGAAAGACTTGTGGTTTATATCAGCTTTAGTAGAATATTCATACACCACTTCCTCAACCAAGGGATTTTGAGAGCCATCTACTGCCTCTATCGTAAAACTTGATAAGTCAGTTGGCAAAGAATGTTTGTGTCTGGAAGCATAAGAACATGCTGCACTCCCATCCTTTCCTTCGGATCTACACTCACCCTGCAAGGACATATAAGATAAAAGTCTTAATACAGAAAAAGAATGATATTTGATAGACAACTGAAGAGGTGCTTCGTGCAAGGGAGCTCTTTGAATATAAAATAATGGCATACACTCCTTACACTATCCATCCACCATTCCACCTAAAAAAAGAATGGGAAAAATTATGTTTACATATGCACACTGTAAAGGAGGGGGGGGAGTCAAGACTAAATCTATGAAAAGGTCAAATAAATCTTGATTAAAAATTGCGAACAGCATATATTAATCATTTAAGAAAAAATTAGAGAAGATTTTTTAAGAGACTACTAGACTAGAGAGGTACAAAGAGGTAAACAAAACTAGAAACTTATTCAAGAAAATTACTCTGCAAAAAAAAAAAACAATTTACAATTACTAGGCATGTTAAAGTGGGGTGGACTGGAGTACCTAACATACATGGGCAAACTGGAATTCTCTTTGTAAATATAGGATACATGAAAACAGCAGAAATTATCATACCCCTTCAGCTTGCTGATGTGGTGATGACCTGTGATCTTGTTCGCGGGAAGCATTCAAGTTACTTAAATCTAAGTCAGGAGTGTCACCAGCCTTTGGCAGCATAACATCTTCCTGGTTCGTGCAAGGTGATTTTTCAGTGTACGCAGGTTTTGAGTCATTTTTCATGTTCTTCAAGTCCAAATGCTTTTTTGTAGTAGACTCATCTCTGGCCACCTCAAATTGAAAGTCTCCTGAAACATTAAATTCAACAGAATTCCTCCAGTCTTCTCTTAGTTCACTGTGGACCTTAGGCTCTACCAGTGACACTTTCTCAGTAGGTTCTATTTTATTATCAGTACTGTCCTTATCTGATGAAGATTGCGAAGTGTTGAACCCTTCGGCTGATTTCTCTGTCCTTTTCCTTTCCACTGTTAGAAGAGTAACATTCGAGCCTTCAGTGTGATCAAAGTCAAGCTGCTTTGGCTTCACTCGCATGAAACAATCAGAGGGAGGCTTTTCTGCCAAACACTCCAAGTCTTTTCTGATGTCACTATCAAGGTTGTCCAGTTTGTAACTGGAAGAATGATCTTCTACAACCTTATCAGTTTCCAGTTTATTTTCTACAATAGTATCTCCAATTTCCTTCTGGTTAGTCTTACAATGGATGTTATGAATTACTTGACAACCTAAAGAATTTTCAAGTTCATTGCCAGCAGATACAAACTTTTCTGCGGCAAACAATATGAATTGAGTATTTTTAAGACCAGAAGCACTTGAATTATTGGCAGGAACTGATTCTAGTTTATAGTAACAACTATCTTCTGACCTTCTTCTTTTATGAAGTGCCCCATCTGAAATATAGGCCCCTGCTGAGAATTTGTTGCAATTATCATTTTCTTGCACAATGTCTGAGGGTACTGAGAGAATACCCCTATCCATCCCCGAAAATGAAGAATCTATATTTGGGTTTGAAGCCCGATTAACACATTCATTTTGCTTGCTAGAGCAGTTAGATCTTCCAAATAACCCGCGGGAGAACTTGGTAGCCTCATCATTCTGAGGCAAGCCATCTTCCAAAGTTTCGTCTTTGTCAGCAAAATATTCTTTACTTAGATTAGAAGGGTCAACCAATTTCAGTGGCTTCCTTGCACAGCAAGGCTGTTGAGACAAATCATCCAAGGACCCTATTTCAGCAGCATCATTCTCCTGAGCAATGACATCAGCAAAAGGATAAAGTGTCACCGGATCACATGCACAACTTGCTTGCTTTGCAGAACCTTTAGGCGTTATACTCTTGTCGAGCTGTTTATCCATTACTAACTTTTCTACTTGGCTGTTATCATCACATGTTTCCCTAAACCTGCATCTTATGCTAGAAGTCCAAGACTTTGTAGTTCTACCAACATCAATATCTTTACCTGTTTCCACGCTTTGGCTATCTCCGCCTTTAGATTTAATATCCCCAAAAATTTTGAAGCTTCTGGAGTTTATGTTGCTTCCCAAGTGTGAATTGCTTTCCCTTTCAGAAGCTTTAAGTTCCTTTGTGGGTGATTCCTTATGGATGTGCCGATCGGCAGAATTGTCAGACCTAGTATTTTGAACAGCATGGAGGTCGCTACCATCTCCCAAACCTTGACTATATTCTGTGTTCATTTCTCCATTTTCATAAATATGGCAGCTCACAGCAGAAGGCTCAGGTGACTTCGGTGCCTCATTGAAATGATCAACGCACTCAGACTCTAAACTAGGCATTCTAGTACCGCCTGTAGATCCGTCGTTCCTCTCTTCATTTCTTGGATGATTCTTAGCCACTGACTTTGCACTATTCCGGAGCTCAAGAGCTTTTTGCCTTGATTTGGACCTCTGAATCCTTGCTAACGACTGATCAGGAACACTGTATACATTTGAGATTCTAGCATTTCCATGGTCAACTGGTGAGCTAACACTGCAATCCAGCTCAGAAACAACATCTAGATTATTTTCAACATCAATCTCAAGGCAACCATCCACCATACTTGGCCCCTCTCCCACATCAACATCAATGTTTGAAGCATGAGTTTCTGCGCAGAATCCATTCCAAACCTCTGGGTAGTCTCTGACAACCGGCTTAGTGTTGTGAGAATAATGAGCAGTTTGGTAATGCACTGGACGCTGTGTATGAGGAATCAGAAGTTCAGAAATCAATTCTTCTTTGTTCCACTCTGCACCAAGGAGTTATGATCAGAGTAAATTAGTCTAAAGTGGAACTGAATCCATATATGTTTAAAGACTAAAAAATCAATTCAAAGCATTCTAATCTGATGACCGAAGGTTCAGACCTGAATTTAATTTAAATTGTAACAGAAGATTTCAAAAATTAGCATAAACTTTACATGTCAGTTATGATCAGAGTAAATTAGTCTAAAGTGGAACTGAATCCATATATGTTTAAAGACTAAAAAAATCAATTCAAAGCATTTTAATCTGATGACCGAAGGTTCAGACCTGAATTTAATTTAAATTGCAACAGAAGATTTCAAAAATTAGCATAAACTTTACATGTCTAATGCCTAAATAACAAAAATGAACCACTAACAAAAACTACCTTTACTGTTTAATAAGCAAAAAACATTCTAATCCAGTGTTTGTTTGATGCTTATCTAGTTTCTTAAATCTGAAAAAGATATAAAAGATATATAATCTTCAGACCTATCAAGAAAGGCAAAGAAGGCAATCCTTTGGAGCATGAAGTCTATCAAACTTCTTTTATAATCCTTAATGTTCAATAAAAACCGAGGCAATTACACACAAATTCTATATAATTAACTCTTTGAGTCCTTAATTATGAGGTGACACTGCGTATTGTCACAAAATATCACAAAAATGTTATGTCAAATCACAATGCCAATTGCAATTAATCATCTCTGAGCAAAATCAAATATAATTCATAATTTTATACCAAAAAAGAGGGGGGAAAATGAGTTGAGGAAAGTGAAAGTACGAGTGGAGTGAGAAGAAGGATTAGGGTTCCCGAGCCAACAGGGAGGAGTTATGCCATGGACGAGGAGCTTCGAGGCTATGTGGTGATCGTACAACTCAGCCTGCTGCCTCGCTTGGTCAATTATCCAATCCCTCCTCTCGAAGAGCTGCACCAACAGCTTCTCCGCCGTCGTCATCTCAGCAGCCGCCGCCGTCTGAATCTCTGCGATGTGCGCGTGTGAGAGTGAGGGAAACCAGCGGCCGACGATCACATCATCTCCGACCGTCGCTGCGCGATGAAATGAAGGGGATAACGATGATGACGGAAGGTGAGGATGGCGTTTGGGAAATGGCGGGAATTAGAGCTTTTTCCTTTGTTCAAACGTCAAACGGAATGTGTGGAGAGCAACTGAGCAAAGCAAAAGCAAAATGAACCAATTTGAAAAACGGAGAAGGCGATATCGATGATCGACGGCAAAAGAGGCCCAATTAGTAACACGTCCAAACTGGTCCAAGAAAAATTGGCCCAAAAAGAAAAGTAGAGTCCAATCCATCCTACTAGTCTAATCCATCTTATTGAGAGAGAAATAAGAAAATATTCTAGTAGTCATATTCTTCTCAGTTAATTGAACTTCTGAAATAGTCTATTCTAACCAGGTGTTTTTCCAAAATAGTCATCTGTTAACAATAATTACCAGCGTGGTCCTTTGTAGTAGAAATGTGTTTCCTAAATAGTCATCTACTAAAAATGTCTGTTAAATGTTAGTCAAAATGCTACTTTATAATTAAGTATTTTTTTCAAACTGATAATTCATAAGTAAATGTTTTTCCAAAGTTGAGCTAATGAGCCTACTCAGGATGGTTTCGTTTCTCTAGCAGCCATTCACTTAATTTGAAAAGATCATTTTAAGTATTTACATATTTTAGATAATGGAAAATACAAAAATATCCTTCATCTAACTATTACGTACTCCGTAGTATTTAATAGACATTTTTTTACAGAGGACTATTTAGGAAATACATCTCAATTACAAAAAATTATGTTGGTAATTATTGTTTATTGAGGACTAGTTTAAAAAAACACCATACTTCAAAGGACGGTTTTGAAAATTTACTCTAATTCCTACGTGAGAGTGAAAAGATATTGTCTAGCAAGGACAAGCTGTTTGAGTGGACACTACAATACCAAGGAAAAATCACTATTTTTAATGAATCAAATTTTCTATTAACTGAGTTGTGGCTATCAAAAATTTGATTCATTAAAAATAGTGATTTAAAATCAAATATGATTCTATTAAGATCTAATCTAATCTAATTTAATTCTTGTACTTTGTACAACATACTATATTTTAAAATATTCCATATCTAATTTTGATAGGAATAAATTGAGAAGAAGACTCTAATACTAGTAAGGCTTTCTATACCATAAAGTGGTATGGTTTGTTTTCATCCTCTTTAATACGGATGACAAATTATACTCCCTCCCTGCCTCTAAGATGTTCTCATTTTGACTTTTGGTGGTTTTTAAGGAGAGTTGAAAAAAGTGAAAGTTTACCATAATACCCTTAATGAAAATGGGTGAAGTGTATTAAAAGAGGTGGGTAAGGTGTAAATGTGTAATAAATAAAGTAAGTGGAGGTAATTGTGGTATTTTAATTGTTAAAAAATGAAATGAGAAGATCTATTATGGACAAAGAAAAAGGACTATTGGGAAGATCTATGGGGAACGGAGGGAGTACATAATACTCCCTCTGTCCTATACTATAGCACATGTTTAATACTCAAAGAGTCAAATTTTATTTGTTTTCTTTGTTTATTTTTCAATACTTATTGGATAAAACAATAGCATAATTATGCCACCTCTTGTTTAAAAGAGTTTTTAATGTACCACTAGTTTTTAAATGTATATTCTTCTTTCGTCCCAAAAATTCATCCCAATTCGATTTATGGTACGTTTGGGAACATGGATTTGGATTTCAAATCCGGATTTGACTTAAATTCCATGTTTGGGAAATCTAAGCATTTTGAATTTGGATTTGAGTCAAATTCTTTACATTCAAAACAATGCTTAATTTGAAATCCATGCACCTCCCCTTGTCATTTGAAATTCAAGATTTCAAATTTTGGAATTGAAATGCATGAATTGAAATGAAATGCTAATTGCCAAACACTACCTTACGAGATTTNAATTCGATTTATGGTACGTTTGGGAACATGGATTTGGATTTCAAATCCGGATTTGACTTAAATTCCATGTTTGGGAAATCTAAGCATTTTGAATTTGGATTTGAGTCAAATTCTTTACATTCAAAACAATGCTTAATTTGAAATCCATGCACCTCCCCTTGTCATTTGAAATTCAAGATTTCAAATTTTGGAATTGAAATGCATGAATTGAAATGAAATGCTAATTGCCAAACACTACCTTACGAGATTTACTTGTAATTCAATTTATCATGCTATAGTCTATAGATGTACAATTCTACTTCCTTCATCCCAATTTACAATGCCTATTTCCTATTCACGGGATCAAACTTTATTCACTTTCTTTCTCTATTTTCATTAGCAATTTAATAAAATAAAATACTATTGTCACTACTAGTTTTGTACTCAGTAAATTTTTTAATGTAGTATTTTAATATATAATTTTTATTTTTTAACTATATACTATTTGTCATATAAAATGATTTAAAAATAATTTCAATCAAACATCTTAAACCAAAACAAACACTATAAATTGGGATAGAGGAGTTAAGAGGTGATATGACATTATTATGACAATTTGACTGTGCAAATACCCACCGAAGATGATTTCAAAACGAAAGGAGTGGTTTTTATCTTTTTTAATTTCACCCAAAATTTGAAACAAATTAGATTAAAAATAACTACAGTCAAACATCAACTGAACCAAAACAAACACTAAATTGAACTAGCGGAAGAACTAGTAAACAATTTACTTGAGACAAATTAGTGTATACTGAAAGGCATACTAGTTTATACGAAGTACATACTAGAGTAAAACAGAGTTCAAAGGCCTATCCAGCTGCGCTAATCCAATATCTCAAATGTTTCACTAAGGCCATATCCATAAAAACAAAATCGAACACAGATGTTATTATTGAATTGGCAACTTCAATTTATCTAAAAAAAAAAAAAGAAAAGAGTTGCAGGGTACATGAGAACTCAAAATCAGAGAAGAAACAAAGACAAAGCAGTACACAGTTCATGACAAGAGAACCATAGAAAATTCTAATGTGTGATGATTGATGAACTTCTCAGACAGACCTCTTGACCAGCTTGTGGTATATAACACGGTCATCCCTTGACGTGTTGCTCTCCACAAGCGCGTTCATAACCAGATCCTGCACGTGAATCGAGTTTGCAATGGTAATATAAATAAACAAACATTCTTGATGGCAAATTGTTGCCGTCTTAAATCGTGAAAATGCAAAAGAAACACATATACCTTAACATCCCGGTTTGATAGCGACTTGCCAAGATTGTGGATAATTAGCCTCAGATCTGCTACCTGTTCATGATATAAGGTCAAGTTTAGGATAATGTGGCAGAAACATTAACATTATGTTATGTTCTAGGAATTTGAGGAAAAAGGAAAAAAGGAGATGGAAAGCAATCTTTCATTTTTGGTTAGAGAGGAAAAAGAAAAGAAAAGTGAGAAAACAAAATAGGATAAGGAAAACTGGATTCCTTGTATTTAGTGAGGAAAAGGAGAGAAAGCATTTTCTTTTCCTTCCCTTTTAAATTTCCATGAGCCAAACATAGGGTAAAAGAGAAAGCAATGATAGACTTTCTTTTACTTACCCTTATGTAACCCACACGGTTTCGATCAAAAAACCTGAAAGCCTGTTCCAACAAAAAAACATCATAATAACAACATTAGTTTCAGTATCAAACTAGTCCATCATCCATACACATATCTCAATTTGGTGATTTAGCTTCAGAGACTCATTAAGATTATGGACTACTCCATCCTTCCCACTATTTTTATCCCAAAATATATTTGGTCATATCTGTGGTTCACAATCATTGATCATTCTTACTTTATCTTTACTTTTATTAGTTTCCGTGCCACTCCCTTGTCCTAAAATTGTGGGATGCAGGGAGTATAATATTGAGCATTATTCAATCCTTGCACATATATGGTTCTAGTTAGGTTATTTTTTTTGTTCACTAAAATTTGACCCAATATCATTCAATTTGATCATATTTTGGTACTCGGACACTTCTCAATAAGCTTGAAGAAAGCATGAGATACTACATTGAGGCTAAAACCAGGAACCATATTTGTTTAAGTATCCAACTTTGGAAGCTGAAGAGAAAATAATGAATATGTAAGCATTTGAGTTGAACTAAGTAGTTATCGGATTCAATCTTATCATTCAGTCTAGTAATCCTAACCGCAACCTAAATTTGATCAATATATATTCCAAAAGAAAGTGTATGTCAAAGTTAAAGGTAGAGTATTAACTCTAACAACAAAGTGAAAAAAAAGCACAACAAAACTAATTGTTAAATAAAATTGAACCTGCAATAGGTCCTTGTCAATCTCAGCATGAGAGCCCTTTGTCTCTGTCTCAGGCTTAATTGTATTCTTGTCTTTGCTGCTTACACTAGCAGCATCTGTGCTTAAATTAGAGGCTTCTACACACATTTCTTGTTTCATATTGGCCTCATCCCCGTCTAAAATTTCAGTCTTAACAGTGACATTAGTGCCATCTTCAACATTTTCCTGTATAGGACAAACAGATATTTAACAGTGTTCTAAAAAGAGCTAAACGGGGGCCACGCGGGACATCTCTAACAAAGATATTTGGGTGAATGGCCTGTCTGTTCTAATAAAAAATACAGTGGGCAGAGCAGCACACTTGTGAAGAGTGAAATAGCAAGCTTGAGATTTATTTAAAAATGAAAATTGCAAGCCAAGAAGGTAATGCCTATTGTAAGACCATCAAAAAAGGACGAAGAGAAACACTAAAGAACAAATACCTGGAATAAAAACTTAATAGAAAGACATTAATACCTCAGAGTAATATTTATCATACTAATTATTATTATTATTTTTATTATTAGTTTTCATTACAAAAAAATATTATTATTATAATGGTTGGTATTATTATTGTTATTGTTATAATAATAATAATAATAATAATAATAAAGTAATTGGAGTAATTGATCCTTTCTCATTATTAATTGCACTACAGACTTGTATAGAGTAATTGGAGCATTGGTCCTTTCTCAATATTATTATTATTATTACTATTATTATTATTATTATTATTATTATTATTATTATTATTATTATTATTATTACCCCATATAAGTAAAAAGACTGTAGTGAAAAAATGTTTAATTAATTGATTAGAAATAAAGTAAAAAGACTGTAGCATTATACTATTTTTTTTGAAATGAGTCGTAAATCGGTGGAGAGAGAAAGAACCACAAAATGAAGTGTAGAAACAGGCGAGGGGATAATTAGGGTGGTTGTGTCAAGTAATTATTGATAGAGGATTGAATAGGCATTATACTCTTTTCCTTACCATTAAAAGGAATGTAGACAAATACACTAGGTCAACCCAAAAAGGAATACTATGAAAACGACTTGAATGGAGGGAAGCTCATTTATACTAATATAATTATTATTGTTATTACTATTTTAAGTGGGGTTCCGTTGACACTGGCCAACAGTGCCACAGCGTTTTTGGAGCAACTCTTTGTTGGCAAAATTGATGATCCCCCCACTAAATCCCCCACCCCAGCCCCCCTCCAAATGTGTGTCTATATGAGGCAGGGGTGGGGGTTTAGGGGTTGGTACGAACGATCAATTTTGCGAACGGAGCACTAGAGGTGCTCCAAAACCACGGTGGCACCATTGGCCAGTGTCAACAGAAATGTGCCATCATTTTTAATAATATGGGCATCGCTATTTCGGCTCCCATTTTGACTAAATTCAAACCTTAATGTTAAAGTGACAACTTTACCTTTAAAAGTTGTCTTGCATCTAAACTCTCTCTTTTATATTTTTAAGGGTAAAGTTGTCAATTGAACATAAAAGGAGTGGATTTAGTCAACGTGTGTGTGGATATAACCAAACCTACGGTGCTCCTTTCACAAAAGTGACAGTTCCTAACCACCCACCCCGCAAAATGTGTGGTCATTAGGTAATTGCCTTGTGACCACACATTTGGAGGGGGCTGGGAGGGCAATTCTGCGAAAAGAGCACCGTAGGTGCTCCAAGAGTTGAGTGGCAGCAAGAGTTGCACGGAACCACCCCATTATTGTTATTATTATTATTACTATAATAATAAAAAAAGGCAATAATATAATCAAAAGAAGAATGTTCACACCTTCTCTGTGTCACTCTGAGGGTTCACATCAGGGATCTCTTCATCAGGCATTTCTTCATCTTCCGCATTTTCTTCATCTTCTGCATTTTCTTCATATTCTTCAGGATCTTCCTCTGGATCCTCATCTTCATCCGTCTCATTATGCATTGAAGAATCATCTTGCATCTTAACATCTTCAGTCTTAGCAGGAGAGCTAGTAGTCTCTTCTTCCTTCACTGGAGACTTCTTTATATCTGGAATAGCATCCTTCTGGTGTTTGTCAACCTCAGCAGATTGATTATCATCCTTTGGTTCTTCTGTTTTGGCTCGCTTCGCCAATGATTTCTCTTCACTCTCTTTCTTAGAAGCTTCATCTCGCTCTCTTTTCCTTTGGTTTCTCTTGGTTACAGATTTGATGCGTAATTCCTAAAACTCAGTAAAATGAATGTGTTCAAATGAGAAAACTAAAATCAATTAAAACACCGCCAAACTACAACCATTGGATCACAATTATTACCTTAAGAAATGTCAACAGGCGTGATCCCATTTCACAATAAAGCAGCTCATACATAGATTCAGCAAACAGTGATAGCTGCACCAAACATTAGAATTTGCAAATCACCAATGGAGGAAGATAACTGAGGCGCAACCCACCAATAACCTACCCCAACCCATAAAAGAATGTAATTAGTTATTTAAAAGAAAAATTACCTCAAATCTCGAATCATCAACATCCTTGTCAGTATAATCCAAGAGAGAGTCCAGTGAGAGGGACATCGAATGCAACTGTAATAGTAATTTAAGAAATTCAATTATAAATTAAATGTTCCAAAAAGAGCCACTGAACCAACAACAGTAGTGCATTTTTTTATGTACCTTCTGATTTTTGTTACTTTGTGTTTGAAGAATGAATCCAGGATGGCGGGGTGGTTCATCACTTTTCTTTTCTTTAACCTCCTTGATGGGTTTACTTTTAGAAACTTGTTTTTCTTCTTTCTTGTCTTCACTTTTCTTTTCTTTGACCTCTTTGACTGACTTGCTCTTAGAAACATCTTTTTTGTCATTCTTTGCTTTCTCTTCTTCTGGTGTCTCCATCAATTCCAGTTTTACACATTCCTCATTTGGAGAGTTCTTCTCTATGTTGGTTCCTGGCTCCATTTTGGATGAAGAAGCACTACTAACTTCTTTAGCCTTTTTTTCTTGAGTCATGCTTGGTGATGACGGATGTTCCAATTTAAGACCAACTTTTGTTTCTGGAGATATCATATGCTGCTGAGCATTAGATTCAATTTGCAACTCTTTATCAGCATCAGCTTTTACTGGTGCTTGTTCTTCCAAACCTTCTTTAACACCCTCAGCTACAGTTAAACCATTGCTGCCATCTGTTTTAACTTTCCTTTTAAGCACCTTTTTAATAATTTTTTTCTTAACAGTCCTTTTCACACTGGCTTCCTGAACCCCGGAAGTGTTGTTAGCACTATTATTTGGTGCATTGTCTTCAGGACATTCAGATTCCTTTGAAGTCTTGATCTCAGAAGGTGTCGATTTATCAACATCGGACGGAACTGGTTCACTAACAACAGAAGCTGCTGGTTGACTAACCTTCTTTGCTGTTTTCACAACTGGGACCTTCTTAATAACCTTCTTCCTCACAAAAGTTTTGACTGCACTAGGATTAGCAGATGATGCAACCTGTGTGGAGCCACCATCTAAGCTTGCAGCCTTTTCTTCAACTTTTTCTTTCACCTCATCATTCTCTTTGGGAGAAGATGTAGCTTCCACTTTCTTAACAATAGCTTTTTTCACAATTCTCTTTATTATTTTCTTCTTCCCAGTCTTAACACTAGCTTCGGCTTGAACACCACCCGTTTTGCCCTCACCAGTTGTAATGATGGTGGTAGCAGCACTTTCTTCATCATGAGATCCAACTACAAGTTCACTATGTGCTGTTATCTTTTCACTTCCATCCTTATCAGCTTTGTTCTGTGAAGTTTTCTTAGCACTTCCATCCTTATCAGTTTTGTTCTGTGCTGTTTTGGTGTCACTTCCATCCTTTTCATCTAAGCTCTGACCTGTTTTCTTATCACTACCTTCCTTGTCAACTTTGTTCTGTTTCCTCTTACCATCATTCTCCTTTTCTAATCCCTCTATTAATTTCTTGGATGATGAAATGTCATTCTTTTTATCTACCTTAGTATCCCTCTTAGGATCTTTGAGTTTCTCAGAGTCCTTATCTAATCATACAAAAGAAATTATATAACCCTCAAATGACCTTTTGCCATGTGATAAAATGATAAGAACTCAAAAACAGATTCTCAGGAAGTATTTACCTTTGCTATCCTTCTTTTCAACATGTTTCTGTTCAAATAAAAAGTAAAAAAAGTTAGTGTTCAGATATATACAAAAAAAGTAAAAGAACACAAGTTAACCAAGGAAAAGGAAATGTATAACATATATGATGGATGGCAGGAGGAAGATTTTAGAAAAACACTGTGCCACCTACCAAGAAGGATAATGAATATGAAAGGGAGCTCATGAGTAAGATTTAATAAAGTTTCAGAAAAATAGAAATATAGGGCCATGGTAACAATAAAAGATTCATGCACGTCTTAAAGATTAATAACATGAAACAAAATGTTAACCACTTGTTGTCAATGCACAGTTCTCTTTCTTTAAGAAGATGAAATAAACTGGGTTAGCAGGAGTGGGAAAAAACCTAGAACAAGTCTGCTCTAACCAACTTAATTTCTGTTCACTTCAGCACTTTCCAGTTAAAATTACACTCCACCTGTCCCAAAATGAAGTTTTACACTTCCTTTTCTAGGATGTTTGTTTGCACTTCCTTAGTTTACTAAGGAGGAAAGAAATGTGGTTCACAGGATTTCAATCGCACACTTTCTAAATTTCAACACTTACCATAAACTTCATTTTGGCTCAAAGGAAGTAACTAACTTTAAGTTCTGTTCAATTATAATCAATCCAATTAGGTCCAATCCAATCATTCAAACTCACTTCAATTCAGTAAATTTCATTAAAAAACGAATATACAAAATATCAAATCAACAGAAACTATTACTCCTTGTTTTTTAACACATTCAAAAAATCAAAACACAAGTTGCATTAAGAGCATTCCAAACAAAAAATTAGTGACCTTCAGAAAAGAGTTTCTCACTGTTTATCATATATCAAAATCTATACGGAGTATATATCACCATCTCCACACTATACAAACAAGATCCGTCTCACAGCCATATTCAACATTTATACCCCTTCAAGTTTTCATGTCTACAATAAAATAGCATGTGGAACACAAGTCGCTCTCAGTAGTGACCATAAAAGTTGTCCCGTTTAAGAAGGGAAGGGGCGAAAATACCTCTTTTCTGAGTGCCTCTTGGCGTTCTCGTTCAGCAATTGCCTTCTTGTAAGTAACCCATTGCTCCCGCCACAAATCCATTGAAGGTTTACAATCAGACAAATCTGGAACAAAATAAACAGTCACCTCCTTGTGACTGAACATGCCATCCTTTCCAAATCTATCATAATGTATCTGTAAAAATCAATATAACACTCCTTGAGTAAATTGTAAACAAAATGATAAAATCAATTGACCTTATACAATTAAATGATCAGTCATGGATACAAATATACAAGCAAGTAAAATGCCACGTAGTGATAGCATGGTGAAGTAAAATCACAATCTTCACGCCAATGTACTATTGGCATTAGAAAGGTAACAAACGGCAAAAAGAGTAACTGGGTGACTATTTATTGTCATTTCCATCCATTTGGAGGCGGAGCTCCCCCAATTTCAATAATGGAAAGAAACAGAGAAAGGTAAGGCACTTGAGAAGGAAATGATGCATAGTAATAATATCAGGACTTTATCATTATACAGAGTACATACACCTGGTTTGCTTTGGCTTTTGCGTGATAATAAACTGACTTATCTTAAAAGATTACATGAAGTAACTCATGAACAAAAAGATAAGACCAAGTAAAACAAATGCATCACATCATTGATTATGATGCATCATAGATGTAGACTATGTTTGGTTCAAGGAATTTGGAAGGAAAAGAAAAGAAAATGGTTTTCTCTCATTTTCCTCTCCAAAATGGAAGGAATTTGGTTTTCCCTCCACTTGGTACATTTTGCCTTCTCATTTTCTTTTCCTTCCACTTTTCCTTTCTTTTCCCCTCTAACCAAACAAGAAAAACAGTTTTCTACTTCATTTTCTTTTCTTTTCCCTTTCAAATTCCTTGAACCAAACATAGTGGTAATGTAATCTTAAACAAGGAGTCCATATTACCTCAAGGAAACGATTCCAGTGTTGGCAGTCCTTTAACTCAAGATGTGTGGTCTCCCTTGCATATCTAAAAATCAGGTAATATAGTCACAGATAAGAAGCAGCGAGACATCTGGGGACTAACTAAAGAAACTCAAGTACAAACCTAAGGATAGTCTGAATCAAAGCAGTATCATCAACAGATGGATCCCCACCATCAACACTGTCCCATGGACCTCCAATTGCCATTAAAGAATTATCCTTCTTAAGAAGGGCAAATCTTAGCATATTGCAGAAGTGAGGTATGCGATCATCATAGTTTCTTTCAGATGATAGCTCCTCTAAAGCATTTTTACTGAGTCCACTCATCAGAATTATCTGCATGCAAGACAAAACAAAACATGCTTATGCAACACATTGGTGCATATTAAAAGAAACCAACTGAGAACAAGCACAATATTAAATCTTGGCATGGAAATAGACTGTATAACAATTTAGACTGGTAAAGAAAGACCTTGGCACTCCATATTGTAACTCCATGTTCTACTCCTTGGAGTTCGCTGACAGATTTACTTGGCGATAAAATTTTCTGCTCCTTAGTAGCCTCTCCTTCAACAAAATCATGCTCAAAACTGCTTCCATCAGAAGAAGCACATAAACGCAATCACATAAGCAAACTCCAAGAAAACTAAGAATTAAAATCTTTTATATCAGGATCGTCAACTTCAAATCTTTTATTAGTAATATATTAGCCCTTTATCAATACACAGGCAGCATATGTTTGTTTTCTTCAGCATAATGAATACTAAGTCTACACAGATCCTAGTATCCTACTGCCGAGTGGAACGTACGAGATATATTTGGTTTGGGAAAGCATGAAGTAAAAAAAACGTATCAACAAAGATACCATACCTGACTGGAGTATATAAAGAAAGCTTAAGATTCCCATTAGGCCAATGTACAACTACCTGCATATAAAAGAGGCGCCATCTCAAAAATCAAATATGCAACTTGTTTTCAAAATATGAAGTTCAAAAAAATAAGAAAGTGACCTTTGTGCATTCGGGAGAAATGAAAAGTCGTGGATACAACTTATCCAATGATAAATAATCTCTCTCAGTTTCCATCAAGCGGGATGAGTAGACCTGTAGAAAAAAGAAAGATTAGACATCATATACGAAAAATGTGTTTGATAATTTATCTTCTCATCCAGTTGTTTTGATTTGCAAGATGAAAAACACAGAATAGGTATCAGTCTTGCTTCAGGACTAACTTCAGTTGCTCAAGTGAATCTATGAAAAGCTGCAACTGAAAAGATAACTGTTTTGTAGGAATCTGAAAATAAAACATAATGCAGGAGAAAAATGACTGTCGGTCTTATGGAATAGAATGATGGATGGAGAGATCAAACCCAGTAAAATAGAAAAATATAAATTCCTGGAAATGATATGAAGTATGAAAAAGAAAAATAGGAGCAACATAAAAATTGGGAAGCAGCGCAAAAGTCAGAAAAGAAAGAGAAAAAGGTTCCTGAACCAACGCCAAAATAGGAGAAGGCTGACACATGGAAAACAATGTGAGAGAAACCAAATGTCATGGAATTATAGACAAGACGTTTTATGAAACAGGGTTGCTTTTTGGGGAGCTGAGCATTAGAGAAAATTGTCTAAAATGGAATCCCCCAGACAGTCGAAGCTCTAAAAGAGAGCCAGTAATGATGAATCTGCTAAACTCATGCTTTACCTTGCACACATACTCTCTCCTCTTTTCTTTAACTGGTGAATGGCGCCTTCAGCATAATAATAGAAGACTAGGTTAGTTGTGAAGGCTGCAACATTAGCCAGCAGCTAAACATACAGAAGCAGGGTAGGACGTAAAAATAAAATTCCACCTATGCAGAACTTCATGTCGCGGAGAGTCACGTCTTAAGGACTTGCTGTCCTTTGTCACTGATGTACCTCGGGGCTCCCTGGACATTCTTGGTGGTGTCCGTTCAGGCCTAGTTTCAGTTCCACGTTTGCGCTCGTTATCACGTTCCTTCTCTTTCCGCTCCAAAATGCGTTCTCGTTCTCGTTCTCTTTCTCTTTTCCTTATTCGTTCACGCTCCCGCTCCCGCTCCCTTTCTCTTTCTCGGTCACGCTCCCGATCTCTTTCTCGTTCTCGCTCTCGCTCCTTCTCCCTTTCTCTGTCTTTATCATGCTCGCGCAAGTATAGACGCTCCTTTTCCACCCGTTCAAGCTCACGAGCATAAGCAATCCTGTCATCCTTATAATCATCCATCCTTGAATGGCGTGCCATAATACTTGGAAAATCTGAATCAAGGGAAGACGCATGACGCCCTTTTCCAATTCCATAGTCTCTACCAGGAGGCAGACTCACACCATAACCAGGATTTGAAGAACTTTGAGAATACATGAGGTCATCTAATGGTCTTTGAGGTGCTGCCCCTAAGATCGAAGGAGCATGTTGTCCATCAAATGACGAACCGCCTAATGCTGATAAGGCACGGGGATCAGCGTCCGACCTGGTGCTGTAAGCAATAAGATCTTGAGCTGAGAGGCGATTTTGGGGTGCATGACGGGCAGCTGCAGTTCTTGCTGCGAGATAATCAGCTTGTCTGCCACAAATTAGTTTCCATTCAGTTCAGTACAATATACAGCTCCAGCAAAGAAAGCTGCGAACAGGGATGCTGCTGCATTCAAATCCTATGCTTTCGCAATAAAGGCCTTTTGTATGCATTAGCAAATAGAACCCACACATTTTCAAGATAAAAAAAATAACTTTGAAGACAGAACCAACATTACAGTCATTATATACTTGTGTACATTCATAAAAGAGCAAAGATTCTTTTTTAAGAAAAACATGCATCAGATACCTTGGAACCCCTTCAAGTGATCCAGATTGAAGTCCTTGTGCCTTTAGCAGCTGTTCTTTTCTGAGGATCGATGCTTGATCCATGCGATCATATAACTCAGCCTGTTCCAAGGAAGTAACCATGTAATAACTATCTTATGCAATCTTTTTTCAAGTAGGGCCATAGCATACCTGGTGTTTATTAAAAGAAATGGCATCCTGATAACGAGAGGCGGGTTCCATGGTTAAGTCTCTGCCACCCACATATGCACTATGGGGATCACCATATTGACGTCTTTCCAAGGTAGAGTAATCAGGAACCCTATCTGAATAACCTTCAGACTTATGGCCATATGCATGGCTAGATGATGAAACATAGTCACCCAAAGGAAACTTGGATGAGTCTGCAATGGATGATGCAGGTGCTTTTCCACTTACAGAACTAGTCTGCAAATAGAAGGGAAAAAGGCAATGATATTTTTATTTACAAGCAGCAACATTTATGATGAAAATTAGTAGCTAAAGGATGAAAATTAGTAGCTGAAGTATCTAATATGTAGAGTTAATATAATCACTTTGGATCTAAAATGAGAAAAACTTTATTTAAATATAGAAAGCAGACCTGTTGAGCAGTAGAACCATAAACCGCACTGTATTGTCCTCCATAATTAGGCCCAGAAGAGGGGTGATGACCGTGAGCTCGGTACCCACCTGCATTGGCATCTTGAGAAGCCCCAAGCATGGAGGAATGGCGTGAAGCTGCTAGCAGCTGAGAGGACCCATCAGCCGAACCCCCGGATACCAGCTACATTCCCAAAAATATAAAATGAAAAAAAGATAAAACATTATAATGCTTGAATAAATGAAAGGACAGAAATGGCTGGTCAGTATCACTATAGCTAGATTGAACAATACAGGAAGGTAACTATTGTATCTTTTTACAAAACATGAGAGATGAGATGAACAGTGAAACAAAAATAGCAGATTAGCTTAAATTCCATATACACCATCATGTACTGAAAAGTAAAGTCTAGCTAGAAGAGCTGTTTTCTTGATATTTTAATTTAGAAAAAAATGTGTTTTTTTATAAATCTCATGGAATAAAAAAATAAAAAAAATATAATTCAAGCAAGAAGCTTACGCTTTGCTGATAGGTTGATTGGGAAGAGTAGCTCTGATGCTGTCCATAAGCACCAGTCCCACGAGAAGGATACATCTCTGAATTGCCAAGAAACTGAATCCAAAAGAACACCCGCCAGAAGATTAATGAAATTCAAGAATCGATCGCCGTTACAGTGAAGACGAACACAAAAAGGATATCAATTTACGAAAAAATAGTTAGGAAACCTCTGCAAATCAAGGAGGGGTAGGGAGCTAAACAGACCTAACCTATTTGCTCATGCGACAGACGGCGATGCAGCAGAGGCGATGTTAATCGGCGACGGACGGCGGCGGCCGAGTGGATTTGGATGATTGATACCGGCTCAGATTGAAGCGAAGCGTAAATGGCGACTTTAAGCCCTGTAACCCTTTGCTTTTATACGGCCAAACTTCTTCTATCTTCTGATCTCTCTTTTTCTCTATCTAGCTCTTCTTCTTGTGGTATATATACTATATGCACCGAAGATTGGGCCTGCTCTTTTTGGGTTTAGGCCCCTTTCAATTCAACTTATTTTTTCCGCTTTTTTCTTAATCTTATTAAAATCAAATCAGATCTAGTCAGATCAGATCAAATCAGAACCAATCAGATCAGATCAGAACCAATCAGATCAGATCTAATCAGATCAGATCTAATCAGATCAGATCTAATCAAATCAGATCCAATCAGATCAGATCAGATCCAAATAAGAATTATTATTATTATTATTATTATTGTTATTATTATTATTATTATTATTATTATTATTATTATTACTACTACTACTACTACTATTATTATCATTATCAATATCTTTATTACTCCTTACTTTTTAAATTCCATATTTTTTAGTTGTTTCACTTGATATGGTTCTTTTAAAAAATAAATTTAATTCGATTTAAAAAATATAAGAAGAAAGAACATGAAACTTTTTGTGTGATTATAATTTATGTAGACTAAAATAAATGATATGAAGCACAATTGTTTTCTTAAAAATGAAAAATAATAAACTTTAGAAACAAGCTAAATAGAAACCCGAGAAAGTAATCTTTAATTATTAATGAAAAATGTATTATTTCTTTGCTTAACATTGATAATATAAGGATGTGATCTTTTAATAAAAATATTAATGATTATTAATAACATTGATTATCTATATTAAATAACATTTTAGTGCATATATAAATTAAATAATTATTCTAATTTTTATATAAACTAATTATTCAAATATTAAATCAATATTATTCATTAAAAAAATCATAAAATAAAAATTATTATTACATTATAATATGAATGATTATTCTAATATATGAGTTAATTAATTTTGTTTCATTAAAAAATAATCATAAAAAAATATTGATTATATTATAATATGAATTATCATTACAATTTTTAATCAAATCAGAACCAATCAGATCGGATCAGATCAGATGAGAACCAATCAGATCAGATCAGATCAGATCCAATCAGATCAGATCAGATCAGATCAGATCCAATCAGATCAGATCGGAACTTATTAAAATCAGATCAGATCAGAAAAAATAAGTTGAACGGAACGGAGCCTTAGCCGCATTTTTTGCTCGTCACATAAGTTATGGAGACTTTGGGCTAGACAAAAAAAACATCCATCCCATATTATTTTGAATAATTAACTTAGGAGTACACCAATATGGGATACCCCATTTGTACACCAAGCCAACAAAGATACACATAGACACAAAATATCTGTGCAACACTGTCATTTTGTGTTTGTGTGTGTCTGTGTTGACTTGGTGTACAAATTGAGTACCCCATGTTGGTGTACCTCTATCATTACCTATTTTGAATCTAAAATAAACCTGGCAAAAAACGACTCGAACAATATTTGCACTAAGATCCAAAAGTATTAGGTTTTGAACAAAAGTTTCGTTGACTAAACCCGAACTTGAAAAAATCGACCCGCTAATATAAAAGTTTTCATAACATTAATGTGTCTTATGTTCAAACTTGAGAAGAGTATTGCAACAAACTGTGTTTGCAAATACTTGAGAAGAGTATTGCAACTGTGTTGCAAAGGGGTCGGCAGGTTGCAGCGGCGATCATTTACTCTATCTGGACAGCGATGAATAAAGTTGTGTGGGAGGGTTGGGTTCTGTCTGTTGCAAGGAGTTGGAATACGGCAAAATGCATGGTGGAAGCTTGGTGCCAGACATGGAACAGTCTTATGCAGCAAAGAAGAAAATGCAGACTACCTCCGCAAAGACGATATGATGCATTTACGTGTTTCATCGATGGTGGTTTTAAGTCGGACACAAAGGAAGCATCTTTTGGATTCGTCTTGTATGAACAGGGCGGTAATTTTGTGAAGGCTATCAATGGTAAACTCAATTTCTGTTTGAACTCGCTTATGCCAGAGGCTTTGGCTCTCAATGAAGCTTTATCTTGGATCAAAGACAAAACCATTCCAAGAATTCAGATTTTTTCGGATTGCATGACTTTAATACGCTCCATCAAGAATCATCGATTTGTGGGTTCATCTTTTGAGGCATTGACTATTCTTCAATGCGAATCGCTTATGCAATCCTTCAATTTTTGTTCTTGTGATTTTATTTTTCGTCATTTTAATTTCTCTCATATTTTAGCCTCTGAGGCTTTTGGTCAACAATCCTTTTGTCTTGGGACTTTGCTCCATTTGTTTGTATCCCGAACTCTTTAAATTAATAGAATTAAATTTGACTTCAAAAAAACTTTACTTTATTAATAAATAAAAATTAAAATCAAACTAGGAGGTACTATTATACTAACAAAATGTACAACGCCTAATAAATAACAAATCATGACCTTGCCAAATACGGAGTACGAGTAAAACAACACCAAATAAAACTCATGCGCCTCTCATCGTCCTATAATATACTGAGTAAAATGTCACATTATGCTCAAATTTTCATCTCTAGGCAAGCTTTGAACAGTGTCCGACCATCTCCCCGGAGAATGGTCACTGCTATTGGACGACACCTGAGCCTCCGCCCTGGCATCCCTCACCATCTTCAGCACCTCCCTCATCGTCGGACGGCTCTCCGGCGAGACCGCCACCGCCGCCATCGCGACGCCGAGCAGCGCGGCGAGCTTCTCGTCGGCCGCCGCGCCGGTTCCCCCGGCGGCGGCGGCCGGCTCGTCGCCGGAGTCGGCCTCCTCCTCCCGCACGGACCGCACCCACCTCGGGATGTCGGAGCCGTGCTGGTGGACGAGGTCCTGGAACGGGGTCTTGCCCGTGAGGAGTTCGAGGAGGAGGATGCCGAAGCTGTAGACGTCGGATTGTTGGGTCGGCGGGCGGCGCGGGTCCCGGCACTCCGGCGGGCGGTAGAAGAGGGAGGCGGCGCCACCGGATTCCTCGGGGGAGTCGGGGTTCCGGAACGGGGCGAGGCCGTAGTCGGTGAGGCAGGACTCGAAGTCGGGGCCGAGGAGGACGTTGGAGGACTTCAGGTTGCCGTGGGTGAGGCCGGCGGGGCTCTGGTGGATGAAGAGGAGGCCGGCCGCCACGTCCTCGGCTATTTTCAGGCAGGATGTCCAGTGGAGTGGCTTTGAACCACTTGAAGTAGCTCTTGACCCTGCAACGTTTTACAACAAAGGGCTAATGTCACAAAGATGGCATATACTCCCTTCCTCTCTAAAAATAGTTCTCATTTTGACTACTTTTTATGTAATTTAATTAAGAAACATTTTTACATTGATTTTTCTAAATTAGTCTTGATTTGATGGTAGACCATTAGTAAATTAGAACAAATGGATTCACTATCCATTTCGGAATAAGAAGCTGCAAAGATGTGGATATTCCCTTTTCACATGGATGAATATATCAACAAGGAATTGAATCAAAGAGTTAGAATCATCAAATCAGATACATGAATATATCGAAAAAAAAGAAGAACAAGGTTTGGGATAGGACATTACTGGAACAGGATCTGTTCTATAGGGTTGTACCTCCAAATTCTTTACTCTAAGGAGAAAAATATATGCTGAGGAATGGAGACATTGTTTTTCAAAAACAAGTAAAACATGTGAACAGTGTGGAGTACTTGTTTGTTTGCTTTTTTTTTAAAATTTAAAAAACAAGTAGAACATGTGAACAGTGTGAAGTACGAGTACTTGTTTGACTGAATTGAAATATAAAAAATAAAAAAAATTCGGAGACTTGATTAAACAAAAATTAATACGGAGTACTAGAGAGACAAAATTGGTTCAATTTTCGGTACATTGACTAATTTCAATTATTCTTAGATAATACAAGGACATCTACTCTATTTTATCAAAGTATTTCATATTGAAAATTCAAGATAAAAGTAGTCGGTATATAAACTCTTGACCTGAATTAATTAATTGATTGGATTCAATTCAAGTATTTTATAACTCGTCCAGTGACTCTTACTCATCTAAAATTCTATAAAAGATACATAGTATAACTTAATCCAATGAAAGGTGTAATTAATTTTGGACGAAGAGGGCATAATTTAATCCAGTGAAAGTCGCACATTATATGGTACAACCGTCAATTAGATCGAAGAAAGGAGAGGCACACCAATGAAGATGTCATGCGATGAATCTAATTTTGTCGATGATAGAGATATGCGATGAAGATAGTTGTGGTGGACTATAAGTTTAATTAGATTATTAGATTATATTTTCCAAATCTGAAGAAAATGAACACTAAGTTAATTGAGAATGAATATTATGAACTCAGTAATAGCTTATGAAGTATTTTAGGAGAAAAGAGTAATAAACGAATGAATAAGTAAAGATTACCATGGATTAAGGAGAAGAGGCTGCCATTAGGGAAATAATCGTAGACAAGCAAGCGCTCCTCTTTGGCTTGGAAATAGGCTCGGAGAGGGACCAAATTGGGGTGCCTCAGCCGGCCGAGAATCTCGACGCGGCGGCGGAACTCCTCCAGCGGCGGGTACCGCGACTCCCTCAGCCGCTTCACCGTCACGATGTAGCCGGATTCCATGACGGCCTTATATGTACTTCCCATTGTGCCCCTCCCTAGGGTCTCTGCCGAGGCCCTCAATAAATCCTCCAGCCTGTAATTCATCTGCTGATCCCCTGGTCCGCAGAACACCAGTGTCCCTGCACCTCCACCTCCCTGATTGTCGTCCCACGAAAATGACCCTTCTTTTCTCCCGTTATTACCTCCCATGCCACTGGTCCCAGATTCATCCCCACCCGCCGCCGCCGCCGCGGCGGCTCCTTTGCTCCTCACTTCGCCGCCGTTTCTTCTCCGTCTCCGTCTCCTTATCAGACAGGCGGTCAGAGTAGCCAGGAGCAGTAGCAGAATCCCACCGGCAACGGGGAATACGATCAGGAACAGTTTCCGGTTCCTTTTCCGGCGGCTTCGTTTGGTTCCGGGGCTGGCGGGATTCGGGCATTCTTTGTGTAATTGCACGCCGCAGAGTTCGGGGTTACCGGAGAACGCGGATTCGTTGAATGCTGCCAGGGCCGGAGTGGTTGGAATTCTGCCGGAGAGCCGGTTGTTGGAGACGTTGAGGAATCTCAGGGTTGTTTGGTTAAATGCCGGGATTTCTCCGGCGAACTGGTTGTCCTGGAGGTAGATGGCATAGAGCCGCGGGAGGCGGAGTAGCGACGGCGGGATTTCGCCGGAGAGTGAGTTCCCGGAGAGGGCGATGATCTTGAGGCGGTGGAGGAGGGCTAGGCTCGCCGGGAATCCGCCGGAGAAGTTATTGTTGCTGAGATAGAGAGATTTGAGGTTGGGGAGGGCGGCGAGGGAGGGGATTTCGCCGGAGAGGGAATTGTCCTTGAAGCTCAGCACCCGGAGCTGATCCAGCCGCCCCAGACTCCGTCCATCCACCGCGCCGCTCAAGTTCCGCCCCTCCACCACCAGCTTCGTCACCCTCCCATTCACGCACTCCTTCACGCCTCGCCACCGGCAAACACTCCCGGCGCCACTACCCACCCAGTCAGCCAGCGAGTTCCCCGGGTCAATCCCAGATTTCAACGCCAGAAGAGCGTCGGCGTCGCCGGACCTCGCCGCCGGGAATTCAAGAACCCCCAACACAGTCAAGAACAGCAACCCCATATTGCCAAAACCTCCCATTTTCGACCCCAAAAAGGAAACAACAACAAAAAAGGAAAATCTCAAACCATTTCAGAGCAAAAGATCGATCCAAGAAACAAAGAAAAGATTCACACACACACACACAAAATCAGCTTTTTATGAAGCTAATGGAGAATAATCAGGTCAAAAAATGGAATCTCCAGATCTAATCTAAGAAGAATAGGCGAAGATGACGGGACGGTGCATCCCATTCCGGGCCAAAAACCCGATTTGTCACTGTAAAGGAAAGTTATTTACATTTGCTTTGACCATTTTTTGAGAAAAACTGAAAGAGGAAACCCTGAAAGAAGAACAGAGAAGATGCATTGACATGAATTTGGATGGGGAGGGGGGAGCTCACTCAGTCACTCACTCACTCTCTGGTGGAAGGGGAAGTTAAACACCAAAATGACAACTACAACTCTTTGTCGGACACCACCCACCCAAATGTGCAGAAATGTAATGTAGCCATTGACACGTACTGCATTGGTGATATACATGTGTGTACGGTTGACATTGGTCATTAGTGGGCTAATTTTAGTCTTCACTTATTGGGCACACAAAAACTAGACTTGTGCAAATAAGGATTGGCCTGTTTAGTCCGTTAATAATTTTGTCAAAAAACAAACGTAAAAAACGAACATGAATCCATTGTAGACAATCTTGTCAAAAATGGAGGTCAATAGCTTTTCATCGCCATATTATTAATTCAAATACGAGTAAAACATCTCATAAATAAATAAATGACTGAAAGACATGAATCCATTATAGACTATCAGACGCCTGAACCAATATGTGAGTCATCCAAATCGTTGATAACCTAAACAACGTCTCAGATCATTATTTTACAATAAAAAATATCCTCTTGAATTGCCTTAAACACTACCTCATTGTGTATCTCAATGCTAAAAATATTATGTCTAATCGATGTCCTCGGCCATTTCAAAGCCTTCGAGAGACCCACTACTTCGACCATCTGTGCGACCTCAAGGCGTCTTAACCCGAAATATGCTCCGTGCTAGGAACTCTCTGAACGTCTAAAAACCACCACTCCACCTCGTGCAACCCTTGTTTGCATGTTGAAACTCTAATCCACGATACATTTTAGAACACCTATGTCACACACTTTCTACTTGTTCACCCGCTCCCGACTCAGCTTCATCTCTCCGAGTCGTGGGACGTGCTGCCTGCATTCATGTAGATCCCGAGCTGCTCTAATTGCATTGCGCTCATGCTTTTGTTCTTCCAAACAAGTTTGTTATGTTACCACCACACATCTCAAATTAATCAAATCTTCATTTATAATTAATATAGTACTGTATTTCATAATTTGAATGAAGTATTTACTAATTTTTTTATTTTCTTATTGCTATAATTCTTTATTATTTATTACTCCCTCCGTTCTATAATGATCTTCCCGGTTCGCAAAACGAAGAAAAATCTCAAGTTTTTTCAATCTATTTTATTTAAATATTGGTATATAAATAAAAAATAAAACATACATATTTAAAAACTACACCAAAAGTTCAACAAAACAAGTGGTGACAAGAATATTTTATTTTATCATATAGGCCATGAAAAACACAAATAAATATAAATTCCCGTGAAGTTGGAATAGTGCTCTGGGAAGATCATTATAGGACGGAGGGAGTAATTTTTATTAATGGATAAATACTTTTATTAAATTTATATAAATTTTAAGTAAAAATAATGAATATTGTAAAATAGATGGAGAGGTGAGACAAGAGAACAATAATAACATTACAAAAGTTCCGACCTATGCTAGAAAAGGAGAAAAAATAATACTCCTTTTGTCCCTAAAAGATTGTCATAGTTTAATTTTTTTGGTCAAATTGTGGTACCTTTTGATCGTGAATTATGAAAAAACGTACATTTAGTTATAATGTAAATTTAGTAAAACTAGATTTATTTTAAAATATAATTTTGATATATTAAACTGTTATAATATCTAATTATTTTAAAGTATATCTAATTCATAGTTAAATGGTACCACTATTATACTCCCTCTGTAATCTTCTCAGACACTATTCACAGGGTCAAATTTTACTCACTTTGTTTGCTCATTTTTAGTAGTCATATCATAAAATAATATAGTCTTGTCACCTCTAGTTCTGTAGAACTTTTCATGTAGTTTATTACTATATAAATTTTATTTTAAAATTTTACTCATATAATCAATTAAATTGAATTGAAAATAAAGTCGGTCAAGCCTCGTAACGCGTAATGAAAAGATCTTACATGGACGGAGAGAGTAATTTTTTAGGGATGGTGAAAGTAATAATGTAGCAGTGAAAGGCACGAAACAAAAATTCGCCATATTGTAAGACCATCTCCAATGGGATGCTCCCAAAAGATGCTAGTAGGAGAGAGAGTGAGATGTTGAAGGATGCTATTGTTGTAGGTGGGTGCTCATTATAGCACCGATACTTCACATAGCACCGACGCTTGAGGGAGAAGGGTTTCATGCATTCATTTCTTTAGTTTTGTGGTCTAATGATTATGTGCCATGTGTCATATATATATTCAATTCTTTTTATGGCACTTTTCTTAAATAGTTCTCTTTTTAAATACTTTTCCAACGAATTTTTTTATAATTCCAATAAATATTTTAAGTAAATTTTTTTACAAATAGCAGCAAATTAGGATTTTTTCTTAAAAAATGGATTTACATCGAAATACTACATCCGTTTCTTAAAACCCTTCCTCTTTCATTTTTTTTTGTTTTTCTTAAAACACTTACCTTTTCTATTAAAAAACCACTTTTACCCCTACTTTTCATACTCTACCTATCACATCATACTTTTTCACTAACAACTAAACTATCACATCTTACTTTTACCCATCACATCAAGGGCAAAATTGGAAAATGAACTACAATTTAACACTTCCTTATTTTTCCCCAAAGTCAAAAGAGGAACCGTTTTGAGAAACAGAGGGAGTAGGTTGTTTTTAGATTTTTTTGATATTGATGGAGAACAAGCTAGTTTTAAAATAAAAAGAGTAGTTTTTTTCAATATAATATTTTTTCAAGTTTTGTATAATTAATACTCCGTAATTTATTATACAACTAAATACTTATAATTAACAAAAAATAAAATATAAATATATATTAGTTGACCTACTATATTAATTGAATAGATATTTGGGCATCCAAATGAGATGCTACCATTGAACGAATAAGATGTTGAGAGAGGTGCTAAAATAACATTTTTATAATGGAGCCACACTTGAGCATCTAATGAGAGATGTTGCCATTGTGGATGCTCTAAAGGCTCTAGAGGCCTTAGAGCATGAACAATGGTGAGGTAAAAATGAAATGTCACACGCTGACGTGGAGCATTTCAACCAATAAAAAACAGTCCAGTCAACGAGTGGCACGTGAGTGGAGTGGCATGCCTTGCAGTGGCAAGTAATTTTTTTCATCACTTTTTTTCATATTTTTTCCATATTTGAATTATTAAAAATTATATTACCTGTATATGTTAATCATGAAAATATTTCTATTTACTCAAATAAATAATTTTTTTTATGTATTTTAATTATTAAAAATGTTTTTGTTACCTACTCCATATTTTTATTTTAATCATGAAAATATTTCTATTTACTCAAATAAATAATTTTTTATGTATTTTAATTATTAAATTTTTTTGTTACCTACTCCATATATTTTTGATGTGTTTTAATCATTAAAAATTATCTTTTATTTATTTTATAAATAAAAGATGGAATGCCACGCTCCTACCTCTCCATGCATGGTGAAATTGGACAGCCACGCGTGTCAAATTCATTTTTATCTCCTTTGTGCTGATGTGGCATGGCAAGGCAGCCCATATACTTGCCATTGCATTTGCTCTTAAAGCCGTTAAATGAGAGGCAGAGGGAAGATAAAAGGGAGCACTAATTGATGACATGCGTGGGGGCGTGTTTGGTTGTTTAATACCTCTCAGGCTCTCACACTTTCTTTGTGTGCTTTAAATCTTTTTTACCCATAGGACAAGACAAAATTGGAGCTAGCAAATAAGAGCTATCTTTTTCTCTCTCTGTCACAAATTAAGACCTTGTTTGGAAACCACCGATTAGTGTTAGCGATTTGTATGAAATTTTAACGGTATAAATTAATTCTGAAAATTCTAACGCTAAAGACTATTGTCAGATTAGCTTTTCAAAACACTAATGCCAAACGGAGCCTAAGTTACATATTTCTTATTTACATGATCAAATGTTATTCACTTTTTTTCTATATTTTTGTTATTTACGGAGTATTTGATAAAAAATATAGCCATGTCTCTTTATATTTTGTAAAACTTTTAAATGTTCACTTCTATTTTAGAAGAAAATGTATAGTGAAATTTGCACTGAACAGGACTAAAACATAAGTCATTTTCTAATATAAGACTTAAACTTTTTTATTCTCTAAATAGGACTTAATAATGACTACTAAGAAAAATAATGTCCAAGTGATGGTATATTGGGCTTAGAATATGGATAATGGCGTTTGATATGTTATTGGTCCAGCCCATAACATTTCGGCTCAAAGTTGTTTGTTCAAACCTCACGCGAAGAAGAGTATACCGTTGAAGCGTCTTCTTCATCCATTTCTGCTCGGGACCGCCACCGTCGCCGGAGGATGAGCAGGCGAAATGCTCTCCCTCACCTACTGCTCCTCCGCTCTTACTCCAAGAAACTGCCTCCTCCGCCGTCGCCGCCACCCCCGGCTTCACTTTTTGATTCCTTCAAATCTCCCTCTTACTCTCCAGATGTTCGTAGTAGACTCCCCGGGCTCGTGGCGGAAGATGATCGAAGTGAATCTCCAACTTATTCGCCGCAAGAGTTCGCTTTTTTGATGGACTCTCCTTCGGGGAAGTCTACTGGCGCTATTGATGATGTTGTACTTTCAATTGTAAGCGTACTTAGGGAGAATGGCGGTTTGGGGGAGGAAGCTCAGAAACTTCTTAGGCAGTTTAGGGAGAAGCTGAACCCGGATTTGGTTGTCAGGGTTCTGAGAGAGGTCCGGGATGCTGAATTGGGTGTGAAGTTTTACATGTGGGCTGGTAGGCAAATTGGGTATAATCATAATGCAGCTGTTTTCGATGCTTTAATTGATGTTGTAGTCACCAGGGAACCTGGTAGTTCCGAGAACGAGAAAGTGCCGGAGACAATTCTCCATGTTCTTATGGATGATGATAAGGAAGTTCTGGGTAAATTGCTGAATTTCATGGTCCTAAAGTGCTGCCGAAGTGGGTTGTGGAATTTGGCACTAGAAGAGCTAGAGAGGCTCAAGAATTTAGGGTACAAGCCCTCTAGAGTCACCTACAATGCCTTAGTTAAGGTTTTTCTGCAAGTGGGTAGGTTGGAGACTGCTTCTTTGATTTACAAGGAAATGACAGGGTTAGGGTTTAAGATGGATATGCACACACTGAATTGCTTTACGCGCTCATTGTGCAAGGGAGGTAAATGGAGAGAAGCTCTTGATTTGATGGAGAAGGAAGGATTTGTCGCGGATACTGTGATATACACGTCGATGATTTCTGGGCTGTGTGAAGGTTCTTTTTTTGTAGAGGCTATGGATATTTTGATCTTGATGCGCTCTAGTTCGTGCATCCCCAATAGAGTAACTTATGAGACCTTACTTTGCGCCTGTTTGAACCAAAGGAAACTGGGCTGGTGTAAGAGAATTCTTAACATGATGATTGTGGAAGGTTGCTATCCAGGCCAAAAGATATTCAATTCTCTTGTTCATGCGTATTGCAGATCGATGGATTATTTATATGCCTATAAATTACTCAAGAAAATGGAGCGATGTGGCTGCCAACCTGGTTATGTCGTCTACAACATACTGATTGGAGGTATGTGCGGCAATGATGACTTACCGAGCAAGGAAATAATGCAACTGGCTGAAAAAATCTATGGGGAAATGATTGATGCAGGGGTTGTTTTGAATAAAGTCAATGTCAGCAATTTCGTCCGCTGTCTTTGTGCTTTCCAAAAGTTTGAGAAAGCTTTTTGTGTAATTCAAGAAATGATGAAAAAGGGTTTTGTTCCTGACGTTAGCACATACTCTAAAGTTATAGGCTTCCTTGGTAATGCCTCAAAAATAGACAAGGCATTCATGTTGTTTCAAGAAATGAAAAATAATGGGCTTGTTCCTGATGTTTATACGTATACAATGCTGATTGACTGTTTCTGCAAATCTGGATTCATTCAACAGGCTCGTAGTTGGCTTGATGAGATGAGAAGTGTTGGTTGTATGCCCAATGTAGTGACTTATACATCTCTTTTACATGCATACCTCAAACAAAAGAGGATTTCTGAGGCAAATGCGCTCTTTGAGCTAATGCTGTCTGAAGGGTCCATTCCTAATGTTGTGACCTTTACTGCTTTGATTGATGGCTTCTGCAAAGCAGGGAATGTAGAGAAGGCCTGCCAGATTTATGAAAAAATGAAGGGAAGTGTTAACACTTCTGAAGTAGACATGTACTTCAAGACAACCGATATGGGTAATAAAGAAAAGCCTAATCTTGTTACATATGGGGCTTTAGTGGATGGCCTGTGCAAAACACATAGGGTGAAGGATGCTCGTGATCTGTTGGATTCAATGACAGTGGATGGGCAAGAGCCAAATGTTAATATATATAATGCTCTAATTGATGGGTTTTGCAAGGCAGGAGAGATAAAGGAAGCACATGAAGTGTTTTCCAGAATGTTGGAGCATGGGTATGATCCTAGTGTTTTTACGTACGGTTCTTTCCTTGATAGGCTTTTTAAAGACAAACACTTGGATCTTGCTATGAAAGTTTTGTCTCAAATGCTGGAAAAATCTTGCCCCCCAAACGTTATCATCTACACAGAAATGATAGATGGTTTATGTAAGATGGGAAAGACTGATGAAGCTTACAAGCTTATGTTGATGATGGAAGAGAAAGGTTGCAAGCCAAATGTTGTGACTTATACTGCAATGATAGACGGATTTGGTAAAGCTTGTAAAGTTGAAAAGTGCCTTCAGCTAATCCAGCAGATGGTTTGTAAGGGTTGTGCACCAAATTATATTACTTATGCGGTCACGATCAAACACTGTTGTTCTGCTGGGCTTCTGGATGAGGCTGTCCAACTACTAGAGGAGATGAAACAAACACACTGGCCAAGACATATGGACAGTTATCATAGGATTATTGAAGGCTTCAACAAAGAGTACTTGATCAGTCTTGGCTTATTGGAGGAAATGAGTGCGAACAGTTGTGTCTCCTATTTTCCTGTATATAGGATTTTGATAGATAGCTTTCTCAAAGCAGGAAGACTGGAAGTGGCTGCTGACCTACATAAAGAGATTTCATCACCTTCACATCATGACAAGAATGTTTATGCTTCTTTAATCCAGAATCTTTGTGTTAATATGAAAGTTGATAAAGCATTTGAGTTATATGCCGACATCATAAAGAAAGGGGTAATTCCGGAATTGAGTGTCTTTGTTAACCTCATCAAAGGGCTTACATTGGCCAACCAATGGGAGTATGCACTTGAACTCTCTAAAAGTCTTTGTGACATGGTCAGTTACTTTTCACTCCATTTACTATCTACTAGCACAAACATGATTATATATGTCTTACTATTGTTATTGTTTATTTTTTCAACTTTGACTGGACAATATGGTACTCCCTCTGTTCCAAAAAAATCTTTAGGTTTTAGTCCAACTCTGTCCTTTTTCTTTACCTATTTTCATTGATCATTTGACAAAATAATATAATCACGCCGCCTCTTGTTTTTAGATCTTTTGATATAGTTCGTAGTTTATATATATAAAACTTTATTTTTTATTTTTGCACCAATTTTGAACAATTATTTTAATCATGCTAAACAGGATGTTTGCTGGCTACCAGCTAACAAGAAAATGGATGGCAGCTAATATGATATATGGCTTCATCTAAGTTTGTTCCTTTGCCTACTCACATGTTGCCACGAAGTTCTTTAAGGATATTCAAGCAACACAACACCGGAACCTCTACTCCAAACACCATTTGCCTGAACTCTGGGTAAATAAGATGAACTTATGTACTTGTGCTCAACTTCTTCTCGATGTTATATTTCCTTATATTAGCATTCTTTGAAGAAAAAAGTGCTAGGTCAGAGGCATACTAGGGCGCGAAATCTCGGCGTGCCTTGGTGGGATAAGGAGAGACAGAGATAGGATTACACATGGGTGACATGTCTGACCAAGAAAACCCGTCAAACCAAAACCGACTGACAAACTGGCCAAAACCAAACTAAATATTGGTGCTTTGGTTTGCTGTTTAAGATTTATGCGCTAAAACTGACCAAACACGACTGAAACCAACCAAGGCTGTCCGAAAGCGACAAATAATTTAGCTGAAACAGACTTGAGGACCTGTTCTCTTTGCCCGAAAAATGTGACGTGATCTGTTTTGAATTAATCTGATCCGGTATGGTGTAATATATTAGATTTTGTCTAACTCTCTGGTTTATTTTCAATGTTTCAAGCCTGGTGTGGTCTGCTTAGAATAGTAGTAAGGAATAAGCTTTTGTCTTTTGGTTTTGTATTTTCAAAACTGAACCCACCTAAACTGATCGAGCCAAACCGAATCGACAAACACCCCTAGATGCCATATAGTGATATAATGTATCCGGGCTGGTATTCATATGTTCCGTGGTTGAGAAGTTTTTCATTTTCATTGAGAGTGCTCTTTTACATAGTGTGATTGGCAGGCAATTGGGATAGTCTTGCTGAGTTGACATGTGTTGTATTCCAGTTGCAGCGAGTGCCACAGATATATATGTCCATGAACCAGAATATAATACTCCGTATCAGATATCAAAGGGCACCACTGTTCATCTCCAATGGCGGGTTCACATTGAGGTATTTTTTATGCCCAGAGTTTTCTTCTACTGTCTGTGGTTGTCTTGAGTTATCATTTTTTGTTTAAGAGATCGGAATTTGCTTCACGCATATGCACTTGGCAGGCAAACAGAAATTTGAAGTTCAATTACATTTTTACAAGAAGAAAGCATAATGAAATTGATGGATCTTATAAAGTATTCTGCAGAGTAATAAATACGCGCAACACACACCGTATATGTTAATAGCACATTAGCACCTGAACCCAAAAAAGCCGGTTTATCAATTTCGGAACCATGATATTCAGGGTTATATTGAAAGACATTTGGAAACCCAGTTTTTTTTTTCCGGTTTTATCACCCTTATCAGTAAGATATTCTATCTTACGGAGAACTAATTAAAAACAGTAGTGCATGTCAGTACTTTTGGGCTTTGGCCGATATGTTTGAAATGAAGATTATTGATACAGAGTACTTATACTCCCATCTTATACACATTATCTCCTTTAATTTCTTAATAAAATTTTACATTTTAGATATTCCATCTGCCCCCAACTTAGCCTCTCATTTTCCTTTTTTATGACTCACAATTATCTTCTCACTTCCTTTTTAAGAATTATGTGATTCATACTCCGTATTTGTTTTCTTCCATTTCTAAACAAATCTAAATCACAACTGGTATGGGATGAGGCAGACAAAAAAGATAACCTCTGTGTGGGTTGGGCACATGGCAAACATCTTAAAGATTGTGATATCTGTTCTTATAGGCCAAAAACGGACACGCCATGGTACTGGAAGAAAATGTGTAAATATAGGGACAATATCAGTTCATCTAATATCAGAAGGGGTCTTGGAGAAAGCTCTAATGATCTGCTGGGATTGTGATCAAAATCATCAAACCCTTTGTGGGTACCTCTAGTGTGGGCTAAACTCTGCCAACCCAAACATCAAGTCCAGTTATGGTTGTTGCAGAAGGAGAGGCTCCCTGTTAAAACAAGAGTTGCCAAATATGTAATTATTGTCAAGGAGTGTTTTGTGCAATAAATGAGGGTAATGAAGAACAGATGTAGGCAAAAGTGGCCTTGTTTAAAGAAACTGGATGGGAGAGCATAGCAGAGGAAAATGGCCTCAGATTTCCAGGAATGGCAAGTGAAATGATGATTCCCTCCACAACTATGGCAGCCATCATCAATGAACATGTTGCCCACTTGTATATGTATATAGTTGTGCAACTTAATTGTTCACAGATTTGTTTTTTTTTGTTTTGTTTTGTTTTTGGAATGGAGGGAGTATAAGATTATGACATTTTGTGGGATTTTACTAACTCTGTTCTTGTTGTATATAAGATGAAGAAGTATATGGTGATGTAGTTTTATTTTTGTCATATAGATTGGTTGGATCAAGAGTTGAGTAGTGAAATGTTCACTTGGTTACAAAAAAAAAGGGATGGTTCATGTAAAAGTTTGTGAAGTTTTTCGCTCTAGTTAAACGGGATCTCTCTGCAATGCAATCGACAGATATTCCATAGCAATCTAGCACAACGTAGTGGTTAGAGCTCCCTCCTCCATGTGTACTAAAATACCCTTGGATGTTTATGAGGCAAAATGAAATTCTTTTTAAATACATTTTACTTGAAAAATGGTATTAAAAACTAACAAAAAAACCCTTACATCTGGTTTTGGGTTATCCTTAAAGATGCCAAAACTTACATAAACTGCTTCTAATTAATAATATCACATTGTGAATTTATCTACTCATGCCCTGATTTGTTTTAGGACATTTCATTTCCATCTGGTTTTGTGTTATCCTTGCAAGACTGAAACACAAGACAAATATGGAAATACAAACTGGTACAATGTAACCACAGCAGCAGCACAATAGAACAAGACCACATAAATAGAATTCACTCACTCAAAGACTAGACTTGCCCACAAACAAATTTTTACATGAAAACAAAAAAAAAAAACACCACCAAACTCAAATACATTAAAATGTTCTGTTATTTTGTTTTTGGGGGCAAAAGGGTCATCAAAAAACCCAAAAAACAATCAAGGAAGAGATGAAGGAACTAACAGATATGGCTAATCAAATGGCAGCAGAGTTCATTCAACCAATCAATCAACGGCCAGCTTGCGGCGCTTGTACCTCACCATGACCTTCCCCTTGACCCCCACGACCATCGCGTTCCAGTCGATCTCCGGGAAGGGGGAGACGAGTTCCAGCTCAAAGTTCCTCAGCAAGTGGCTCCATATCGCCTTTATCTGCAAGTACGCAAACGGTTCGCCCAAACACCCGTGCCTGCCGCCCCCGAACGATATGTACGAGAACGGTCCGGCCACCTTGTCCTCCTCCCTCCCCGGACCGAACCGGTCCGGGTCGTACGCGTCCGGTTCTTTGAAAATGTGCGGGAGCCGGTTCGCGAAAGCAGGGGACGTGGCCACGATGTGGCCCTTGGGGATGTCGTACTCGACCCCCTCTTTCGTGGTGACCTGGAAATCACTGTGTGAGCTTCTTAGGAGCATTATCAATGGAGGGTGGAGTCTCAGAGCCTCCTTTATGCACCTGTACAAGACATCCATTTCAGACAAGACATCATGGTCCACCTTAGTAGCACCATGTTTCTTCATCAGACTCTTCTGCTCTTCCAGAACGGCCGACATGTGCTTGCCGTGGCAGAGGAGGTAGGCCCCTGTCCAAGTCGAGGTGATGGAGCTCGTGTGCTGGCCGGCGAATAGGGCGGCAATGAGTAGACCGGTGACTTCGGATTCGGTCGTCTGGCGGCCGTCTTTGTACTTGGATTCTATGAAGCACTGTAGCATGTCGTTCTCGGACTTGCCGGTTTTCTTGCGGGAGGCGATGATGTCAGAGAAGATCTCGGCCAGCTTCTTGCGGGCCCGGTCACGCCGGCGGTGGGCCAGAATGGGGAGGTAGGGGAAGATGACGCTGATGGGGAGCATGCCGTTGTCAAGGTCGTGGAAGAGAGCCGACACGTCTTCGAACAGCTTGTTGCGAACTTCTTCCCCCAGCAGGCATCTGCTGGCTGTGAGGATGATCAAGTGCTCCAGTTCATATTTTAAATCCACTTCACCACTGTCTGCCCATTTGGAAAAGTACTCCTGGAATGGATGAAAAAGTACAGAGTGAAGTGTTTTTTTTTTTGCAGGATTGAGGGAGTATTCAAACCATTGCATTTTTGCTTGGGAGAAAGGAAAAACGCATAGAATTGGTTTGAAAAACAACATTTTTCACAACAATGATGAGGCATTTTGTGATTTGAACCATAATCTAATATCAAAGTTTTATGCTTTCTACTGATTTCTATGTCGCAAAAGTGACATATAGTAAGCTTGAGAAGGATTGAATACTAGAAACACAAAACCCATTAAGCCTGTAAGACAAATATGGTATTAGACGTAATATAGATGAAAGTCGAAATCATTGACAGACCAATAAGTCTTTTACTCCAACCAATTAACCATACAACAGCACAAGTGCATTATACTATGGTCTTTACCTTTACCACACTGGCATGGGTCAATGGTTTCAACTTTCAAGTGCGTAGCCACCACAAAACTACGAAATGTGGTCGTGATTCATATAGCCCGTTAAATGAGTGTAACATCTGGCTAAAATGGCTAAATTAGCTTAGAGATTGACTGAAATGGATGGATAGGTTAACTTAACCAAACTGCTAATTCCCCGATTCTCAAAAGACTATCTTGTTTGTAGTACTTCATTCTGAAAACAATAATCATGCTTGCCATAAATTTCAGTGTCACAAAGATAACTATTTTTATACACTGAGAGTACTATTTTGTAAATGACTTCTTCGGATAGATGTAATATATAAACAGAGTAATAGTTTATCTTCCCGCTTTTGTTTTTTGGATGTTTCTAATTGATCTTCCCATTTCCTTTTTAAGGAAATGAATGGTTTGCTCTATATATATAACTTTGATCTCCTCTACACAAATTTCAACTCTCTTAAATGCCATGTTAAAAGCAAATGGGAAGATGAAATAGGGACGGACGGAGCAATATTTTTCAAAGATAAAAGTATCTAAACATAGCAAAAATGTTCTTTCCTTCTTCTTTTTCCTTTTCAGTTAAAAATACAGCCTCAAGATCACATTTTTAACACCAGTTTCGGCAACCCAATAAGTTAGGGCGTGTTTGGTATATAAATCTTCAAGACAACTCTTTTCACTATCAAGATTTCAGTACCCAAACAAGTAATATACCTCAGCTTCCATGATCATCTGATCCACATAACCTTTGAGCTTAGTGACTCTGAGAGACTCAGTAAAGAACCTGAACTGCTCTTGCCTGATTGAGTAGTCCACATCGAAAACCACTCCCGGCCCGAAAGTGGGCACATTGAATTGGTACACCTCCTGCTGGCTGAGATCGGATTCCGGGGCCTTGAAGAAATGGGCCGAGACCTCCGGCCCAATCAGGAACGTGATGTTCTTGTTGAGCAGGTTTAGGGTGAAGACGCTCCCCAGCTTCGGGTACTCCTCCCGGAGCATCACGATCGGGCCTCTCAGGAACCGGGCCAGCCCGCCGATCAGAGGCCACGATTTCACCCTCGGCGGCAGCCGCTTCTTGGATCTGGGCATGATCAGGGCGGCGATCAGCTTCGCCGCCGCCACGGTGGCGATCAGCAGCAGACCCATATTCAACAACTTGCTGTCCCCTAAATCCATTCTTGCCTTTTATGTACCAGATTGAGAGGAAAGGGGCGGGTGATAATGGATAAAGAAATGATATTTCCGGCCTGTAGCTTAACAGACCGTCTGAGATTCCGGCGTACTGAGAAGCATTTCAATGAAATTTAAGGGGAAAAAAGGAAAATTTTGGGAGCTGATGAGAAGAACGACAGTGTGAATTTTCTTGTTTTTTTGTTGCCCCGTGAGTTGTTTCCACTTTCCACTCACATCAGTGGGTACGGGGGGTATCACTCATTTCAAAAAAAAAAAAGGAAAAAAAAAACTTTTTTTTGTTATAAAATGAAAAAATTTACGTCAATAAACTTACATTAAATATTTTTTGCACCCTAATACTTTGAGAAATTACCCAATTTTATATCATTACTCCCTTTAACTTGGATTTGTGTTCTTTACCTGATTAAAATGATTCTGATCTGATTGAAATAAGTTTGATCTTTTCTAAGTGTGATTATATTTAAAACTATTTCTGATCTAATTTGATTTGGTCTGATAGAACCTAATCTGAATTAATTCAATAAGAATAAAAGAAAAATTTGTTGGTAAAAATAGCAAAAAACTAACGTGACGCCGAGTCGGCACTCAGCAGGAAGATCTAGAGGTTTGGAGGCGAACCATACTTCCATACTATACGGTCTTATTTTCAAATTTCGGAAGCAACTATTATAAGTATAAGATCTGAGAAACAAATATGCTAAGCATAAAGCTTGTGCTGACAAGTGCAACTAATCTTTTGGTGGGCGTTGCAAATGTGATGGGGAAAATAGTTTTTATTGGAAATCACTTTCCCTTCTAAAATATTTTTCTTGGAAAATATTTCTTTTCTAACCAAATACACCCTTAATTACAAATCTCTAGTGTGGGATTGGCTTTCTATTGGGCTGAAAACTTAAAAGCATATTGCATTGGGCCTTTTAACCACGAGAAAAGCCCGAGTCACATCATAGTGGAGTTGGGCCTTTAAACTTAAGGACCCTCCAACTATCTTTCCATTCTTTTTCACAAGCCAAGAAAGTAAGGAGAATCTGAAACCCCTTTCGTGACGCCGAAGTATTTGACAACCCCAATACCTCGGCTTGTCAAAGAGGCATCGTAGTTCTTCGTTAGGAAACCCGATGGAGCCACCCAATACGGGTACAATTTCTAATACGGGTGACCATTCACGGGAGATTGAATGTTTTCACGACGAAGTACGTCGGATATTCTCTCCTCTCAACCTGGGTAATGCCATAGAAGAGATAGGGCATCCTCGAGATTGACGGACAAGAGGGGAGATGAAACTGCTGCGTTATGGCCTTCCACCGAACCAACCCTCTTTAACATACAAAAAATATCTTAAGAACACTCATGTCCTATACATTTTTGTTAAAACAAGATTTAAAAATAACAATTAAAGAAAGAATTAGAATAGCCATGGGTTAGACCTGTGCAAAGGATCCGGGCCGGATCTGGGCCGGGCTTGATACAAACTTTTAGCCCATTTGAATGGGCGGGCTTGGCCCGGCCCGGATTTGATGGGCTAAACTCTTTACCCATACCCGCCCACCTTAGCGGGCCGAACTGCCCACAGGGCCGCCCGGCCCGGATAAAACATCAAGAAAATCTTTTTTACACAAAATTCAAAAAGAAAAAAATGAACTCGTTTTCAAATGTTTAAAATAAAATTATCACTCACCACATTTACATAGAAAACATAATATAAATATTGTTGCATAATTAATTAATAAACCCATCATACAGATTCATTAAAAGACTATAGATTTTTGTTTAAGAGGGGTGAGTGATATGAACTATTATACATGAATTACAAAAAATTTAAAATTTATATAGTCTAGGTAATTAATAATAAAGTAAATGTATTTAATGAATATGGGCGGGCCGGGCCTTTTGGCCCGGATGGGCTAAAAGTAACTTTCAGATCCGCCCAAATATAATTCGGGCTTGGGCCGGCCCGCCCATGTGGCTATTAAAGATTGTCCATATCCGCCCATTTTAAAGGGCGGGCTGGGCGGGCCGGACGGGCCAACCCTTGTTTGCACAGGTCTACCATGGGTCGACTTATATATAACTTTGTTGAACAATGCAGGCTATAAACAAAATCTCCACGAAAAATTTAATGCTCTCCACGCAATTCATTGCATTCTTTAAAAATAGTACACTCTAATATAAGATAAAAGATTATTAAAAACCTAAAAACAAAGCTTTATCAACTATCCTTGATTGTTGGAGGTGCATTATAAAGTTTGATAGAGATCATTTGCATAAAGTTTTAAGTTGAGATGTGCATATACGGTGAGGTGTAAGAAGAGCCTGCCGAGGGCATGGATTGATGGTAATATATTGATGATATATTATCACTTGGAGTCTATAGTGCCCATTTATGAAAACGATGTTATATATAATCAATTGGAGTCTATAATGCCCATTTATGAAAACGACTGCTCCAATTTTATAAAATGACTATAGTGCCTATTTTGATTATTTTTTTTACCGAGTTGAATTACTTTTCAAATTAGAGTCTCTCACGTAAACTTGTGAACCACATCACTTCTCAATGAGCAAAGAATTTACTTCAATTTAATCTCTTCTCTTTTTTTACAGAGATTGTTTTGAATTTAGATTTTAAAAGATAATGTCATTTTTTTTTTGCAGGATTGAAGGAGTATTCCAATTTCCAACCATTGCATTTATGCTTGGGAGGAAGGAAAAATACATAGAAATGGTTTGTAAACAACACTTTTCACAACATTGATGAGACATTTTGTAATCTAAACCATAATCTAATACTCAAAGTTTTATACCTGGTAGTGATTTCTATGTAGCAAAAGTGACATATAGTAGGCTTGAGAAAGATTAATTACTAGAGACAAAATCCATTAAGCTAGATCACAGTTTTTAATACATAGTAAGCTTGAGAAGGATTAATTACCAGAGACAAAATGCATTAAGCTAGATCACAGTTTTTGATACCATGTTCAAAGTTAGGGTGTGTTTGGTGTATAAATCTTCAAGACAGGTCTTTTTCACTATCAAGATTCAGTATCCAAACAAGTTATATACCACAACTTCCATTATCATCTGGTCCACAAAGCTTAGTGACTCCGAGAGACTCAGCAAAGAACTTGACTTGCTCTTGCCATTGAGTAGTCCGATTCAAAGGTCCGACCCAAAAGTGGGCACATTGAATTGGTACACCTCCTACTGGCTGAGATCCGATTCGGAGGCCTTGAAGTTTAACTGCCCGTCGGAGATTCCGGCGTAGGGAGAAGCATTTCTATGAAATTGAAGGGGAAAAAAAGGAATATTTTGGGAGCTGATGAGAAAAATGACAATGGAAATTTGCTTGTTTTTTGTTACTCCGTGAGTTGTCCACTCTTCAAGTTTACATGTGAAATGTGAATCTCTTAATACGCTTCATGTACTGACAAGTGGTTTTTTTTCAAAAATATAATTCTTTTAGGATATCAATACAATAAGGTCAATAAAATGAATATGGATTTTAAGACCACGTAAGAGTTTGCAGTTAAAAAAAAGGAAAAGTTCACGACAATACACTTAGCTTTGACCAATTGTATAATACAGTTATTCTTAAATATTTTTTCCCCACCAATACTTTGAGAAATCACTCAACTTTACAGTTTACATCATTACTCCAGCCCGACTTAGCTTTGCAGTACAGCTTGTTGCTCGTTTGATTTCTATTTTGATGTATTATTTCTCTTGTTAGGCTCGTAATAAATCATTGTTTTTTGGCTACTACAGAAAAAATTGTTGGTAACAAAAAGAAAAAAAATTGTTAGAACCATACATCCTTATCATATGTTTTTTTTGCAAATCTCAATTCTTGACGACTGCATGCGCTCGAAACCAATTATGTTAAGTATAAGGTTTGCAATGACAACTACGCTTGATGACAATTTAATCGTCGGCAAGCGCGGCATAGTTGAAAACGGAAAGGAAAAAAATAACTTTCAATTGGAAATCATTTTCCCTTAAAAATATTTTTCTCGGAAAATATTTCTTGTCTAAACAAACACACCCATAACAGCAAATCTGAATGGGCTTTCTATTGGGCTGAAAGCTGAGAAGCAAATCGCATTGGGCCCTTAACCGCAAGAAAAGCGCGAGGCACATGATCGGCCCACATCCAAGAACAACGTTCAAGTCTCTCTCTCTCTCCCGGTGAAAGAAGAATCGGGTAAGATTGCGAGAACTAAAAAAAATATAAAGACGACTAAATAAATAAATCCGCAGTTTTTTTTACCGAGTTCAAAGGAGTTTTGATTCTTTTGAATAACAATAATACTCGTAATAATAATAATTGAAGTAAAAAAAAATTAAAAGGAGACCCCCAGCAGGAAGGAGAAGAAGAAGAGAAGCGATTAAGTGTGAGCAAGCATCGTCTCTTACGTCTCCTTTTTTATTTCTTCTTCAATCAAACCATAACTTAATCTTTTTCACAAGCCAAGAAAGAAAGGAGAATCTGAAACCCCTTTCTGAGTTTTTCCGATTAATCACACAATCTGATTATATATTTCTTTTATTTTTTCAAATTATTTATTTCTTGTTTTTGCATCTTCCCTTCAAATAAAGATTTTTTTGTAGTGGGGGGTTATTTTGTTTTGTTTTTTTATTGGGAATTTGAGCTGGGCATTGACGCTAACAGTCGGAGAGTGATTCTTTTCTTTCACAGGTTAGTTCTTTATTGAGTTCTGTTTTTTTCTTTTTTTTTTTGGCATTTTATGTTGCCTTTTGTCTGGATATATACTGTTTTCTGGGACTTCTTGTGAGAAGAACTTGCTATTGGCGTTGTATTTTTTATTGAGGGGATGAGTAGTTTGGTTTAGTGAAGTTTTAAGCAATTTGTTTTATGTTTTCTGCTTAGGATTTCTGTTCAGAAATGTTTTATTTAATTAAAGGTTGCGTGTTTTACTGGAAAATTGATTACACCTACAAGTGGAAGTGATCAAGGCTTGTATGTTGTAATTCTATATATGCTTGAGTTGTAGATATCGGGTAGGAAATGATCATATGAAATGTCGGTTATTTCTACTCTTTCGAACAACTTAGGGTTTGAAAACAATGTTTCAATACCGTGATATGGGATCGGTCTGCAAGTTTTTTCAAAAGAAATGAGGATTAAAAACTACAAGGAAAAACAAGAAATGAAGTATG